GAAACACCATAAGTTTGGACATAAAGGATGGAAAGAACATCACAAGTTTGATCACAAGGGAAGACCTCACCACAAACCAGAAGACTCTGATGAGCTGGCTCATGAATTTAAGCATAAGGAACACGGCTCTCATGAGTCTGATCATGTAACAAGCCATAAGCCAAGCTTCTGGGAAAAATTTGTTGATTTAATGCCTGGGTGCAAAACCAAGGAGGAGCATAAAGAAAAGCTGATGCACCATTTCAAAAACAAGGTTGCACATAAATCTGGCCACGGGTCATCCCGTCATTCATATGATAGGCACAGATCAAAGCACTCTTTGTTCAATTCTTTAAGATTATTGCCGGCTCAGATACAAAGCTCTAATTCTCCTAGGGAAGTTATAGAGGTGAGCTATCCCTTTGACCCAGAGTTGAAATATGGTAAAGTTGTGTATTCTTCTGTTTTGGTAAACCATTCCTTCGGTAACTCTTATGGGCATCCTTTCCAAGGTAAATTTTCGCCACCAAAAGATATTGCTTTTAACCGTGCTGCGATAACTTTGAACACTACCGTTTCAGGAGTGCAGTATGACAGATTAGCGAACTTATTTGTAAACGGTGTTGAAGTGTGGAGGACTTCTACGATTGAACCAGGAAGAGATACTGCATTCTCGAGCTTCAAGAAGGATATAACTTCATATGTTAACCTATTCAAAGATGATGCTGATATATTGTTCGAGTTGAATAATCTCCTAAACCACAAATTGACAGGTTCGTTCGATATTCTTATGACGATTGACTTCTATTTTGATCCTTCGGGAGAACTGTTTAAGCCCGAAGCTGATGCTGAAGACTTGGGTGAGAAGTATGAGTTGTTTTCTGTTCGTAGGCCGGCAGACAAGGTGTTACCAATAACAGTTAAAGACGAATACAAGAACGCTCATTCTCATTATCTTCCTAATGATAAAGTTTCTATTCAGTTGCCCAGTTTGTCAGCTAACACGACTAGATTGTTGTTATCTGTCGTAGCTTCAGGAAATGCTGACGAAGAATTCTGGTACACAAACGTTATAGATAGATTGAAGCATGCCTTTCACAAAAGAGATGTACCATTATTGGGCCATGGACCCATGAGATATGTCAATGTTTATCTCAATGGAAAGAAAGTGAGTGTTCAAGTACCTGAACCAGTCATATTCACTGGTGGCATTTCTCCTGCATTTTGGTCAGCTACAGTTTCAACCGATACTTTCGATGTTCCATCATATACTTTCGATCTTAGTGGGTTGTTACCCTTACTTTGGGAAAGTAATTATGATCCAAGTGAAGTGAACTTGTCTATTGAAATAACAAATGGGTTAACCGAGCTCGGTAAGCAAGAAGGGCCAATGGTAGGACACAATTGGATCACAACCGCTCATTTATTGACTTATGAAAATGATCAAGTTTTGAAGTCTACTGGAGAAGTTATAAATATTGACGATACAAAGAAATCAAATGTTGTTGCTATACACCCTCCATCTACAGGTACTTTGCAACAGGTTGTCGATGGTAAGTTTGGTGCAGAAATTTCAAGTAACTTAGTGTTTACTCTTAGAGATGGATCTGTGTTGAATACGACTTTCTCATTTGTTACGAACGCCTCGACCTCAAATGTGCAAAGCTATTCTGGATATGGTGTTCGTCAGAACATAGTACATTCCAGTACTTCTAAGCTGCTTTTGAGTATCATTGATAACAACTCAAAGAAGCCGGTCTTAATATTCCGTAACAGATTGAATTATCCTTTAGTACTTTCTCTGACCGAAGAGAATAGAAGCACACCGGATGAATTGAGATTGCATTATGATTTTTCTCTTGTGCATAGCAAAGATGAAAGAATGCTAATTAATGATAAAACTATAGTTGCAATTGATAGACCTCAAAATGGTACCTCAGAATTTCTTCTTGCTCCCAGTGGTAACCATGGTCTGGGAAAGATTGATACTAAATACAAGTTGAAAGTATCGTCTCCTGATAATTCTAAGCACTACTTAAGAGCAGTCAAAGCGGTAAATGGAACCGTAACGAATGATGATACCTCCGATTGGACCGATTCTTTACCTGGAAAATTTACCATGAAACTTACTGATGAAACAAACCATTATGATATACTTCAACAAGCGTTCACTACCTTTGGTTACAATTTCGACTATGAAAATGGACATGGAACTCCAGCCTTGAATGACGAGGCTGTTGAATTGAAAGCCGATGAATGGAGCAAAAAAGCTCCTCATTCAAGGGAGAGAAAGTTCAAGAAATTGATTAAACCGAGAAGACATTGAATCTGCCTATTTTATTTGTTTTTTAATTGATTATAAATATATATGTTTTAATAATAGTGATTAACCGAATCCCGCCCACTCTATCGAAAAGGAGTCTACTGTAGAACTTTCAGTAAAATTAGGAAATATCCTTCCATCCTCTTCTTTCTTTGGTTGATGCTTATCTTTTGTTGCATCAACAATCACCCATAGTTTTTTAACTCCTGTCGCCAACCTTCCACCGGTAATTAAATCGTAGTCGGTTACTGTAGAGCACGCGTTGACAATCAAATGACTATGGTATCTCAAAGGATCTCCCGGATAACATAAAAATTCACCTCCAAATTTAAGACCCAGTGAAATGAAAAAACCTAATGATTTCATGTATTTGAAGATGTTGTAAGTTTTGATTAAATCCTCTAGTTCTTTAGAACTGTCATAATTTCTTTCAATGAACTGTTCAATGCTGATCTCATTCTCAAGAGCGATATTTTTATTAGTCATTTGAGTATCTCTGGTGATAACTTGATTTTCAATTATATTGTCCTCCATAGATATGTTAGATCCTTTCAATATTTGGTCATTGTAAGCTCGATTATCAATTAATCTACCATAACCCCATTGTACTAGCCATAATGTCTCGTAAAAGCTCAATTGTAAGGGTTTCGATAAAAATAAATTTTGTTGTGGGTACTTCGGTAAAGTTCCAACTAAAACTCCCGGTATATCAAGCTTCCTGAGACTCTTTATATCATCTAGTTCAAATATCAAAACTTTATCACCTACGACAGGCAAAAGAATAACGTCCATAAATAAGATAAGGTGTAAATGAAATAAAAAAAATAAAAAAAAAAAAAATAGATTAAAAAAAAAAACAGATGTGTTATTGTGATTCCGTATTTGATTACCTAGAGTTAGTCTATAATGTCTACAATATCTACAATAATAGACGAGAAGTGATCTCAAAAAAGTTTATTATACCAGTATTTAACCATTTTCTAGATACATGCATTAATCGATTAAACTAGAAACGGAAATCTTTACTTCTTTTCTTCCATGACCTGCCATATTACTATTATTAGAATTAACATTAATTTTTTCATTCGTTTTTGTATTCGTAGAATTACCAGAACTAACAGTACTGTTTGAATCAATACTATTGGGGTTTGTGGTTGCCGAATTATTAGCATTATTATTATGTCGGTGATCCACATGAAATTGCTCCTCCTTTAAGACAATGTTTGCTGTGTTATTCCTGTTCAACGTAACAGGGGATGTAGTAGTAGTTAAAATATTATTGAAAGGAGTAGCACCTGACCCGCTAGAAATACTAAATCTATTAGAAGGGGTCAGAAACGTAGAATTGAAAGAATTTTGAGATATAGTTCTCTTGTGACTGGAGTCTTTCAAAGGATTGGGAAAAAAGTCTGGTGCAATGGATGACCTCCTAGAAGAACCAGACGAATTGTGAAAATCGCAGTGAGTGATTGAATTATTTCTGCTCATGGTCAAGGGACTCCCATAATAAGGAGGCGTGTTCGAAGTTGAAGACAATGTAGACGATAAGTTTGGGTGTGACCGAGTCAACAAGCTACTATTGTTCTGCAGATACATCGAATTTGAAGTAGAATGTCGCCTAGATGTCAGACTCTCGTCTAGTAGCCTTCTCTTTGTGGACGCTATGGGAGGTAACACATTTTGCGAAGTAACATCAAGACTTGAGGACCTGCTCGATTTTTGTTTCACTGGTGAGTGCAACAGGTCGGACGGAGGAGATGTTTTGGCTGATGCTTCCTTCTCGGAATTGAACATTGACGTATTGAAGGCGATCTGAGGAAGGTGTGGCGGGGGAAGATGCACCAGCGACGAAATCGGAGGGAGCAGTACCAGCAGGTGCTGGTGTGTATTGGTGCTCTGCTGAGAACTCTGACTCTGAGGTGGCAGTTGCAGCAGCAGTCCTTGCTGCGTCGATTCACTCGAAGTCGACAGCATCTGTTGCAGCAGCAGTGTGGTCAGATCTCTTCTATATTCATTACTCGCAAGACTAGCCTTTCTTCGCCTATTGGCACCACCATTCCACCAGTTCTTTATAGCATTATCACTACGACCGTTGAGGTGTCTAGAAATCTCTGCCCATTTTTTACCATACTTACCCACTAACCTCTCTATCAACTCGCCCTCCTCTATTGTAATCGGTGACTTATTCAAGCTTGGTTTCAAATTCTGGTGATATCTTTCCCTGCACTGTTTAGGAGTTCTCGTGCCTAGGTTGCTAGATATCCTTACCCAGTTAGAGGGTCCAAAGATGGATATTAGCTCCATTAGTTTCCTGTCTTCATCTGGAGACCATGGTCCTCTTCTAGTCTGTGAAGGAGCTGCATTGTGGATGGTTATAGGTTGCTCGGTATTGCTATAATAGCTTTGATAGTTCATCCTCTAACTCTGATGAGTGAAGTGTTTGGGAAACAGATAACGCTGGATATGATGTAAACTATATATCGTAAAGAAAAGTCGTTCTAAGATGCAATTGCGGACAAGAAGGAAGAAACCAAAAAAAAACGAACAAAACGCACAACGAAAAGTACGCAGACAAGAAACATGCAGAGGCTCAATTTAGAGATCATGCAAGAAGTAGTCGCGAACATGAAGCAGAGTAACCTTCAGTATGAACTAGACTCAATACTATAGTAATTGGCTTTCAAAGAAGGGACTTGTAGTCGGGCTAGAAAAGAAGTTACCGGGAGACATTTCTCTGGCGGGAGCAACTGTCTTTAGAGAATCGGAAGCATATTGTTAACGGACAACCAAAATAAGATACCGACTAACGGGAAACAATAATGTAGCATGAACATGCGGCATAAGATAGACCCTACTAGTTCGGCGGCCCTGTTTACTGGTTATCCCGTTTCCATCAAAGAAATGTAACGCAAGAACAGGCGAAAGTGTCGATGGCACGAAAGAAGATGCCCAGCCTCACCAGTGCCTCGACACACAATTAACCTGCAGACAGAAATTGGACCCGCCCTAGGATTTAATTTTGGCAACGTTCTATTCATAAGTTAGAACTAATTTATGCAATGATATCTAACTATACAGATTATATACAATGCTTCACCTTTTTGCTTACATCAAGATTTACCTCACGCTGCGGTAAAGAGGTTCCTAATCCCGTATCGTCCCGAACAACATGTACGTAACACCGTAAGGTTTTTGCGGTTAGCTTTAAGAGGTAAGGAACGCCGATAAAAGCGGCGACACCGGGCCGCCAAAACTTGTCAAATTAATTGATACAAAGTTTAACTTAATTTTGTATTCTCTTAGGTTGATGTTTCGAGTCTATTCCAGCTCTGAGCCAGCCTAGATATCTTATGAATTTTCTATAATAATCGTCCAGCTCTTAAGTTAGCTGGTCATAATATTCGTCTAAGTCCTCTTTTTCAAACACTACCCTAACTTGCAACGAACAGCTTGGACAGACGGCTATGTCTTCGCCATCAGCTAAATCATCAATAGTTATTGCAAACTTATCGCCACAAGGACATGGATACTGAAAAAGCTGTGTAATAGGGTCAAACGTGAAGTCTTCTATCTCTATTTCATCATAAACATCCATGATATCATAAATTTACTATTCATCGCTCATCAGATAAATTTCTGTCGATGAGATGTGACTACAAAAAATTATGTCTCACGACATCATTTTGCTTGCTGACCTTGGACCCTTTTAGCTAAGAGCACGTGCTGCAGAAAGGCGGAAAAGAACGCGGACATTGAAGTCGGGACCAATTAGGAAATAACCGCTGTCCTAACCGTCACGACATTTGTCGTTACTCACTACCAAATGTTTGAGGGCAGGGGCCCTTCAACTCATGAGATAAAATACTCACGTGCATATCCTTCATTCAAATTTCCTCTCATTCGAAGCTTTGTGTCACTTTGGGCAGTTCTGCCTCAAAATTTTTCACCATTCACTTGGTAGAAAAGTGCATTGCAGTGTTTTCACAGAACAGTTATTTGTTTTCTTTAAAGACAAAGTAAAGTAAGTATAAGGGATAAATTAATGAAGAAGACAAAGAGTAGCAACTACTGCTAATTAGGAGAAATGTAAAGACCCATACTAGATCCATGTATGGTTAGGAATTTGATAGCTTCTGGTATCAAGGAGCAAAGTCGTTAGCGAAAGACAGTTAAAAGGCAAACTATATTGATGGACTTCATAGTGATCGGAGGATATAATATGTTTTGAATATCAGAGCTTATGACATAAGTTAACAGTCCCTGAGTAATCACAGAAGAAAGAATATCGAAGTTAAACAGGAGTTCTTTGACCTTCAAATTGAGGTTATTCTATGTCTATTTTCGTTCTCAATTTGAATTAATACTAACATGTTTTAGAATGGGTATTTCAAGAGATTCACGTCACAAGCGTGCTGCTTCTGGTGCTAAGAGAGCTCAGTTCAGAAAGAAGAGAAAGTTCGAGTTAGGTAGACAAGCAGCTAACACCAGACTTGGAACGAAGAGAATCCACACTGTCAGAACCAGAGGTGGTAACAAGAAGTTCAGAGCTTTGAGAATCGAATCCGGTAACTTCTCATGGGCTTCCGAAGGTGTCTCTAGAAAGACCAGAATTGCTGGTGTTGTCTACCACCCTTCTAACAACGAGTTGGTCAGAACTAACACTTTAACTAAGGCTGCAATCGTCCAAATTGATGCTACTCCATTCAGACAATGGTATGAAACTCATTATGGTCAGACTTTAGGTAAGAAGAAGAACCAGCAAGCAGCATCTAATGTCGAGGAAATCAAGAGATCTAGAAAGGTTGAAAGAAAATTAGCTTCTAGATCTTCTTCCGCAGCTATTGAAGCTGGTGTTGATTCCCAATTCGGTGCTGGTAGATTGTACGCTGCTATCTCCTCAAGACCAGGTCAATCAGGTAGATGTGATGGTTACATCTTGGAAGGTGAAGAATTAGCTTTCTACTTGAGAAGATTGACAGCTAAAAAGTAATTCTTTCAGATACTCTATCTGCTTGCTACTAGTATATAATCATCATAATAAAACGTAAAGTAAAACGAAAAATGTGTAAGCTAAAAAGAAAGACTAATGCTAGTGATCTTGCAGATCCTTATATAATTAGTATATCTAGTAAAGTTCTACAGTTTATGCAAATTCCTAAACCAAACCACAATAGTTAGTATAAGTTCATATCCAATTACTCAGTATTAAGCAATTTTTATCCTCAATTCTTGAAAGTTTTCAAGCCAGTCAAGAATCAGTACAGGTCTGTGTTGATTTATCATCATCATAACTAGATAACATACTTACTCTTTAAAAACTTGACATGCTAATGAATAAAGTAGTTTTGCTACCAGCTATAAAGCTGGAAACTTAGTTTAGTCAAAAATCAACGGTACCACAAAATATGAAGCAATGTCGAAGAAAGAGAAAAAAAAAATTGTCCCTGCAAAAAAAAAAGTGAGTATATGGAACGAAAAAATTTTTGGTTTAGAAACTTACCATTAATGCAACATTAGCAAGCAATTTTTGGGGATGTAAACCTAGCTCACCATAATTACAACAATATCCCCTTATCACAATGGTTTTTATCACATGATCTTTAAAAGAGAGCTCACATCTACTTTACACTCTTTTACAAGAAATAAACTACTCTTCAACTCTATAGATCTACACATACATATCTAGAGCTTTCAATTGATTGGCCAATATCCTGGAAACAAGAAGTGCATCTTCTCTAACAACTCCTTCTTTACACCATGAGGATTGGTGGAAACGGCATATTTCATCGAGCCTTTCAAATCTTCACCAAGAGAAGATCCCTTTTCAAACTCTTCACTTATAACATCTATTAAATGAGCAGCCAATTTACAAGCATTTGCCGAGTTAGCTTTCAAATTACCAACTACAGTCTCAACGGTAACCGGCTCTTCATTTTCGTTCCATGAATCGTAATCAGTTGACATACAAATCATTTGATAAGCTATTTCTGCTTCACGAGCCAATTTTGCTTCTGGTAAGACAGACATATTAATGACTGACCCACCCCATGTTCTGTACAATCTAGATTCAGCCCTTGTGCTGAATTGAGGGCCCTCCATACATACAACTGTTAGATCGTTTCCTTTGTTAGTTTTGTGTTTAGTGTGTAAAGTGGGAGTGCCATCGCTATCAAAGCCTTCTAAAAATCCAGTAGCTGGAACATGCGAAGAAATCAATTCGTTCAACTTCAAGTCAAAGGGCTCTCCAAACATAGCGTGTGCTACGAATCCTTTCTCGAAGAATGTTGAGGGCCTTATCCCCTTCGTTCTGTCAATTATTTGTGTGGGCAAAACAAAATCCCTAGGCTTAATTTCGGGCTGCAATGACCCAACTGCCGAAAAAGCGACGATAGTTTTAACACCAAGTTTTTTCAATGCAGCTATATTAGCTCTCGAAGGCACATCCGATGGTAGTAAATCATGATGTTGACCGTGTCTAGCCAAAAATGCAACAGGAAACCCACTCTCTGTTGTAGATATTGTAATTGGTGCAGAAGGAAATCCCCATGGAGTTGAGATAGTTAATCTGGCCACCGGTTTCAAATTAGGCAAATCATACAATCCAGTGCCTCCAATGACCGCCAAAGGTACTTCTCCTTCATAACTGTGCGGTAACGTCTTCAATTCAACATTGTCTCTGTGCAATGACATCTTTAAAACCTTTCTAATTCTTGGTCCCAAATATCTTTGCATTAGACAATCTGTTCAATACAACATTTGTCAGACCTACAAGATTTACGATGGTGAGCTGTGGCATAAACTGCATAAAACTATTCAATATGCAATTTCTGCTTTTGATAAACGTGTAAAGATCGGATTTCTTATTTTGCATGTTAATGTAAATAACCCGCAAAAATGATGATGTAAATTCTTTCTTTCCTATTCCGTTTCTAAAAAAACGGATCCCATAGCAAATAGATCTACATTCGAAACATAATAGATGATATCTCATAGCATATCAACATCGCGTATGAGATGTTTTGGACTCGGTTGGTCGGGTAGAGCAATATTCTTGCGTACCTACTCGTCTAAACCACCCAAATCACCTCAAATGGAGAAAGGGGAATCGGTGGCCAAAGGAAGAATGATACCTAAAAAGATGATGAAATCAAGAATAAGGACTAATGATGCAGTACTGGCACATCCAATCACTACTGCAAAGGCTTCAGAGCCCCATAATGAACTGTCAGCCCCATCGAAATTCATTTCATTTAAAGACTTTCCGAAGGCGCCACAAGAAATCCTCGACCAAAGTCTAGAGCAGTTGTATACCTCAATAAACCTCAAACCATGGGTCAATACGAATACTGTATCAGAGCCTTCGGAGGAGGAAATTTTGAAAAAGAAGCCTGAAAACTTCGTCGACTTTACTATTCCGGACAAATTTTTGAAATCAAAAGCTAATGAAGAGATAACCAGTAGAGACAGGGCTCTCGTCGAGGAGCTAGATAATTTCTTGAAGGCTGATGATGTGAATGAGGTCTTACCGTCGCAATTAAATTTGATTAAGCTATACTACGATCAGAATACAAACAGTTTCCAGCCATATCCGGAGCATACTTTAAAGAGATCATTGCTGGGGATGATAAATTTGAACCCTTGCCTCAACGACATTGATGATAAATACCTCTGGAAATTATTTCCTGAACATAAGTTATTTGGTGTTCCTCCTTTTGAAGAAGGGAGTCATGGATTTAAGAAGTGGGAGCGTGAAATGCTTGAAAAGGAAAAAGAAGCCAAGATTGCGAAAGAAGACGATCAGAGAGAGCTCACAGAGTTTGAATCTGCCTTGAAAAACTCCAAATCTTTCTTCACAAAACCAAAGAAGGGATCTAGAAGGAAGCTCGATAGAAAGTTACTAAAGAAGTATAAAAAATTGAAAGAGGAAGGTAAGATCCCTAAAGAATTCATTACTGATGGTTATGATTTACTTAAGTAGATTAAGAATTCGACGTGCATTTATAACGAAAGAAATTCATCATCGTAGAGTATACGATATCAATGTAAATACAACACAAAAATTATTCAATTATGCTCATTGAGACGTCTTCGTAACCATATTTATGTTTGTTTTCTTCAAACACTCTCTTTAATTCGTCCACATATAACTTGTGATAACGATCGATCAATTCCTGTGGAATATTCTTTTTAGTAGCATTAGGTGTAGTTCTTTTAAGTGAGCTCAATAAGAAAAGGCTGGAGAACGATCCATTTCTGTTCTTGCCTGCAAGGGCCAGCGCAGGCTGTGAGTCGTCGAATTCTGGATGGGTCTGTTTATATTCAGCTAAGACTCCTTCAGGAACATGAATAGGGTTTCCAATAACAATATTAATAGGATTTCTGTAGGGTAAGAATCCAAAATCGTATATGAATACACCTCTTGCACTAAAAAATGGTAAGGTGAATTGAAATGTCGACTTCATCCACTTTTGAAACGCGTTACCTAGTGACCCTGGTTTTGGGGTATTAAGCCTATAAATGTCTGCTTCTCCAAATGCGAACGTTGGAACTAAACTCACATTTCCTAATTCAATAGCTAATTTGATGAATCCTTTACGCCTGTTTAATACAAGTTTAATTTCTCTCTTGGAGCCTTGTTCATTCCCTTCCTTTTCACCTTCTTCTTTAGATTTTTCATTTTTTTCACTAGCTAAATCTTCTCTTGAGTCTGCTTTTGAATTTTCTTTTGCATTCTTTTTTGCATCCTCTTTTGAGTCTGTAGCTGTTTCTTCTTCTGTCTCTTCTTCTGTTTCATCTTCCGTGTCTTCATGTTTATATCCACTGCCTACTCTTCCTCTGGGTGCAACCATTTGATTTAATAAGGACTCCTGGGCACCTCCAACAACAATACAAACAGAATTATCACCATTGTTTATAAGACTTTTAATATTTTTAGACGAGGCACTTGTGAGCCCTAGTCCTAAGAGATAGTCTCGATAATATGGCAAGGTAAACTGAGTAGTCAAAGTTAAAGGGAATATATTTCCAATTCCAGGTAAAATTCTTTTGCCTTTCGAGGAATCATGAAATAACGGTTTTAAAAAGTTAAAAATCGGTTGGAATGGCTCATTTCTTAAAGCGTTTGTGGCAAAGAGGCCCATGACGCCCATTGAGATGACGCCATGAGGATGATAACCAAATATATAACGTGGCCCAGTTGTTACTTTTTTGAGATGGTAAAGTACTGGATCTTTATTGTTGCTACCTGTTGGCGGTGGCAGATAACCGTCAATATCATTAAGTCTTTTGCTCAATCCTAATTTCTTGAAAATACCGTCAATAAGTGTTCTAGAGTGTTCAGATACCAAATCTTCTTCATCATCCGGTAAGCTTTCAACTGCTACTGGAATAGTGGAAAATGTAGGCTCCAAATCACAAGATTTGTAAACCCTGATCGGAAAGTAATCCACAAACCATTCCCATATTATAAGATTCTTCATCCAATCTCTAACTCGGTAGACAACCTTGCCATTCGATGGTGTATGCAAATCAAACCCATACCACCATATGAAATAAGGTAGGACAATTAAGAGCCACCCAAGAACACCCAACGACAAGGTATATAAAAATAGAATAGTAAATGTGGGGATTGATATAGTATGCCAAATAATGCCTATAGTCTCTAACCTATTGGATAACGGGGTATTTAAGGGAGCGACATGTAATAGTTTCTTACCTTTTCTTGTTTTTCCTTTGGCTTTGTTCTCTCCTCCGGAGCGTCTTTTTCGGAGTTCTGACTCCATAATGATTTACAACAATGTACGCCAATTCACACTCTTGCTGTCTAAGCCCAACCAACGATTGTCTGCTATAAACCTTGTGCCTCTTGAAGATTGATTCCTTCAAACTAAAACTGTTTTAAAGAACGTTTGGGTCAGTCAATTAATGATTTTAAATAAACAGTTCCCCTTACTTTTTGCCGTAAGCAGAAGGGTAAAATCTATTCTCAAAACGGAAAGTTCTTTGGGTCGAAAACTGAGAGGTATCAGTTTATTTTGAAAGTATATAAACGGAACTAATAAGTTCTCAAATGGTTAAAAGAGACGAGACAGAGTTAGATAATGATGGACAAAAGACTCATTACTGGATAAAGGGGAAGAAACGTGCTAGAAGAGGCTTTTTAAAGACGTTGGATGGACTTCTTGGATCCGGGACAAAACAGAGCTCGCCTTTTGTACGGCTCTTCAATGGAAGAGAAACCGATTCAGCAGTAGCAGCTCGGTATTCCTTGTACCAAGAGCTATGGATGTCTCAGGAGGCAATGGCACATAAGATTTTGAATAAGACCAATGTGACTATGTTTGAAAATTTGTTGCAATTTCTAAGGGCCGAGTATAAAAAGCTACCAGTAGGACTACTTCTGTTGACTTCAAACAGTGCTAACAATACGAGAATTTTACAGGAGCTTTACCGTTATATAGAAAGATATGGAAAGGATGTGAAAATTGCTGCCTTGAATTCAAAAAACTGTGCAAATATCAAATCGATGCTTCGGGAAGTGGTCAAACAGTTTCTTAGCTTCAGTAACATTTCCAATGAGGATAGAGATGAGGAAGTAGATGATGAATATGAAGATAATGAGGGTAGGGTGAGCTATGATTTCGATCTTGTTGAGGATTGGTTCAATTCCCAAAGACGCCCAGACATGAAATTGGTAATTCTTCTTGAAGATACTGATTCCATGGATAGTCTTGTTTTGAACCAACTTATTAGACTTTTATATTCCTATTTCAAAAAATTGCCATTAAAAATAGTCATGGGCTTGTCATCAGAGAATGCTAGCAACTGGGTGAACTCTAATTTAAGCAATGACGTGAGAATTTTAATTGATGGATATAAATTTAAAAGTAATAATAATAAGAGTTTGGCGTACACAATTATGAATGAGTTATTTTTGAATGTGAATACACCATTGTTGTTGGACTCTGTTTTATCGTCAATATTGTTGACTCGTTATGAAAATTCCAATAATTCAATTGATATTCTCTTATCTGAAATTAAATTATCCTATATGATACACTTTTATGGATCTCCGTTACCAATTTTGCTTCAGAAAGAATTCAAACTTACCAAGCCTTATATAGATGCATTGAGGATGTTGCCAAGTTTTAAATCTCACATAGAAATGAAAGTCCATGATCTTCGTGAATTGAAGGAAAATTTTCAGAAGAGCGAAGCCATACCCGAATCACAAATGCCAAATTCTAAGACGCAGCATAAACTTAAAATTGAAATTGATTTTTTGAAAAATGATATTCAAGAACTCTTAAATTCTGATGATGCTCTAATTCATTTATTTCGCAGCTCACGTATCCAGTTTCTGTCTTATAAACTTTCCGTCTTTAATGCTGTTAATGTCATCCACACTCTTCAGCCTGAAAAAAGTACTTTTGAAATTTACAAATTAATTGTTAATGCCCAACTTTTCAACTCGCTGCATCTCAGTCGTTTTTTCAAACACTTGCAAACATCGCCTGAGACATTTAAAAGAATAGAAAAACTAAGAGCATCTGAAAACTTGGTCGAGAGCCTTGATGGAGTTAATGATGATAATTTAATTGAGCTTAATAATGATTTGAGGCTTCTTACTTCGGATAACTATTCTTCAAAACTAATTAATGCGGTGCAAAGATTTTTAAATAACCCACAGTTAGCGAGACCAATTAACCTGTTATTGTTTAGTGAAATTTATACCATAGATGGTGGCTCCTTGGAATTCAATACTGCTAAGAGTATTGAAGAGAATAAGGAAAATTTAATGATCAATTTAATAAGACCAAATTTAAGGTCTATTCTAGAGGCGGCATTAGAAGATTCTGATTCTTATTTGAAGAACGAACTCATCTTGAAAGAAATTGAAAGAATCAGTGAAGTTAGGGCACCTCCACTTTCACAATTATTTGCTGTATATAAAGATGCGCCAGCTTCTGTCAATTTATTCGATTTCTACTCAGCCTTTAAGCATTCACTCAACAAGGAGAGCATTATTGATGATATAAAGCAAAACCTACTAAAATGTGATCTCCCCAACAAGAAGAAGCTATTAGAGCTCGACATTGATTGGGATAAATTTACATATACAGTATTCATTCAATCATGTTTCGAATTGATAATGATGGGAATTTTAAAAGAGAAATCGAGAGCGGACTTTTTAGAAAAGTCCATATGGAAAGGTTTATAGATTTAGTGAATATTGAATATCATAAAATGAGACATGTATTGAAGGTAATAAATATGTGAGTTCTAGATTAGAAACACACCATTTCGGGATTCGCTATCGTCCGCAGCTTGTTCTTTTTTCTCGTCTGGGTTTGTAGCCTGATTCTGGTTCTGTTCCTCGTCCTTATCAGTTCCCTGTTGATCCTTTACTTCGCCGGCTGCAGCATCAGCAAGTTCTTTGCCGGATTGACCCGGTTGCCCACTCTGTTTATCTTGTGCTTCTTTCTGTGCTTGCTCTGCCTCCTCTGCTTCCGCCTCCTCTTCCATCTCATAGTCAGTTTTGTCGCTATAGAACTTGTTTGTCACACTCTCGAGCACATTCTTCAACTTTTGACTATTTTGCTCGTATAATTCAGGGTTATTACTTTTGATATGACTATGTGCTGAAAAAGAAACAATAATCAATATTGCCATCAATGACAAAGTTGTGACCATAGTCATCAATCTTCTAGTTTTAAATATTCTGTTCGCCATCACCGTAGTGTTACCACGTACACTCATTACCTTATGCTTAATATTAATAGTAAAAAAACCCCTTTGCTTGTGAGAGGGATCAATAAGTACCTCAATATTTGAACAATACGCATTCAATTATATATACTACTCTATATAGTGATAAATTGTGCAGTCACGTGCACATAAATACACAAAGGCTCAATGGACATGCTCAAATAGATGCAGGAAAAAATCCTCTAACATGTGAGGTTCAGATGAAGGACTGGCCACCACCCCTGACTCAAAAGATTGACTCAAAGATGGACGCTTAGAAGCTGCTTCAGCTCTAGCCTTTTCCTCTTGAGCCTTGGCCTCTTTAATTTTTGCTTCTCTAAGCTTGGCTTCTGCTTTCTTTTTCGCATTCTCCTTAGCTTTGTCTGCAGCAATCTTGTCTTTCTGAATTTGTTCATAACTCCGGAAATCAAAGTGACTGAGCCAAACCTTGCCCAAGACATGAAACTTTTCGGTCTCTAAGTCGTTGAATTCTATAAAATGGCCCTTTGCAATGTTAGACTCAGTTTCACCTGTTTTCTCGTTGAAGGATTCGGCACCGATCTGCGAATAACCACACCAGGTGTATCCACTACAGTAATCCCTCATGTTGATCCATGCTTTGTCTGATTCGTCTTTGTTATTAGGTGCCTCCAAAGCATCTACAGGGGGGATTACGGCATGTCTAATTATCACTTTGTCCTCGAAAAAAGCTTTAAAACTTTTAAAAGTTTTGAGCCTTCTGTATCTTTTTTTGGATTCAAATTCTTGTTCAAACTTTTGTTTCTTTCCACATTGTTTGAAGCCTGAGTTGAACCATAACAATGTGTGATTATCAACATCGCTTATATGTCCCGGGTGGTTAGAGCATACTTCAAGAGATTTTAATAGTTTTGCTTTCTTTGCATCATTCAGTCTTTCCTCGCTAGGTGTCACCTCTCCAATAGCTGCTGCAAAATGCTCGTTGAATGAATATTTCTCATCTCCTGACATGACTAATGATAACCAGAATAATTCCTTATCTCCATAAATTCTAGATTGAACTGGAAGATAAAAATTGAGCAATGCCATTATCAAAGGTTGAGTAAAATGTTTGTTACGATTGATCACAACCAATCCCGATTCCATATAATGACTAGAACCTAAGAAAAATTGTCTCTGTAATGTGTAATCGGTGATTTGTTTAAAGTTAAACATTGCTGTGTCCATTGCTGATGGCATTAGCTTTTGAAAAAAAGTCAAATCAGATTTCGGTCTATATTCAACAGCATATCTATCTTTAAAAAACATTGTACCATTGTTAATGTACTTTGGGAGATTGAAGAAGAAGTTTGGGTCCTCCAAAATAACGGTATCAGCGTCCACTAAAATCATTTCCTGAAATGAATTAAATAATGTGGCAAGAATTTTATTACTGAAACCTTCGAACTTGTGCTTGTAGTCACTTTTGATTGATTCAGAAACATCAACAAACCATATATCCTGATTAGGATAACCATCAAAGTAAGTTGTACTCGCTGCCACTAATTGAAACTTTGATTCACTTGAAATACTAGATTGATGTATTATTTCAATTGGAAGGGTATTACCTAACTTTCTAAGTAATCGAATTAATCGAATTGTCAAATCTAAATGTTTATCAGCAATACTGAGAACAATTCCCTTTCCATTTAACTTCATCTTGTAGTTCTCCAAAAAGCAATTAGATACTCTAGGAACTTTTTTTGTCTCATCCAGAGTAGCTATATTTTTGAATTTTGGAAACTTGTAAACTTTTCCATCCCAATGCTCGTAGCGAGGTAATTTAAAAGTCAACCAAGGATAAACTCTTCGTTCAAGTTCATTACATGAAAATTGTTTTAATACGAGGCTCTTATGTGCCTCTTTTGGGTTTAGTATGAATGATCCAAAGACAGAACTTTGACGTTTAGAAAAGTTTTCAATATCTCCATCGCTTGTTAAATAACATTTGTTAAATATTCTCGCATGTGCTACAAAATTGTGCATTACCTGCTCGTCATAGCGGATTCTTTCCCAGTTCTTACGGAAATCTTCTTCGAAACCATTCAAAACCTGAGTACCAACCTTCTCATCTTCGCTTAGTTTATTCTTTTCTCTATGTTCCCTAATTTTATCGGATAAATACTCTTCAAAAGGTTTAAAGTTTCCTTTTTTGAATTCAAAGTTTCTGAGAGGATCGATAAACCAGTCATTTTTTGAATTGTATAATTGACTAAAGTATAAATCGCATCTTTCCCTAAGGCCGGAATTTTTCAAAACTTCGAGGAAATTCGCTGACTCAAGTAAATCATCATATACTTTAGATCTAATCGTAACGTTTTCAAGCTGTCTTCCCTTTGGATACATAGACAGAACCAATTCATTGAGTGATGTGCGATCGATAACCACTAATTTGCTTGCATTAAACCACTCGTGCTTTGTCCAAATCCAAAGAATGACAATCCATAATATAACGGTACATCTTAAAATCAACCCACGATATCGGCGACCACACCACATCACCATTAATAGTACTGGAAATCCTTACGATAATGTTAGACTATCAGATTTTGATTCCTTTCAAAGATATAGACGCGATTGGTATAAGCAAACAGTGCAGATCAAGAGCAGTCCTCGTTAAATAAGTAGACTTTTTTTTTTCCTTTGCAATAGTTGACTTTTACACCTTTCACACTTCAATTCAGCCCTATCCTCTTAATTATTCACCTCTGTAACCTCCACTAGAGATTCTCTTCCTTCACGAGTCTGAGCAATTATATTTTACAAATCTCTTCTAGATCGGAAGAGAAACAGTCCGAAATATTCAAACTACCTGATAGAGAGAAAGAATCTGTACTTGAGACAAAGCGAGCCTTATTTATGAGACTACAACTAAGTCTTTGTGGTCCACGGCTTCCAATTATACTTGTTCTGTTGAAGTCCAATAGTTGTCTCTGCTATAATCTTAAGATCTCACTAAAAAATGCTCAAAGGTCCACGTGCCCTACACATTTCGAAAATAAAAGTGTCTCTATAATAAAACGACAATGTCTCTGGAGTGACAGGATGGTGATAAGTAAGATAGGTATATAAAGACTAGAGCATTGAGATAGGAGGAGGAGAGGAGGAGAGGAGTATGGGAAATGTATTAAAAAAAAGCCTATATTCTACTGCTTTAATATAAAAGAACAGAGCAATACGTATTAAATTTGAAGGGAGTAGGAAGTGTCGTGTGATCGTATGATTCAATGTCAAGTGCATCCAAGGATGCCGTTGGTAAAGATGTTTTCCGTGTAGTCATAGATTTGATCTCTCGCGTACTGCGCTATCTAAGATTTCTTAGCTGCCATAGCGTCGTTTATTACGCCGTAGCATAGACGATCTTCTTTAACTATTTTTTACCTCTCAAGACATTTTCATTGGCCACAGTATTTCTCAAGAACAGTCGTGTACAGTCTCTATGATCTTGCGAGCATCAAGCGACAAAAAAGAAAGTTTAGTGCCTCACCGCGACTAAGTGCCGTGAAACAATTGCGGCATCAGGGGCGGCCATGAAGATGGCCACGACGACTGCAGAATATCAAGAATAATATCCCAACGACTGCTCAAAACCCACTACACCGCGGTGAGGTCTACAAGTTTATCTTTCCTTCTCTCTCCTGGGTTCACATTCTACGGTTGATGCATTTTCTTACACGAGACCCTGCGCAATCTAGAAGTGCCTACTGTATGTAACAACAAAGCATTCGAGTATACTAAACAATTTTCTCTCAATAACCTTTTAGGCTACTGAACTCTTCGCTTGAATGTCTTGCGAGATCGACGATGGCCTTCATCCGACTGCAATTATATTGATAAGAGTCTTCTTGGCTTATCAGAAGAGAAACTTTTACTGCACAGAAGTTTGAGCAAACAGAGCAACTGTCAGCGATTTGCCCCTCAAAAAAATATTCTCACCAAAATCAGTAATTACTGACTTTGAGTAATAAGAACATCTCTACTTCGCGGGGATACCTGGCATTTGCCGATATGTAGCTTTCTACTTATGTCTGAGGCGCCTTTGTTCTACTGAGCACATACTCATATGGTTCAATAGACGTGCAGCAGACCAATAACATTGAGTTCCACAGTGCGAAAGATGATCGCCCGTCGTCACTATCGCCCATCACACACGGCAATTTCATTTTATGCATGTGGTTCCGGGTAAGGAAAGAACAATGATAACGATAACGAAAGAAACTCCATATTCGATGTCTATATATATAATAATGAACAAAGAACCATCGAAGCGCCTAGGACAATAATCTGAGAATTCAGAACTTCAATAAACGAGACTAAAATGCCCGAGAAGGAGTTAGATTACATCAGGTCTAGAGACGCTGCAGATGGCTCCTCCGATGAGAAAGGTGGAGTCTACATTGATGCCTTTGAAAAGGGCGAAAATAAACCTGAATTAACGGGTTTTGCTAAATTTGTCGACTCATTCAAAAGGTTTGATGATGAGGATTTGGGAATTGACCCTAATCTCTCCGAAGTTGAAAAGATTGCCGTTAGAACTGCGAATTCTCCATTAAGTAGATCTTTGAAGAACAGACACTTGCAGATGATTGCTATCGGTGGTTCGATTGGTACAGGTTTATTCGTTGGTTCCGGTTCTGCTTTGGCTGAGGCTGGTCCAGCAGGTTTGATCTTGGATTATGGTTTGGTTTCTTTTATGATTTGGTCTACATGTCAATCTCTTGGTGAATTGGCTGTTACATTTCCAGTTTCTGGTGCATTTGTGACCTATAACTCTAGATTTATTGACCCATCTTGGGGTTTCGCAATGGCTTGGAATTACGCTATTCAGTGGTTAGTCGTCTTACCTTTAGAATTGGTGGCTGCTGCTATGACTATTGATTACTGGGATGAAAAAACTAATTCTGCTGCATGGGTGGTTATATTCTATGTTGTTATTGCTTCAATTAATTTATTTGGTGTAAGAGGTTATGGTGAGGCTGAGTTCGCTTTTGCAATAATTAAAGTGACAGCTATCATTGGCTTCATTATATTAGGTATCGTTTTAGCTGCTGGTGGTGGACCGACGAAAGAGTATATTGGTGGCCATTACTGGCATGATCCTGGTCCTTTTTCTAACGGCTTCAAGGGTGTGTGTACTGTTTTTGTTAATGCTGCTTTTGCATTCGCTGGTACCGAATTAGTCGGTTTGGCCGCTGCAGAATCAGCTAATCCAAGAAAGTCTTTACCAAAGGCAACTAAACAAGTTGTTTGGAGAATAGTCTTGTTTTACATCATCTCATTGACTCTTGTTGGTTGTTTAGTACCATACAATGATGGCCGTTTACTCCTGGGATCCTCATCTGCTGATGCAAAAGCTTCGCCTTTCGTCATAGCAATAAAGAGAGCAAAAATAAGTGGATTACCAAGTGTAATGAATGCAGTTATTATGGTTGCAGTTTTGTCAGTCGGAAATTCTTCCGTCTACGGTTCTTCAAGAACTTTAGCTGCTTTAGCTGCTTCTGGTCAAGCTCCTAAATTTTTAGGATATATCGATAAGCAGGGACGTCCATTAATGGGTATTATAGTCCAATTAGTTATCGGTTTATTATGTTTCTTAGCTGCGTCACCAAAGAGGGATGACGTTTTCACTTGGCTTATGGCTCTTTCAGGTCTTTCTTCACTTTTCACGTGGGGATCTATTAACTTTTGTCTTATTCGTTTCAGACGTGCATTACACGTCCAAGGAAGAAACACCGATGAACTTGCATTCACCTCGCAAGGTGGAATCTATGCTGCAGTATTTGGTACAGGTTTTAACATTCTTGTTTTGATTGCTCAATTTTACACTGCTTTATTCCCAATTGGTGCAGAACCCAGTGCAGAGGGTTTCTTCGAGGCATACTTATCATTCCCTATTATCTTGGCATTCTATATTGGCCATAAAATCTGGAAGAAAAATTGGGTGTTGTACATCAGAGCTAAAGATATTGATATTGACACTGGTAGAAGGGAGTTAGACTTGGATTTGGCCAAGCAAGAAATTGCAGAAGAGAAGGCCTTCCTTGCTTCAAAGCCATTCTACTACAGATACTGGCACACATGGTGTTAAGCCAATATTTTCATAAATTCACTTTACTAATGTGCTTTCCATTGGTTTATATAATAAATCTTCAATTCAATAGGCGTCAAAAGTCTATGGTTCCATATTTTTTGTTAATATGTCTTAGAAGGGGCAACTGCGCTGGTGTTGCTCGCTCTGTATTTTAGAAAAAATATACATGTACTAGTGAGAATTCTTTTTATCTAAGAAATAATCTATATAATCATCCTGCTTTCTCTCAAATGCTCATGGTCACTTACTTACACATGAAGAGCTAGATCCCACTCCCCAATGAACTTTTCATATTAAGCGATGTTCTGAATGCTTAATAGTAATTCTTGTCCTTAACCTCTCTGAGGAGTTGACGCCTGAAATAGACTTTTCGAACGTAGACTAATATCGAAGATAATAAAAAAAATCCAAAGAAATAATAGTATCTCGGAGTTGAATCTATAAGTAGTGGAACTTGCACCGAGTCTTTTGAGCCTTCTTTATCCAAACTATACTTATAATCGTCAAATATTAAAGTATTATTGAAGTTCAAATCTATCTTTTCAATGCTGATGTCCGTTATTATGACAGAAGGGATCGGGTCATCTCGACTACCGGTCTGGACCTCATTCAAGGTCTGCAAGGTATCAAATCCATTAAGCAATTGGCCAAATACTACATGTGAGCCATCGAGCCAGTTTAAATCATCGTTGGTTGCAATGAAAAATTGAGCTCCATTGGTATTGGGACCTGCGTTGGCCATTGACACTCTTCCCAACTTATTATGCTTTAATTCAAAATTCTCATCTTTGAAAGAGCCCTTATCGTAAATCGAATAGCCTCCAGTACCATCTCCTTTCGAAAAATCTCCGCCTTGGATCATAAAATCTTTAATGATGCGATGAAACTTACATCCCTTGTACCCGTAGCCTTGGCTCATTTTTGATAATTCTACAAAGTTATGCACAGTCTGAGGTACAACTAGCCCGAACAATCCAATCTCAAGGTTTCCGATTTCCTGCAATTGTTTAGCTGAGTCTTTCCCTACGGCATCTGAGTTCTCTTGAGAAATTGTAAACGTCACTATATCTGTGACGACTGGTTCACTCGCAATTTCGAAGGGTAAGGCACTAGTCTGAAGTGTCAAGACCCAGAAAGCCCAAATATAATAAGCCATAAAGATCAAACACGTTCTTGGCTTCATTGCTTAGATCTTAATATAAAGACCTATTATTCTATCCGTGTTGAGGCTGTTCTAAGACGTATTTAGATTTATTGATATCGGCACGTGATCTGAAAAGTACGCATCAAAGTCGGCATGTTTTTGACTTATTCTATAGTGGCAATAAGTATAGAACAACTATTTTTTAACCAAAAGAAGCTTATTTTGAGTTATCAGTTGTGTTGATCTATTGAAGAATATCATTTTTAGATTAATTGTTTTTACTGTGAGAACAAAGGATTGCTCTCTGTTGATATTTGATAGAATTTGGCATCTCGTTAGTCTTAACATTCTTAATGAACGGAGTCTCTGTTGATATTACGCACTTGAAGAAGGGGGAAGTGAATTTGGGTACGTCCATTATGGCGGTCAAGTTCAAGGATGGTGTTATATTGGGTGCAGATTCAAGGACTACAACAGGGTCATACATTGCAAATAGAGTGACCGACAAGTTGACGCAAATTCATGATACTATATACTGCTGTCGCTCAGGATCGGCAGCAGATACGCAAGCAGTTGCTGACATAGTGAAATATCATTTACAATTATATTCTTCCCAATTGTCTCACGATGAAAAGCCTACCACTGAAGTCGCCGCTAACGTATTTCAAGAAATCTGCTACAATAACAAGGATGGACTTACCGCAGGTATAATTTGTGCTGGATATGATTCTAAGTCAAAAGGAAGCATTTATCTGATTCCTATCGGTGGATCTATTCATAAACAGAACTACGCTATAGCAGGTTCAGGGTCAACATTTATCTACGGTTGGTGTAATGAGCACTTTGTGCCAGAAATGGAAAAGGCAGAATGCATTGATTTTATTAAGACTGCATTATCAGAAGCAATCAAATGGGACGGCTCCTCTGGTGGTGTTATTAGAATGGTAATTTTGACTGACAATGGAGTTGAAAGGTTAATTTTTTACCCTGATGAATATCAGAAATAGAATTACAGTAAAATACATTAGCTTGAATACACGAATTTGTATTAAAAACATAACTAGATATCTCAGCTTATTTAATATTTGGTCCATTTCCATAAATTTTCTCCAGGGTTGACCAACTCGTCTTCATTCGAGCTAAATAGCAATCCCTTATCCACTCCTTGTGAGATAATAGTATTGATCAAAAGAAAGAAATCAGATTGTTTGAATCCATTGTCAATTATCTTATTGAGGTTCTGCAAGGACTCCTCTTTCGAAATAACTCCATTATTTTTCAACTTAATATTATGGGTTTTTTCATATCTTTCAACTACATCTTTGTAGGATATCTCATCAGATTGCACCCTAACTTTGTCAGGAAGATCCCTCGGATTAATAGATGCGACAGAAGCAATTACCTTTCCGATATCGTTTACATTCGTAACAGACAACCTAGAGGAAGGGTCGCCAAGATATGTAACAGCTTTTTTCTCAGAATCAATGCCTATTCCACCAACAATTTCATAAAGAAAAAAACCTGGAAGGGTAAATGCTCCCGTGATTATGGAGACAGTCTTTATTCCGAGAGATCTTACTTTTTCAGCGTGCTTGTCCTTAATATCGAAAAATGGTGGTACTTGTGAAAGATAAGATAACTTATCCAGTTCTGTCCCGAATTGTGATGGAATGAAAAGCTTGGGTTTTGCCTTTTCCAAAACCTTTTCAATTAAGCCTAATGTCTCAGGAAATACTCCGATTAACTCGATAACCACATCTACTCCATCAATTGCTTTTGCAATGCTTGCCACATTGCTCTCATCCCAAGTGACCTCTATGTATTCCGTTTTACTTGTCGACTCTCTCTTAGACCTACTCAATACTTTTATGGGAAATTGAAACTTGTCCGCAAAGGTTTCTGACTCTATTGCAGCGAGAGTTGGCTTTCCTAAAAATCCATCAGGACCCCCGATTATAGCAACTGTTGGTTTAGACATTTTGTTTTCTGATAAGATTCTTGATTTCGCAATTGTTCGCAAGTCAAGATAGTTTCTGTTGATAGAATCTAATCCATTTTATAAATAACATTGACTCTTTTATAGACTTTGGAGTCTCTGAATATCTTTACCTGCGAGTGAAGAGGCAAATCCACAGTTTCTAAGCAGATTTATGGCAGTTACCAAGTTGAGTCGTGGTTCCTAATTGGGATACAACATGGCTGACAAATTTCGCACTTAAATTTAGTAATGATTTTAACTTTCACAGTCAGCAACTGTGAGATGGATCAATGCTGAGTATTTTGCTATCTTAGCAAGTTCAGTATTAGTGAGCACCGTGAGAGGTCTACTCAAATGTGGACAATTATCCTACCGCTCACTAAGTATGCTGAGAGAGCTAGAAATTTACACTTTGGAGATTGTGGTTCTATTATGAAGCAAAAGACGGTGCAATGAATCCCCTGTATAATATACCATAAAGGGGACGGTGTGGCACTTTTCTCTACTTGTATCTCTTTATTCTTTTAACTTGAATTAATGGACTGTAAATGCTGCAATGTAGATCGGAGAATTCAGTATGTATCTTATCGTCCACAGCTACTTACACAGTATCTATTTGAATAGATTATGCCACTAATTCATACTCTGCCCTATAGGAACCAAGTCTTACAAATATTAATAATTCGTTCTTAGGACACTTAACGCTTGGAATCAGTTACTGCAAAGAGTTGAATACACTCAGAATCATTCAAAATGTAGCATCTACAATTAATAGTAGTGATCAACCATTGCCTAACATTTACCTCAATAAGGCATTTAATGAACAACTAAATTCTCATCGATGCAGTACAAGAATCAAATAATTTTATTTCAAGGTGAAGTTACATACTGGGCATGTCAAGTGTGAAACCATCTGATTTTCCGATAGTATTGGTTAGAAATCTACCTTTTGATATAACCAGTGACTCATTATATGAGTTATTAGGTAAATATGGTAGCATACATCAAGTACGGGTACCTGATGAAAAGTCAGATCAAGGAACACCTGGTACATGTTTTGTCATTTACCGAAATGTTGCTAGTGCCGTCAGCGCTGCCAAAGGATTGAATGGTATCAATTATCAGGGAAGGTATTTAGTAGCATCGGAATATCGAATTGATAGGGCTAAATTGTCTAAGGAAGATTTTATCTTACGTAAGGAACAAATAGACAAGTTGAAGAAGGAATATGAGATAGAGTGATGTTTCACTTACTATCAAGAAAAGAGGTATCTTAGTTAAATCTAGCCGTTTATTTTTTTTTTTCAATTTATCTATTTATTGAACAAAGTCTACATTCAAATGTGAACTATAAGAGGAAAGAGAATTATTTACTCTTTTCTTCGGTTTCATTTTCATCGACTTGTTTTGGTTTCTTCGACTCAATTGAAAAGTTTAGTAAGCTTAAGAAATAATAACTCAGAAGAGAAATGAATATCCATCCAGCTACCTTTAATATTCTTCTCATATAACCAATGGAGGTACTTCTGTACATTATCAATGCGTCGAGATTGTGCACATCGTCAAAGAGGTTTTTATAATGTAAAGTTACTTTGACGTGGCCCTTGGCGACGTCCAAGTAAGAATGTTCGTTGGTAACCGTCAACAGCTCAAAATCTATGGGAGACGACACGTTCAAAAACTCTGCATTTTCAGGCAAATAGAAACTAAGGTATACGTTATCATAAGTAATGTCTCTAACAGAATTTACCAACGGTATTCTCAAAATATAAGTCTCTGGCTCATTATTAACTTGATGGACGAAGTCACTAATAGCGTAATTCCAACCCAAAGTAAAATTGAAGTGCCATCCACCAAAAAGTGGGAATCTTGGTTGTAACAACAAATGATCTTGGACGAAGTTGAAAGTAGACACGACACCCACTAAATCAGTATAGTAAAAATCGTGGAACATACCGTTAGCCTTCAAAGGAATATCCAAATGAGAGATAGCCCAATGATTCCTTGTTGTGTCATATCTGCCTTTCATCCAATCGAGTCTCAGGAATCCAGTATTAAGCTCAGCTGCATCGTTAACCAAGTCGTAGCTTTCCTCGACTGGCAATTTTGCAACTTCAGAGGCTGGAATCCAAACGGATCTATTGAGGTTTACAGCTCTGGACAATGGTCTGTTGTGATCGTAGAGCAATCCCATTGGCTTGATAGTGAAAGGTTCGAGATCAAAATCTAAAGGACCGTAAACCAATGCCTTCTCCTCAACTCTTGGTTTGACTGATGGTAAATCTGGGGTCAATTCATCTTTATTCACGAAGTTTAACTCCATCTCCTGTCCCTTAGATACTCCTGTGAATAATAATGAGTAATCTTTTGTAGTATAAGGTGAATAAGCGAACTTATTCAATCTCACAAGCAAAGTTTGAACGTCCGACATCGATAATTCAGATGGAAACGGTGAGTTAGCTCCACGATATGCATATTGAACCTTTATGTTAATTTCGTTGTTGGGCGCGACAGGATATGGAAGCTTCAATTTATAAACCTTAGGTGCTTCTTGTAAAGATTCTAATGCAACTCCACCATGGTCCATCAAAACAAATGAAATCACAGAAACCTCCCCAAATGCGCCGAATCCATCGTTAACCGTAAAAGTGTACTCATCTGTTGGATTTTGGCCTTCATTTCTTGCAACTATATTAATTGACTCTTTTGTATATGATTTTGATAAATCTACCACACGTTTGTAGTGAAGGTTTTCCCATTCTCCACCATTTTCAAATGCCCATGCCGTAGCAAATATTATACAACTGGCAACTAATCGAATCCACATACGCATTGTTGAACCTCTTTTATCTTCAATTCGTCGATTTAGTCAGTTTTATTGCTTAATGGAATATCTGTTCATTTAGTGTACTGAAAAACTCGGTGGCCTCAAAATCTCACTACGGGCAAATCAGATACAAAAAAAAACAAAAAAACTTTCTCTCAAGATTGTTGTATCATAAACAAGCGAGGGAGGTTTTTGCTTGACACATAGCCAAGTATATAAGTGTATACAGTTGTATATTTAAAGGCTAGGTTAGGGGAAACTATAAAAGCAACACCATCGCCGAAATTGAGCGAACTAGGTTCTAAACAAGATACAAGAAAGCAACAAAACAACAGATACACGTAACATAACGTCTCATAGTTTATACGGCAGATCAACATAAAACGTTAAAAGTAGGATTAAGTTATAAAGGAGATTTAAGATGTCATTTCAGGACCTTATTCCGGTAGTCAACAAATTGCAAGACATAGTTACGACGGCGCAATTGGCAGATTTAGATTTGCCAATATTGGCAGTTGTTGGATCACAATCATGTGGAAAGTCTTCAGTGTTGGAGAATATAGTTGGAAGAGACTTTTTGCCTAGGGGTACTGGTATTGTGACAAGGCGTCCGCTTGTGTTGCAGTTGATCAACATTAAAGCCGACGAGCTTCAAGATGAGTCCACCAGAGAGTCGACGCCAATAGGTGAAAAGGAAGTCAATTTGGAGGACCATTTAAGGAGATACTCCAATGGGCGTCCTAGTGGTGACATAGAATGGGGTGAGTTTTTACATATCCCACGTAAGAAATTTTTTGATTTCAACGAAATTAGAAGGGAAATCGAACTTGAGACCTCCAGAATAGCTGGGGAAAATAAAGGTATCAGTAGACTTCCAATCAATTTGAAAATATATTCTACGAAAGTGCTCAATTTGACATTGGTCGATTTGCCAGGCTTGACTAAAATTCCTATTGGGGACCAGCCAACTGACATTGAAAGGCAAACTAGAGGGTTGATTTTAGAATATATATCAAAACCGAATTGTATTATTTTGGCTGTGTCGCCTGCAAATGTTGATTTGGTTAATTCGGAATCGTTAAAATTGGCAAGGCAAGTTGACCCTACGGGAAAGAGAACTGTTGGGATCTTAACAAAATTGGATTTAATGGATCAAGGTACCAATGCCTTGGATATTCTAAAGGGAAATATTTATCCTTTGAAACTTGGTTTCATAGGGATTGTTAATAGGTCTCAAAGAGATATTACAGAAAATAAATCTTTAGAGGATTCATTAAGCGCTGAACAAGAGTTCTTTGAAAACCATTCTGCTTATAGAACAATGTCTAAAAGATGCGGAACTCGATATTTATCACAGACTTTGAATAAAATCTTGATGACCCATATTAGAGAAAGATTACCTGATATAAAGGCTAAATTGAACACTTTGATAGGTCAAAGTGAGCAAGAATTAGCTAGTTATGGAGAACTTCCTTCAAATTTGACTGATTCAAAAGAAGGAAGAGGTGCTTTGGTATTGAATTTGATGACCAAATTTGCTACAAGTTTTATCAATTCAATTGAGGGTACCCAAATGTCAGAAATTTCTACAAAGGAGCTTTGTGGTGGTGCCAGAATATATTACATTTACAATGAAGTATTTGGTTCACACTTAGCTTCGATAAATCCGACCCACAATTTGTCAATTCATGACATCAGAACGGCGATTCGGAACTCCACGGGTCCGAGACCCTCCTTATTCGTACCAGAGTTGGCATTTGATTTACTTGTGAAACCACAAATCAAGCTCTTGGAACAACCTTCAAAGAGCTGTGTTGAGTTGGTGTATGAGGAGTTGATGAAAATTGTTCATAGTGTCTGTTCAAATGGTGTTGGAATTGAGCTAAACAGATACCCAAAATTACAATCCAAACTTATTGAGGTTGTTTCAGACTTATTGAGAGAGAGGTTGGGCCCAACTATAAAATATGTCGATTCCTTGATTGACATACACAAGGCTTATATCAATACAAACCATCCAAACTTTATAGGTGCTGCGAAAGCTATGAAATTAGTAGTTGAAGAGCGTCAAAAGCAAAAAGAAGCGGAGCTGAGATCAAGATTAAGATTAGCTAGCGAAAGAATATTGAATGGAAATGCTAAGCATCACGAAAGCATTGAAAACAATAATGACGAAAATGAGAATGAAGAAGCTGACGACGAAAAAGAAAGTGATGGCATTGATGACATCAATCAAGTTGATGACGAAATCAAACCACCGAGACACAAAAGATCGGATTCTATCAGAACAAATTACTCAGTTAGGTCTGAGAATGCACCTGGTTTCTCTGGATCCTCAACTATAAGTTACCAGCATGAGTCGTATTTGAATTACTTCTTTGGTAAAGATCCTATCACCCATCAACAGTATTTACAGACTCAAGCACAATTGAATCCAACCCCTTTTAAGTTTCCTCAGCAATCAGATGCATTACAATTCAATAACGCCGTAAATGACGGAACTCATTCAGGTCCACATTCAAATTCGATGGATTTGAAATCCTTAAATATAAATGAGGAGTCTTTCGAAAGTGATGACACAATTCATGAACTTAGTGAAAGAGAACAACTTGAATGTGAATTGATTAGGCGCTTGATTATCTCGTATTTTAGTATTGTAAGGGAAATGATTCAAGATCAAGTACCGAAGCTGGTAATGTGTTTATTGGTAAATTACATTAAACAAAACATTCAAAACAGATTGGTAGTCAAGCTATACAACGAGGAGTTATTTGATGATTTACTTTTTGAGGATGAAAACATTCAGATGGAGAGAGAGAAATGTATGAACTTATTAAAGACTTACAAGGAAGCTTCGAAGGTTATCAGTGATGTGGTTTGAACCGCTACAATTACTTTTTTTTTTTGGTACATTGTAAATAGTTGAGATAAATATATATTGTGCAATTTGAAGTTATTAAGTTTGCTTGATAGGGACTTTGTTTACATATATTTGAAGACAATTGTTCATATTGTTGATTAACTTTTCCCTTCGAAATTTGTAGTCTACCAGTTTCTTACTCATTTCTTCATCTTCTTGAAAACTGAATGTCTGCTCTTTTATCAAAAATCCCAAGTTTTCATCGTTCATACTGCTAATTTTCGCTTTCTTTGCCTCAATTAAACGAATGTCATCCCCTGAAAGCTTGTTCAAATAGAATCTTAAATTTATTATAAATTCAATAGATAATATCACAGTACAACTCCATGTATTATCCAAGTCGATAACTATTTTACCTTTTTCGCTGGTCTGATAGATCTCTTCTAGCAGCTTATCAATAAGCAAATTAAGTGTATCTTTTTCAATATCATTAATCAAAGAATTCAAATCTTTCCCTGATAACTTTAAATAGTTGACCTGATTTAATTTGACAATTGACTTTTGATTAATAGCTACTTTTGAACTATTAGCTGAACTCCTTATCTTCTTCCTATTTATAAATACTTTCACAGGAATAGACACATCTTCTGTTATTTTTACAAAGGATATTTGAGTCATTATTTGCCTAGTTCATTTTGTTGCAGAGCCAGTTCTGGTGCTGTAGTTTAGATTCAAATAAACTTAATTTTCCATATCGATATTAAGACAAAAGACGCAAAATTGAATAAAATAGTTAAAAAATGATTCAACTATAGTGAGTACTTAAATTGAGTATATGAAGTATTCACAAATAAGATTGTCGTTTATTAGTAGATTAGAGGCGCTATAATACAAATATAATTCAGTCTTTCACATTAGAGAAGTCTAACTTCCTAGGTCTAATTCGCTGTTGACTTGGAGAGAGCTTCACAAGCTTTCTTTTACCCGTAGCATGGTTGATATATTCTACATGTGTATCACAGATTTGGTTTTTCATATTAGAAGAAGTATCAAATGGATTGGACGATACCTTATCCTTGGATGTAGACGTTTCACCAAGAAATGGATTAGTCAACCTTTTTCTTTTTATCAATACAGTTTCACTATCTCCCTCTAAATCACCTTCATCTGATGAATAGTTTTTGTTGAATGACTTGTTGTGCCAATGGTTAACAAGGTTTTCATTTATTACTTGGAAGAATGGAGTCTTTGGTTCTTCCACAACATCTTCCTCGAAAAGCAAGTTATCGTTGAGTTTTGACAAAACTTCGAGAGGTGGTCTCTTCTGCACCTTATGACTAGGTATGTTCAGCCTTCTACCAGTGCCAATAGTGGATGGTGCTGGTAGGAATATTCCAAATTGGCTCTTACCATTCTCTGCCTGCAAAGAATCAATGCCACCAAGATGCTTATGAAGCAAGTCACCGGTACCCGCTTTGAGCCTTTTGGGGGACTTCTTTGGAGTAAAAGCTGGAGAAATTGGCAATGACTTCTCTTTCGAAGTGGATCCCAAACTTGAAACACTTCGAAAGGTCGCTGCTTTACCCGTGCTCAGCTTACTAGTCGAAGGAGTTGGTATTTTCTTCCTGTTTGTTGTTGAAGGAGTTAACAACCATTCTTTCTTCTTGGGAGTACTTGGTGTCTGAAAAGAACTAGGTGATCTGAGTAAATTTGAAGAGTCTGCTTTCGAACTCGATCTTGGAGGTGTCAGAGGACTAACAAAATGCTCTGACATACTTCAGCTTTTGAATATTTATCAAATGATCTATTAGCTCCTTTGCTAAGTAAACAATATACTTTGATCAGCTCCAGATGATTTGTCGTTTTCTTATTCCTTTCCGTGACTTACACGTCTCTATCAAAAAAACTAGATAGATGGCTGGTCAATGCGTATTTGTGATTTTTGCCGTATTCGGAAGGCATATATAAAACTCGAGTATAATATGTCGTAGTTTAAGGTTTCATACACACTAAACAAACCCGTAGGCAATATTAACTCATCAATGGCCCTCAGCCCTCTTATTTACTCTAAAATATGTAAACTATTTACATTAAACTTGTGTTTCTTTACTTTGCACCCTAATCCTTCCTCTAGCTTGAAATAGAATTGTGCAACTTTATCTTTAATGTCAGACGTAGAATGATCTTTTAAAATTATATTCCCCAGAAGATCTACTTCACAGGCTCTCATATCACCGCGATATGGGATGGTTAATTCCAGAATACGATTCCCGCTTAAGTCAAGTCTTTCTAGATTTTGGCTGGGTTTGAAAATTTTGAAGCTGCCAGAGAGATCATTATCATTCAAACAAAGTGCACGAAGTGACGTGGGAAGTTCCAGGACTTCAATGTACGAAATCTTGTTCCCTCCTAAGTCTAAAGATTGGATTGACTTATTGAACAATTGTGATGTCAATGACGTAATTCCATTGAGTCTTAGGTCGAGTCTTTTCAAACCTGGAGGGGGGCACCATCCATCGACAGTAAGGATTCTATTGAAATAAAGCTCTAGCTCCTTTAAATTTGTAAGTTGGCTCCAATTGTAAATGTCATGACCATTTATTTTGAGATTGTAAGTTGCAAGGTTGGAAATTTTGTTGCCAGCTAAGGAAAGTTTTTGAAGAGAGTTCGGGAGCTCAAAGAAACTTAAGTCTATAAGATTGCATTCGCTTAAATTCAAGCTTGTCAATTGAGGAAACTGGAGTCTTTTGAAAGGATCTCTTGCAGAGTCACTAAACGTTAGGTCCTGGCTATTATATAAATTGAGTTCTTTCAAATCGCTAGGGAACTTAAAGAGACCATTATGAGCCGTTTCAAAACTTTTAATACGATTATATGATACATCAAGGTACTGTAATTTATTTGGTAGATTCTCTAAACCACTTATGTCAGTGAAAGGATTGCTGTCTAATTTCAATACTTCCAAGGTTTCCGGCCATTGAGCTCTTGAGAGCAGCATCAACGCCAGATCATCGATCAAGTTATTCGATAATAATATTGATTTTAAATTTGGTGGCCACTCAGACCCTTCGTCAAATTCATTAATCAAGTTGTATGATAAATCAATGGTCTCTAAACTTCTAGGTAATAAAGAAATGTTGAAATTCGAAATATTGTTGTAGGTAAGCATTAAGACTTTCAAAGTTTCCAGAAATACTTGCTTCTGTAGGATGGTGTTAGTAATTCCAGCCTGATTCCAGTATATATGTGATATTGTGGGCGGTAGTGAAATTGTATTGACATTAGTATGTTCGTTCCAAGAGATGTCCAATTGTCGAAGAGTTTGTGGCAATCCGATACAATTCCAACAGTCAATTCGATGTCCTAAAAGAACTAACAGATTCAAGTTGCTTTTTGAAATATTGTCCAAGCTTTTTAAGCATTTATTAAGCTTGGCCCTAGAAAAATGCAATGTTCGTAAATTAGAGAAGGACAAAATAAGCTCTAAATCATCATTCGAAGGCTCGTATCTTTCAATTATAATCTCCAAAGAGTCTGCAAGAACCACTCTTTGTCTGAACTTGTTTAAAAGAGATCTTAAAGATTCAAAATCTGCACCCGTTGCCACAACCCACTTAGCTGGATTAATGTCAGGGTTCTTGAGCAAAAATTCTTCTATTTCGTAGTAACTCTCAATACAAACGAGCCTCTTTACATCTTCTGGTAGGTTGATGCTATGTGGTCTTTTCGTAGGTGCAAGAATAAAATGTATTTCATTCAGATAGTAAATGTCTATTATAGTTTGTCTCAACTCTGGCACCTCCAAGATTATCTCAACTATTGTCGGAGGAATTTGTTCCAAAATTTGACGGAACACATTTATGGGTACGTCCCGAAGAAATCTTTTCATATCATAGTCATTCTTGTTTCCAACTGGTAACATAGCACGACATATTTAATCAGTTTGATGCTGACATACTAAATCTACTCTAGAACGGTTTTCTAGTACTGTATACAGTACCGATAAGACGTTGCCAGATTTCTTGTCCTGGTAATTATATCCTTAAAACAGCAGAGTTTGCTTAACGATTAAGAGGAAATATTGCTTACGATGACCTTTGAGAGTAGTGCCCTCCCATCAAGCAATTTCAAGTGGTCTACGACAAATAACGACGTTTTACTTACTGATCTCAGTCTCCTGTAGTCATACTTTATCAGTAGCAATTGACGAATAGTACGGGTTTGCATTCATTTGCTATAGTTGTTAAAGTCAATGAAACAAAGTGTAGATGCAAGTCAAGTCAATATTCTAAGGCATGTTGGCCATAATTGTAGTTCTCTTTGTTGAGTCTTTTCCATAGTTAATTGTCGTATAAATGTCGTACCCAAAATTTTGTCGCGTTCCGTATTGTTCAATTTTTTCTCACAACTGCCATCAGACCACAAAGGACGTAAGTGATAAAGAAACTTCACGGAGACTAAGCAAGCTGAAATTCAAAGAGTTCTCCTCTGATCGACTTTAAATAATAGGCATCGAAGGGATATCAGTCTTTTGGCCGCCTGAGTTTTACATAAAACGGACGAGAACTTATTAGATCTTTGAAGTCCGGAAGCTGCTCGTTTAGGGAAATTGAACAACAGAATTTATAAAATCTATTAGCAAAAAGCAACTTTAGAAGCAAGCAAGTTGAAGACTGATAAATAGTTTAATAGTATAGGTATCTTAGTTTGAAATTGTGAAAATGGCAATCTTTTCGTTGTTGTGTTGCGGCTATGGAGAAGACGCTGACGACAAGACCCATAGTCAACAAACCGAATTAACAAACAGCAAAAACAAGAATAAATCTCGCCAATACAACAATAATAAGAGAGATATTAAGGAAGCGCCTACAAAGCAAGCAGAGCAAGATGGTGAACAAATTCAATATAAAAATCAGCGACAGCAACCTGATACCCCGTATGAGGATGATTCTAAAAAATTGCAGAAGGATAAGAAGGATTTAATGGATGACGAGAATTCAATAAATGAGACCGACACCATAACAAATACCAACGACGAGAATATTACACAAGCTCAAGAGAACGTTCCAGATGTCTCAACACAACAAGCGGTTGTGACACAAGCAAGCGAGGACTCTGAGCAACTTGAGCCTTATGAGCAACTTCCTAATCCTGAAGTGTCTTATAATGACTTGACTAAATTACAAGAGGGCCAGGCATTTAATCCTTCTACAGGGTATCTATTGGGAAAGCAAGATGAGAAGTTTAAGAATAAAAAGTGTTTGATCTTAGATTTGGACGAAACATTAGTTCACTCATCTTTCAAGTATTTGAGAACTGCTGATTTTGTCATTCCAGTTGAAATTGATAACCAAGTTCATCATGTTTACGTAATTAAGCGGCCTGGTGTTGATGAGTTTTTAAGGAAGGTTGGACAATTATTTGAGGTTGTTGTATTTACAGCATCTGTCCTGAAATATGGCGATCCTTTATTAGATAAATTAGATTTGGATAAATGTGTGCATCATCGTTTGTTCAGAGACTCGTGTTATAATTATCAAGGGAATTTCATCAAAAATTTATCTCAAATCGGCCGGCCGTTAGCTGACACAATTATTATTGATAATTCACCCGCCTCCTATATTTTCCATCCCCAGCATGCAATTCCAATTTCAAGTTGGTTTAGTGATACACATGACAATGAGCTTATAGATTTGTTACCTTTCTTGGAAGATATTTCACAATCAAATGTTGATGATGTTGGATTGGTTCTAGATATTACAATATAATTGTAACTAATAATTTGAAATAAGAAAAAAAACATAAAAGCAATAAAGAGCAAAAAAATAAACTTACAAAGATCAATTGGAAGCGAAGTTGGACATGCCAATGAACTTTCAGCTGAAAAGATAAGCTGGACTTATAGAGCTATCATATTTATATCGTGGAAAATTAGTTTGACAAAATAGCTGGACATATAGAGCTGTCATATTTAAAAAGTGTTTGTTAAATAATTAATTGGTCGAACTTCTTTTCCATGTCTTGCAATTCATTCCTAATACTAATGTTACTAATCACTTAATTGTTATTCTAATCACTGTTAATCTGTTGTCGATGCTGCTATTATATCGGTACTCATATTATACTATATTATTATTAAACCATTTTTTACAAAACTTAGATGATTGTCTTTACAGATAATTTGATATAAAATGAAGTAAAAAATTAGTAAAACACCAATAGGTTAAGGCTTCGGAATTTATACATAGCTTTTTATTGTACAAATATACTTCATAAATAATCTTTTTAGAAATGTATTCATTGTCGCTATAAAGACTATCTCGAATAGCTCATCTCGAAATTTTTTTTTTTATATTTCACATAAAAGGCACTGACTTTGAGGTGAAACAACACAATATATTGAAGTATTAGCTGCCAATATGAGGGTCAAAACTATCAGTCGCTCATCTGATACGTATGTTCCAGTCAGGAATACTCAAGAGTCCTCCTTACCAAGAAATTTAAATCCAGCATTACATCCTTTTGAGAGAGCGAGAGAGTATACAAAAGCATTAACAGCAACGAAGATGGAAAGAATGTTTGCCCAGCCTTTTATAGGTCAACTAGGTAATGGTCACAGAGATGGAGTATATTCTATAGCTAAAAACTTTGATTCTTTAAATCAGATAGCAACGGGATCTGGTGATGGAGTTATTAAATATTGGAATTTAACTTCAAGAGAAGAGACTGTGAGCTTCAAAGCACATTATGGTATGGTTACAGGCTTGGTGGTGACACCTAATTCATCGCACATGCTATCATGCGGTGATGATAAGACTGTCAAGCTTTGGTCGGTTGATACTTCTGAATTTAATGAAATAATTGATGAGCTGCAAGTGTATAAAAATGAGGGATTATCCAAAACCTATTTAGGGGAGCATGCATTTAATGGTGTGGATCACCATAGAAGTGAGAGTATATTTGTCACAGGAGGCGCTTCCATACAATTATGGGATATAAATAGATCAAAGTATATTTCTGATCTTAGTTGGGGTGCTGATAATGTCAACACTGTGAAGTTCAATCAAACTGAAACCAATATTATTGCATCAGCTGGTTCTGACAACTCCATAGTACTCTATGATACCAGAACCAACTCGCCGATTCAAAAAGTCGTAACTGAATTAAGGACTAACTGTTTGGCATGGAACCCTATGGAAGCGTTCAATTTTGCAAGTGGTTGTGAAAACCACAATGCATATTTCTGGGACATGAGAAATCTTTCTAGATCTCTCAATGTTTATAAAGATCACGTATCTGCGGTCATGGATGTTGATTTCAGTCCCACAGGTGAGGAATTGGTTACAGGTTCATATGATAAGACCATAAGAATCTTTAGAACTCGTGAAGGTCACTCTAGAGATATTTATCATACTAGTCGTATGCAACATGTCTTTGCAGTCAAGTTTTCTACAGACTCCAAATACATAATAAGTGGTTCAGATGATGCTAATGTTAGACTTTGGAGAGCAAAAGCGTCTGAAAGATCTGGTGTTAAGTCTTCTAGACAAAGAAATAAATTGGAGTACGATGAGGCTTTGAAAGAAAGGTATAAGCATTTGCCAGAGATCAGGAGAATCTCTAGGCATCGTCACGTTCCGAAGGTTGTTAAAAAGGCTCAAGAAATCAAGAGAACTGAAATTGAAAGTCTCAAGCGCAGAGAGGACAACGAAAGAAGACACAGCAGACCAGGGTCAAAGCCTTACAAGTCAGAGAGGCAGTCGCATATTAGAGGTACTGCCTTGAAAGAGGATTAGGTTGGTCTTGGACTTATATGTTACTACCGACCTTCGCATGTATTGCTTCAGAATTTTTGTGTCTATATCATCGGCCTCTGCATAGGAGGCTGCTCTTGCCGTTCGCTAGAGCCTTTCTTTACGTGAGATCGAATGGCTGAACTAGATTTATATCTCTCAAATTGTTCACACTATTATTTTCCTGCCTTATTGCACCGAATCTTTTTATAATTTAGGCGATTTATGTAGGAAGGCCCAGGTGTATCAAAAACACTCTTGAGGTCAAAAAATACTTTACTCATCTAGATCAATGTTCGGTTTTGTTAGTTGTACGGTTGCTGTAGTCTGATCTTTTGTACTGCATAAAACTCGGGAAGATATCAAATTAAATTCCTTTAATTCGCGGGTTGGGCGGTTTTTAGCACACTTTATAGCAGAAATAAGCTTAGACTTATCATAGGAGAGAAAAAGATCTTGAGTTCATTAGCAACAAATCGATGTTGTGTCGCACCTTGTTGGCAAATTAAGTTTTAGTATAAAGAGAGTTTAAAGGAATAAGCTCCATTTTTTTTGAAGAAGATAGTTCATGTGCAAGAGTAGGCAGCAGGTTATTGTATTATAATACAAGATTAGAAGGTTAGAGTCGCGGCAGAAGAAGAACATATAGTTTATGATGCCAGATAAACATAAGATAAAGTTGTTCTCCCATTTCAAGCAGACGTCTGATGAGGAGTTGACGCCTTCTTCCTCCAACCACTCGCATTCGAATAGAAAATTTTTAGGATTATCGATAGGAAAGCATGAATCTGGAGAATCGATTGTATCGCCTACTCATACCAATTCTCTAGATCACCATCATAATTCGAGTCTGTCCCTGGATGCACCTCACGGTGGAAACTCGCCGTCTCCGCAGGTACATTCAAGTCACTTGAATCAGGAGGATTCTAATCATAATTTCATGAAATCCAACTCAATGGTGGAACTTAAGAGGTTCTTCAAGCCCAACAAGAAGAAGCACGATCAATTTCCTCATTATCATAATAATTTACATTCCCCTCCTGCGATTGCAGGATCACATCATGTTTTGAATATGCCTGGTGGCAATAGCAGGGACCAATCTTCAGCGACCTTGGCTACACTAATTAATCAAACATCTACCCAATTGCTTCATAATGCGTCTCATAATCACTCATCACTGAAAGACCCATTTACGGACGACAATTCACCGTTGGTCAAAAAATATGGAAAAATTGGTAAGGAACTAGGAAGTGGTGCGGGAGGTTCTGTTAGACTTATCATTCGTCCTTCAGATTCCAAAACTTTTGCCGTTAAAGAATTCCGTCCCAGAAGGAGTGCAGAATCATTGAAAGATTACACTAGAAAATGTACTGCTGAATACTGCATAGGATCGACATTGAAGCATCCTAATATAATTAAGACCATTGATATCATTCATGAGAATAATAGGTACTTCGAGATTATGGAGTACGCACCAATAGACTTCTTTGCAGTGGTAATGAGTGGTAACATGTCAAGACACGAAATAAATTGTTGTTTAAAACAAATTTTAGAGGGCATTCGCTATTTGCATGATTTGGGTTTATCTCATAGAGATTTGAAGTTGGATAACTGTGTTGTAACGATGGACGGTATTCTTAAGATTATTGATTTTGGAAGTGCTGTAATTTTTAAATACCCATATGATCAATATGGATCTAAGGAAGCTGTACATTATGCCCATGGCATTGTGGGATCGGATCCTTACCTAGCTCCTGAAGTATTAAAGAATTCAAATTCCTATAACCCTCAACCAGTTGATTTATGGTCTATTGCAATAATATATTGCTGTATGACATTGAAGAGATTCCCCTGGAAGATTCCACATCCTGATAAAGACAATAGCTTTAAGCTATATTCAAAAGAGGATGATAATTGGCATGATTACTATTTGAGTAATGAATGTCACAAGCTACTTTTGCACCAACGGAAATTGAAAAATATTATCGTAAGACTGAATAAAAGGAAGAAGCAGCAAAGTGAATCTGAACGGGCTGAAGCCGAAGGGTCGCCTATGGACCAAGAGAAGGATCAGTCGGATCACAAAGAGGAAAGTCAGGATGAGCACTCAGTGAAACATGAAGACAAAGACGAAGAAAAGGATGATGAAAAGGATGATGGACATGAAGGCCAGAATGGAATCTTGACGGAACAACAAGTGCAAGATATCTTGGCTCAACTCAAAGCTATTGATGTTAGGTTGGAAGAGTTGGAGACAATAAAAAATGAGAAGAAGAAAAAGTTTATCGAAGTTCAGAAGCAATCTGACGAAGGGAAAGAGGAGGAAAAGGAACAACAGCCTGCCAAGAAATCGTCGCACAAACAAATTCATGGCCCCTATAGATTGATGAGGCTCTTGCCCCATGCGTCAAGGCCAATTATTCACAAAATGCTTCAAATTGATCCAAAAAAGAGAGCGACCTTGAAAGAAATATTCGAGGATGAATGGATCAAAGATATAAAATGCTGCACTATGAAATCTACAGCGAGAAGTGAAGATAATATCGGCTCTAATTTCGACGAAGATGAGGATGAAGTTTTAGTAAAGGGAAGTCCTCCTCATGAGCACACCATAGTGCTTGAAAATGACGAAGAAACTAAAGAATCTTAATCAAATTCGAGATCGTTTATGTAAATATATACATTTATGTTATCATAGTCCTATAGTAATAATTTCTTAATGGCTTAATAGCTGGAGCATATTTTCTTCTTGCGTGCGACATGGTAGTTAAAGTTGAGGATTTTTAAAATACCATCTAAAGGACTTGAAGAAAATATCCAATTATCCACTTTAGTGAACATATAGTCTGAAAGAAAATATACAGGGACTGAAATTAAACATGCTGCCCCATCCTCCTCAACGAATTAACCCATTGAAGTTAAAGACTTCTTTAAAGATGACAATCAGTAAGTTGAAGTTTATTCAAGATAAGAAGACTGCATTGGCTAAGCAACAGAGGAGACTGTTAGCGGACTTATTGAATCAAGGTAAAGAATCAAGTGCCACAATCAGAGTTGAGAATATCATTAGAGAAGACATATATATTGAATTGCTCGAACACTTGGAACTATATTGCGAATTGATATTGGCAAGAATATCACTAATTACAGATCCAAATAGATTAACGTTAGATCCAAGCTTGAAAGAGGCAGTTCAATCCATCATTTACGCTACACCGAGTTCTGAATTACCTGAAATAACGAATTTGAGAGATATTTTTGTTATAAAATATGGTCCAGAATTTGGTGAAAACGCTTCGAAAAACACAGATGGCGCCGTACCAGATAAAATCGTGAGGAGGTGTGCCATTGAACCACCCCCCGAGACACTCGTTAAGCTCTATCTTTGTGAAATTGCTCGAGCCTACAAGGCACCATATTCGGGTCTTAAGGATATAAGTCTGGAAACGGATAGTGCAACGCATGAAGAAACTAAAGATGATGACAGCTCTGACAATGATAATCCAGGTTCTGGAACGGCCATAAAAAACGATCCGGTACCTATAAGCGAAGACTCTGCTCATTCATCCTTTGAACCTGCTCCACAAAAGAAACCCCAGAATGACTTTGATGCATTGAAAGCTCGTTTCGATGCCCTTAGGGGTAACTGATATGAGATCTGATGTGATATTTGACATTATAACCAATAATACTACATGATAAGCTTAAAAGCTTTAAGACATCAGCTCAATTTCTAAAGTTTATTGAATATATAGATTTTGCTTAAATATATGGTACATTTTGCGTGCGGTACAAATATCAACACAATATTTACATGTTTACCAAATAGAGAGCTTTCTAAGATATCTCACTTTAATGAGAGAAGAATATGTCCAAGAGTCAGATCCTAACTGATAGACAACAATCTGAGTTGAATAAAGCGATAGTACAATACATAGAACCTTACCTCACCGCTGAAAGTAATGATGGAGCTTTAATCAATCACATTTCTAATGTCTTGGATGTAAACTATGAATCGAAAGATAATAACATTATTCCAAATTACCTAGAAAAGAAATGGTCTACAGTATTACGATTACAAAAAAAGATTATTGACTTAGAAAACGAAATTACAAACCTTAAAACTGTACTTGATAATGATCAAGTATTGAAGATCAATGTTGGCAGTGGTAGAGATAAAGTTAACTGGATTCCAAGTGTGGTTGGAAAGACTATTCTCACAAAGGCCCCTCAATTGGTGCAAGCTGTCTCTTTACATCCTTCATTACCAATAATAGCATGCGGTTGCGCAGATGGCTCATTGATAATATGGTCAATAACGAATGATGAGTCTGCCATACCTGACAAGATTTTAAATGCTCACACTAGGAACGTCAATCGGTTAGAATGGTCACATAAGCCTATTAGTCTTAGTGCAAAGGATTCTAGTAAACGAGATTATGTGCTAGCATCGTGTTCTTCAGATTTGTCTATAAAAATATGGGATGCATCCACTTATTTGAATGTGAGAACGCTAACCGGGCATGAGCATACGGTATCATCAATTGCATTTTCAAGAACAAAACCGAACATTTTATATTCAGTCTCACGAGATAAGATGGTAAAGATATGGGATCTAATAGAAGGTTTTTGCATACGGAGTTTCATTGGTCATAGCGACTGGGTGCGAGATTTGGACGTTGCAAGTATTAACTCATTGATACTGTTGAATACCATGAAGAAATCCAATGAACTAGGTGACTTTTTGATAACATGCTCCAATGATCAATCGATAAGACTATCACATGCTGAAACAGGAACCGGTTTGGCTATGTTAATTGGCCATTCGCATGTTATTGAACGAGTTAAATTTCTTCCTTTGCATTCCAATTATATAATAGATAAATACTTGGAAGAAAATATTAAGCTTTTTCCTACCATTCCAGAGGATCTTATCACAAACACTATCTATGAAGAAGATTTAGGGTATAAGTATTGTATATCGGCAGCAAGAGACAATTTAATAAAACTTTGGTTATTGCCTCCGCCAGCACTTAGAGCTAATAGAGCACCACTTCCCTCTGGAATCAATAATTCACAAGGTTGGTTAATTGCTGATTTAGTTGGTCATCAATCTTGGGTTAAAGCTTTGGCTATACATCCTAACGGGAGGATAATATTTAGTGCTGGTGATGACAAAGTTATCAAGGTATGGGACTTGGAATCATTGAACTCGAATGGAAGCGTGAGATGCATTTCATCATTAAGTGGTCATGATGGGTTCATCAATGACTTGGATTTTGCAAAATTTGACATGGTGGATCTCGAACCGCCTAAATATGACGAAGTACCATTTAACAAAAAGAAGTATTACGAAGAGCTCATGAAGATAATTGAGAAGAAAATGAAGTGTTTGCTTGTGAGTGGAGCAGTTGATTGTACAGTAAAACTTTGGAATTAGTCCTATTTATGCATCCTTGACTATATATTTTGCAGGTGCTCTCTGTGTCCATTCGGTCCAACTGCCATCGTAAACACGAATTGGAACATCTGCTCCTATAACTGACTCTATTGCCAATTTCAATATAACTGCAGTTACACCAGTACCGCACAGTACAATAATACCTTTTTTACCATTTAGATCAGGTTTTGACAAATCAAGATCAAATCTCGTTTTAAACAACTCTAAAAGCTCCTTCTTCAGTTTGAAGGTACGGTCCGCATTGAGTACTTGACCCGCAGGCAAATTTAATGATGACTCGATGTGGCCGGAGCTTAACTCTGGTCTGGGTTCGGGCCCCTTGCCGGTAAACCTTTCATGCGTCCGTGCATCAAAGAAGTAATAATCTTTGGCTAAATTACCTGATTCAACAAGACTCAATAGCTCCTCGAATGTTATGACCTGGTCGTGGTAGCGCTTAATAATCTGTTCCTCTGGTATTGTCTCATAATCGGCACCAGTCGATAACTTTGGAGGAGAGCTAATCTTCGAATTGTCGATTGGGTATCCTTCCTGTTTATACTTTACATAATTATCCAACAAATAGACCTCCTTATGACCAAAGAGCAGTAAGCTCCAAGCTGCCCTAGGACTTGAAAAGTTAGGTGTCCTGTCGTATAAAACTAATCGATCAGTCTTTAAGATCCCCATTTCAGATATGACTTTCTTGAATATGCTTGCTGTAGGAAGCATATGTGGATATTTAGATCCAGGAAGAGCTAGAACATCAATATCAATGTAAGAAGCATTTGGTAATCTGTCTTCATTCAAGAATTGAGCTAAACCATCTTTCGGGCTATTTGGTAAGTAACATGTTGAATCAAGTGCAATGACTCTCTTTTGAGGTGAGGAGGATTTGAAAAGCGTTCTAAATTCCGCTGGAGAAATTATCTTAACAATGTCTCTACTCATTGTACTCAATTCTTTGATAATGTAATCACTCTATACAAAAAGTTGGAAAGTAGTTTGCAGAAGTCGCCGAAGCCCTATAATATATATCGAACTATGTATCAATAATGGTTGCATCACGTGATCTATAAGATAGATGCAAATATCATGATGATCTTACGTTAAGATTATCGCTCATTCTAGCTGTATCTGCCTTCATAAATTCTCTCAAAGCCATTGTGGCATACGAGCTCACTGGCAACTCCATCTTTAAGACAACAGCTGTCTTGTTTGCATCACTATCGGTGCTGTTGATAATTTGAGAAACTTCCTCGTTGTTATCTTTTCGTAATCTAAGTAGCTCTAAATCAGTTCTCACTAGGGGCTCATCATCGGACTTATATTTGACAATTTGATAAGAAATATTTCCTGGCTTGCCAATCAAATTTCTATACGAGCCTGCAAGGGAGAACTCCCTAACTCTTCTACCCATTTCGTTAGGATCCAACCCATCTTTAGCCATAGAATCGACATATACTTGTTTGATCAATGGATTAGTAGGATAGATTATATCGAATCCTGGGGTGGGTAATACCACATCATAAATGGTGAACTTTCCACTCTCAACCTCCTCCTTAGAGAGAGGGCGAGCTCTTACGAACTTACTCTCCAGAACATCTTCTTCGAAGTCATCGTCAATCTCGTTTTCTTGTTTCCTTCCCTCAACTAGCACAAGATCACCTTCTTGGACTTTCAAACCAAATAATTCAAATCTTTTCGAAGCAACCAAGTTCCATATATACGACTGATAAGCATGGGCATACATTATTCTCAAATTTCTCGGAATGGACATAATACTTTTGAAGTAGGATTGACTACTGTATTTTTCATCTTCGCCAAGAGGTTCTTTGTTCAAAGTTGTCAAAATTTCATATTCAGCAGTAAATCTACGAGGTAACTTTGACAATGCCAATTTAGGATTTGATGTTTCTGCCCAGATTCTCCTTGCTTCAATAGAATCTGGTGCGACAATTTCCTGCTCTGATAAAATCAATTCGACAGCTCGCTCCCAATCTTGTTTCAATATCAATACTCCTAGTTCATGGGTAGATATTGAAAAAGTTCCAAATCTTTGCATGCCGTAGTAATTAAGAAACCCCTTTTCCTTCAATGAAGAAAAGCAATCAGCTATGGTGTTTTCGATGTTTGCATTTTCATCAAATGGCCTGACGTCCCTGATAGTAATCACAAACTCATTTCCTCTTAGGTCACCCAAAGCTAAAGAACGATCTTCATATGCAAACCCGCCTAGTATTGCATTTTTAAGTCCTTTGTTCAAAGAACTAACTCTGGCAACTTTACCTTTGTGAATACAAAACCTCTGACATGTCACAGCTCTTCTGTCTTTCGTACCAGCATATCTCACGTTCTTTGAAGGTATACGTAAAAACTTCGAAATTGTTGAAGCAACTTCCATTGTCTCTCTATTTTCTTTGTAGACAGTAAAATGCAAGAAATTTTTGAATGGCCCCAAACCATAGTTTATAATACCGTTCTCGTCAACATGGTTGATATTTTCTTGTGTGTTTGTCCTTCTAGATCTATCGGAATTGCTGGCAAGAGCAATTCTGAATGTGTTTTCCGGAGACGTAACCGACTCAAGCTTTCCACCAAATGCCTCTCTCAACAATTTGTGCAAACTACCTCTCATTTGTTTGTCATCAAGAGACGTTTTTGTTTCCATGTTATTTCCAGTGGTGAATAGGTCTTCAATCTGTGCGAGCTCGACTTCTGTGATGAATTTCAATAGCTTTTCTCTGTTGTCAGGAGTTAGTTCATATTTAGGTGCATTCACTGCCTCAGATCTCTTAACGTCTTTAATGGCTTCGATTTCTTCAGGAGTCTTGTTTTGTAATTCTTCTCTTTCTCTTTGTCTTCTTTCAATCTTTCTTTCCTTCTTAGTTTTGCCAAGATCGACACCTTCGTCACGTAAGTGCACTACATTTCCATCCAAATCTATCTCATTTACGAGGAAATCAGAATATCTCTGCTTAATAGTGCCGAAGAAACCTCCATCTTGACGATTGGTTTCATTAATATACTGAGTGATTCCAACTTCGGACTCTTGAACAACTTTTTTTGCTCTTTCGTATTGGCTAAATTTGTTATTATTCCGTTCTTCGAGGTCTTCTGCACTCCTTTTTAAAGATTGCTTCTCCATTTTGGGGTTAAGTTTTTCAAGTAAAGGCTTAAAGGAAATTCTCTTTACTACTTTGGATAGTTATTCTTTGATCAAATACATTTAATGTTTCAATGTTGGAGAGATTTTCAAAAAGTTTAATTTTTTTTGATTAATTTTTCAAAGACTTGAAAAATTCACTAGCTCATCTCGGTCTTTTGTTAGGCAGAAGTTGCACCCAATTTTTTACATTATGCCATTAAATCCTAAAAAGAAGTAAAACTTAAGATCCATGACTACTTATTTTAATTATAGCATTAATACTATCGGTAAAATGACCTAGATTTTGTATGCCGATTATTTGGTCTGCTGGTCGCAAATGATGGCCGCAAATTGAAGAATCACAAATAGATGGTCATGACTGAGTATATTAGATAATAAGAAAGTTTATAGCTTCACATTGATGACAGCATTTATATTCTGAACTAAAAGAATATAAATTCAATAGTTTGCTATTTATTATTTTAAACTTTGTTTTATTTGCTTCATATTTTGCTTCATATTTTGCTTCAATTTGCTATATTTTGCTATATTTTGCTTTAATTAAGAATACGAGATTCAACTAACGACATACTAAGAGCTAGTTCTGCGGAAACATCTCATCAGATTTACTTAACACTGTTATACTAAACTTACCATATTTATAGAATAAGGCATCAAAGTCTTTGTGGGTTCAAATGTCAACTTATAGAAGATCGAGGATCTCTTCATTAGGTGGTATTTTGGAGCCCGATACTGTAGCTTCAGAAGAAAAAGTTGGCATTAGGAAAATTGCTAAGGCTTGTACCAGAACTATTGCCCAATGGACAGAATCAAACAATGTAAGCGATAAACCTTGCGATTCAAGAAGTTCAAAGTACGAAGATGAAAGAAGAAACCGTGATACAATCGAAAACGATTTTTCAAGAATTGCTCTGTTGGAAAGAAAATACAATGAAGACCTTGAAAAAATGAAAAAGTTATACTTGGAGAGATTTGAACCAGGCCAAAACTATCTGCAAATATCTCTCAAGAGGTCTAAACAGAAAGCATTAAACAGCAGTAAGTCTTCGCTAGAAAACATTGTTACGGACAGTGAAAATAAAATACTTCATGAGATCAAATTGCAAAACAAGCCAAGTCTGGAGACATTGGCATCTAGAAGAATTATTGTTGTTAAAAACATTCCACCAGGGGCCGGAATCAATGGTTTTTTGGCACAAGTATGTGGCGGGCCCTTGGAAAGAGTCGTTTTTCATGAGCTGAGACAGTTTTCTACGGCAGAACTTCATTTCATTTTCTCGGAACATGCAAGAAAATTTTATAGTTATGGTACGGATACTGGCCTCCTTGTTTTAAACGGTATACACTTGAGATTAGAATGGGCAGATGGTACAAATACCGAGGACCTAGATATAATACATCCTTCTATTCCAAGATATTTGATGAATGAAATCATTGATTATGGTTCTCGAAGATGCTTAATATTCTCACAAGTTATTCCTGGAAAGCAGATTCGTCACGACAAGAAGCTTCACTATCCTAACCCTGAGACACATTTCTCAAGAGATCTTAAGGTAGAAGACATAAGGAGAACTTTCTCAATTTATGGTGAACTCATTGATATTGCATCTGTTATCTCTAGAAAGCTTTGTTTTAGCTTACATTTCGCAGATATCAGATCAGCAGTGATTGCTAAAAAGGAATGTCAAACCCCTGGTACAGAGGTCAATTCAAAATATGGGCACTGGACGGTATGGTTTGGAAATGATCATACCGACAGACCATGTTTACAAGTTTGAATTTATGTATTTTCTTTTTCTTCTTCAGCTGTCTATTGTTCGCCTTTTAGTAATGTTTCCTTATTCTTATATTCACAATAATCAACAAACCTCAAGCTTTTAAAAGACAGACCAAAACCTTGTATAAACTGACCTACCCATTTTGATCGTGCCTTCTTTGTCCTCGTAATGATGCTAAATACTTCTTAAGAAATTGATGCAAAAATCGACTTTCATTAGATGTCTCGATTAGGTAAAAAGTAAATATGGCGATATCAGATTTAAGCTGAAAGGTCGTCTATTAAAATACACGAAAAACATAACTGAAGGCTTTTTTCTTAAAAACGTTTTGAACTATGTCTCGTCAAAGAACACCGTTGAGATCAAAGTCCTCAATGTCAAACTTTCTGACAGCAGGACTTACGACACCTCAACAGCAGACACCGCGGCCACGAGTGAGCATGACGGAATTAAGAAAGCCCCCTTCTGGAAGAACGATAAGACCAAGCTCACCAAGACAAACTAGATCAAGACCAGGCTCTGCCATGGGTAGTTTGGGTGGAAGTCGGCCATCAACTCCATCATCATCTGGATTCGGTCATAATGAGCCTTACAGTGGATCTATAAGTGTCTCCGTTAGGCCAAACCCACACAGTGCTAGCCAGACTTCCGTTTGGAAAATAGATGAATTTACAAACACCATTTTCAATAATCATGACTCTAGTTCATTCCAGTTTGATAACGTGTTTGCACCTCATGAATCTAATACCAATCGACACGTTTACAATAGATCTTGCTCTAATATTGTTCAGAAGTTCATGAGCGGGAGCTTCAATGGCACTGTTTTCGCATATGGTATGACGGGTTCCGGTAAGACATTTTCCATGAAAGGTGATGAAAATGAACCCGGCTTTGTCAGGCTCGCAATCGAAGACATATATAATCAGATTGAATCAGATGCTTATTCAAAGAATTACGTTTTGAGCGTGAATTACTTGGAAATTTATAATGAGAAAATAATTGACTTGCTTAACGCTACGTCTGCCGAGTTAAAAATTAGAGATGATCAAATTTATGGAACGAGAATAGTTGGGATTCTGACTCCAACTATTCAAAATAAAGAGCAGCTTTTAAATTATATAAAAAAAGGGGATAATAATAGAAAGACAAGTGCAACAGATTTCAACGCTAGATCTTCTCGCTCACATTCTATTTTGCAGTTAAAATTAAAGATTACTGATATGAATAACAGGACGGAGCAGTATTCTACCCTTTCCCTTTGTGATTTAGCTGGATCTGAAAAAGCAACATCAAGTATAGAAAGAAGGAAAGAAGGATCATATATTAACAAGTCATTGTTGGCTTTGTCAACTGTTATAAATAAACTATCTGTTATCTCTTCAGGAAATGGTAGCCCGACATCAATTGAGCATATTCCATACAGAGATTCAAAATTAACCAGATTGCTTCAGCCTGCGCTTTCTGGAGCATCCTTAGTACTGATATTATGTACAATACACTTAGGATCCCCGACAGGGAATGCAGGCGATCAGCAGTTTGTCTCAGAAACTTATAATACTTTGAGATTTGCAGCAAGAGCAAAGCATATTATCATGAATGTACAAGAGAACAAATCTTCAAACTTTGGAGAGAATGAGTCTGTGATAGAGGAAATGCGTAAAATTATAGACACGCAAAGGCATGAACTTAATAAGCTCCGCTTGAATACTCCAGGTGCTACAAATATCAGTAATCCACCTATGAATTTAGAGAAAATGACCCAATTGGAGGCTGAAAATAAAGTCTTGAATGAAAAAATTGAGCATTTGACTAGACTAACTGACTTACAGAAAACAGAGACTGTCATATTAAAAAATCATTCTCTTAATGATCTTTTAGGTATGGGAATAGAAAGAAATTCCCTGCAAATGATGATGGCTAATTTAGAAAATTTCTATAAAAGAGTACACTATGAAATGGAAGAGTACAAAACATATACGTCACGTCTAGAAAACCAAATCAAAACCCTTCAGGTTCAAAAGTTGAATTATGAGAATTCAGAATCGATAGTAAGAGATTTTCAAGGTGGGATCACTGACAAACATATGGAAGCTGCTTTAAAAGATCAAGAGGGTGAAATTTGGCATTTGAAAGAGCTCTTGAAAGATAAGGAGCTTATTATTAGAAGCTTGACTAAGACAAGTAAGTTGCGTCGCTTGGTGGATTCCAATTCAATGAATTCCGCAGGCTCGGACGAAGTCAAAGAAAAAAAGCTCGCGGCTGGCATTCCTTTAGCATCTATAGACAAGGAGAATATGTTATCCGGATCGTTTAGAAACCACAATTGAATTACTGATTCAATAATTATCAACTGATTTATCTAAAATCATAATGTCCAAGAGAAATGAATTATTATCTAGTTATCTATTTGTAGATTGTCATGCGCTATTTATAATTCGAAATAACTTAAAACAGAGGAATCTGCAAGCTAGTACGTGCCCTGCACTGTCCTATCTTATCCTGTTCGAAGAAGTTTATAGAAGATGAGAATCGATTAGTATGTAGACAAGTTCATGAAGCAACAACCAGCCCATAAAAACACCAGATCCCTTCTCCATATTTGAGGACACGACTGAGGAGGATATTAATAAAGTAAAATAATTAGACTAATGGACTTCCACTCTAGAGCTATATCCAAGAATTCGTTGGACGCAGCTGTTCTACCTGGAGGTTCGCTCTCTTTGAACTTTGGCTCTTCAGGGGGGATCTATTAATGTCATAATTTTTTCGCTGCTGTCTCAATTGAGGATTAAAGTTTCCTCCAATTTGTGGGCCATTGGAAATACGTTTGTTGCGAGCCTCTAGAACAGAGCTATGAGAGCTCATTAAATGATCCATCACAGGCCTTGGCTTTAGCTTGAAGTCTGCAGCATCTTGCTTCAATACATTAACAAATCTCCTGTCCATATCTGGAAGTCTCTCGCCCCCATTAAATAGACCGGTCGGGTCTTTGATATCTACCTTGAATCCCATCAGCTCCTGGGATCGTTCATCGTTAAAGAATTCAAGGTTATCACCATTGAAAAGTTGCGCTTTGCGTCCCTTCCCGAGAACAACACCATTCACTAGACAAGAATTAGTACTGATATCTAGAAGCCAAATATCATCAAGACAATGAGCAGGGCTCTCATAAATGGATACGCTGGATACTGGATGTCTTTTTTTACTGAACAAACAATGTATCTTAGACATTCTATCATCATTGATGTAAGTATCACATGTTTCATTCCGCCCCACCGCATAAGGGTTAACTCCCTGACGAAGATAGATGGGGTCCTGAAATATAGATCCCGATAATGGCCTTAAAATAATAAATGTGTCTTCAGGGATATTTTCTAGACTATCGGGAATGCTGATAGATTTAACGCCTTCACTCTTCTCTTCCTCATGTCTCTTATCTCTGCTATTCATTTCTATGCCTTCGAATACATGTTCGTTAGCAACACTAGTGGAAGCTGTGCTTTTCTGCTTCTTTCTTTTGAGTTCAATGGATGGGTCCGAATGATGTTTTTTCGAATTAATCTGTTCATCTTTAGAATAGTTTTCCTCGATGGTAGAAGGAACTCTCCTTTTTGAGTTATCAAGAGTATTTTGAGAAGCTGGTTGCTGCGATTGAGGTAAAGGGACGATTCTCTTTGGAACTTTAAATGCCGTGCTTGAATTTTTATTAGCCTTAGATTTTCTATTTTTGTCACTATCAAGGGGCCTCATCATAATGTCTTCGTCTATCTTGCTTATAGGTGCCTTAATTGGAACTCCATTTTCTATTTTACGTGATTGCTGCGATTGAGATTGGGACAAGCTCAAAAGGCCTTGCAGTGCTTGGGAGTCATCGTCAACACCAGTTAGCCATGGGTGTTTAAGAGCCTCCTCAGCAGTAATTCTTTCTTTGGGATCGACTTGTAAACAACAACTCAAAAAATCTCTACCTTCTTTGGATATTTCGTAAGAACTTAGTGGAGATTCGTGAAATTCGCCTTTCTTTATCTTTTGAAACATTTGGGCTTGAGTTTTGCCATTAAAAGGTAAATGGCTCGTTAAGAGAACATAAACGAGGCATCCTAGCGACCAGATATCAACTAATGAAGAATATTTGCTACTCATAGGATCACTTTGGGATGATTCATATTTACCAGTGATTACTTCGGGGGCGACGTAGGCTAGAGTTCCACAAAAAGTCTTCATGAAGGTTGAATTATCGCTAATTTTAGCCAATCCAAAATCCGTTATTTTCACTAAAATTGGATCGTCTTGCATGATAAGGATATTGTCTGGCTTAAGGTCTCGATGAGAAATTCCCATATTATGCACGTACGTTATACCCTTTAAAATTTGCTTAGTTATTACCTGAGTTGCATCTTCACCGATAGCACCATTGGCAGCTACAAAATCCATCAAATCACCACCAGGAACCAATTCCATTACCAAATAATAGTTATCTAGATCTTCATAGAAGGATTTTAGTGCGACGATATTAGGATGATTCAATTGCCTTAAAATTGATAATTCTCTATCTACGGCCACCATTGCACCGCCAGTGTTTAATGCCTTTCTTCTATTTATTATTTTCACTGCATAGGATTTTCCAGTTGAACGTTCCACGGCTTTCTTAACTATTGCAAATGCCCCTTGTCCAATTGTTTCATTTTTGATTATGAAATCTTTATATATGCCTTGATCTTTATTAGATCCATTGATTGAATTTGAAAGTTTTGAAGGGTTAAAAGCATCCGAAAAAAGTATTACAAATCTCACCACATCTTTCGGTATTCCCAATCCGACAGAAATTTCATCTCCTTGATTCAACATATAGTTAGAGCCCTTGACCAATCTATTATTGTTTAAATGAGTACCATTGGTAGATGTATCCTGAATCCACATAGTTTTGTCGCTTGAGTTAAACCATAGCTTGAAATGCTTATTGGAGAGTCTAGTGCTCGTGGTCAATACTAAATCACACTCAGGATTTCGTCCAAAGACCCATGTGGTTTTATCCTTCTCTGTAGTATCCTTGCCTGATGTCAAATCAAAGTTACTATATTGACCTGTTGTGCATATCAACTGACAAATTCGATCTTTATTGATGTCTGAATCTTGGGTCTGAGTAGCAGGAGACTGCTGTGTAGGCTGAGTATGTTGCGTCTGAGTCGCTTGCGTATACTCCATGAAGACCTTAAAAGCTGTTGCCTTGACACTCACTTTTTCATGAAAGAGCTCCGATATCCCACTCAGACGAAGATGAATTAACGCGTAAGCCGTGTAAACAGTCAATTATTATATCACGTGATGAGGAACGTGATATGAAAATTGAAGAGTAAATTTAAGCAGAAACAAGCTTTAAAAGGTGATAATTTGCAACTTAATGATTTTTCTTTCCCCATTTTTTCCTTTTGTACTAAGCAGTGGATATAAGTCTTCAAATGATCTTCAAAGGAAATTTTAAATAATTTAGAAAATGTGTTTTTAACTCTCGAGATAGACTATTTAAGCAATGAATAGTATCAGTACTCTAACACTGAAGTCTATGAATTGGAAAGTATCTCAAGTGCCAAATCCATAATTCGATTCAAAATATAACTGGAATCTGAAAACAAAGATAGAGATGAGAATTCGTTTACAATGCCTAGCGTATTGGGGATATTCTGGTGCACATATTCTGGGCAAAATTAAATCAATAGTAGAAGAATCATTTGTGAATATGCACCAGCTGTTCTGCGTTCTAAGCAAAGTACAAGTATAGACTACTTTCTCAGCAATTTATGTGTGCATAGTAGTCTAGGATCTGTTGCTAGCATCGACAAAAAACAGAGTTGTGTATTTGTGAGTTGAATATCAACGTTATCTTGCTCAATTTATAGTCACTATCGCACTTTTTTCTTCTCTATGAACCTTAATCGGAGAAGGGTGACTGTCTATACCCACTATAAGAGCTTTTTCTCTTTTTAACAAATACAGGTTAAACTCCAGCAGAAGAAGAATCAAAAGTTGAGATATTGTGCACAATGAGTCTTCAATTGAAGCTTTTCAAGCCAAACTCATGAAGAACTACTACTCACTTCTACAAGCTATTAGGCTATTAGGCTATTAGTTTTGTTTTCAATGATATACTTCCTATCTTATACTTGCAAAATTCGTTAGAAGCAGAGCAGAAGTAATTCTGTAAGAACGTGACAGCTACGGTTCAGTCGCTTATAAACTTTTGAACAGATTATCACCTGACTGAATATAAATCTTATCCTTTAAAATCTAATCAGCAGTCATAAACAATAATTGAAAGATTGAAATGAAGTCTTCTAAATTATCAAGTAGTGGATGCTGTGAAGATTGTGGCAGCGGCCAAGGTAAATGTACATGTATGATATTATTTTTTATGTATTTACACCTTGATAAATACTAACTCAATTGAAGTGAATTGTATTCATGAAATTGCAAATATTAATTGCGAAACATCTGGTTGTACAAGTTATGAGATGCACTCATTAAAGGGAGTTACGCAGAATTTGGACAACAGGGTGGAGTATAATGGGCTTCCAGATGAGAGTTTTGTTGACTCACTAATTAGTGAAACCTACAATATTGAAAGGCGAAGAAAAGGATGTCCTGGCAAAATTGTAAAGTACGAGGACGATGTCAATAGTATGTATTCTGCTATTAACTCATCTGACAAATGTAGTGGAAAATTATGTGAGAGTGAAAAGGGTACCATTGGTTGCCTGAGTTTTTCTTCCCCTAAGGAAGCTTCAACACATCTTCCGCCGAAAACTAAGAACTGTAAAGACTCTTGCTGTGAAAATGAGACGAGTATTATGAAGGATAAATGTCAAATTGCTTGTTCTTCTACGGAGAAAGGTGCTGAGGTTGAAAGTGAGGTTAATGCAATTTTTGCTGCCAATCTGTCTATTAGCGTTCAAACCAAGAGTAGATCAGAATGTTCTTTTTCTGATGAAAACCTTCCCTTGACAAAAATGAAAAGAGATGATGAGCCTACGGGACAAGATGGGTCTTTGCAAAAAAGATCAAACGTCGCTTGCGCTACTCATCTTGAACAAGCATTGAAAGAATATAGTTTGTTAATTGAATTAGGTAAATGTATCTGTCGTGAATTCATACATCGTCTAGACAGATGTTGTGGGATCGCCACTAAAAATTCTAAGAAGCAACGATTTAAGGGAATTCACACAGCGCGAGATGAATGTGATGACCCAAAGAAGTCAAGCTGTAGCAAAGTTTGTTGCGAAAAGGAAGTGAGCTCTGACCTAGGCAATCCTTCAGATTGTCCACTGAAGGAGATTAAGCGTGATAATGACACTTCCTCTTTGAAGAAAAGAAAGAGAAAAAAGATTGCAGACTTGGAGGAAGAAAGTGCTCGTCAACACGTTCGCCTCAATGTGGCTGGCATGACTTGTACTGGCTGTGCCAGAAAACTTTCTCGAGTTTTAGAAAATATTGATGGTGTTTCATCAATTCATGTAACCTTTGTCACTGGTGTTGCAGATTTCGACTTTGACACTGATGTGTGGGATTTGAAAGATATCACATCTCGTATTCAGAAGGAGACTGGATTCAAAATTTCTACTATTAAAAAAAATTCACAAACCTTGGATCTAAAAATTGACCCTTTAAAGGTCAAAATTTACGAGAAACTTGAAGGTCTAGTTCTATCTGTTGAAAGGATCAACAAGCTGGTTTATCGAGTTTATTACGATCCAACCATCATTGGTGCAAGAGCAATCGTATCTCGCCTTCCCAGCTCATCTCTCGCTGAACTAAGTAGTGATTCATCCTTGGTTGATAATAGAAAAAGGCTCTTGGGTAAGCTATGGCAGACTATTGCTTGTGCCATATTAACAATTCCTGTTCTTGTTTTAGAATTTTCTAATACTTTGCCATATTCCAAGCGGTCTATTATCTCTCTTGTTCTCGGAACATTAGTACAAAGCATCGCAGTACCTGAATTCTACATCCCGGCAATAAAATCTTTGCTTTATAGTCGAGTTCTTGAGATGGACTTGTTGATTGCTATCAGTCTCACTGCAGCTTACGGCTATTCTGTCATTGCATTTATCTTGACGCATGTGGGCTATAAGTTGGAGACAGAAAGTTTCTTTGAGACTAGCACGTTGTTAATCACCTTGGTATTTTTTGGAAGATTTTTGACCACGCTTACTAAATTTAAGGTTGTATCAGCCATTTGTTTGCGTTCCTTTCAAGCTGAAGTTGCTATACTACTTGAATCATCCGACAAAACAAGAGAGATAGACGCTAGATTGTTAGAGCTTGGCGATGTATTTATTGTGCGAGCTCACTGTCGCGTCGTGACTGATGGCGAAGTCATCGGTGGTCAAAGTATGGCCGATGAGTCTATGCTTACAGGCGAAAGATTACCAGCTCCTAAAGTTGCCGGAGATGTGGTCTTTGCTGGCACAATTAATGGCCCTGGCACACTAAAAGTTAAAGCAAGTCGTCTACCAGGTAAAAATAGCGTCTCTGACATTACTGACTTGGTGGAAAACGCATTGGCCGAAAAGCCTCGCATTCAAGATGTAACTGATGCAGTGGCGGGTTATTTCATACCTGTTATATTCACTGTTAGTCTTATTGTCTTTATTATCTGGGTCGCTGTCAATTTGAGGATTCGAGACAAAAGCGCTGGTGGGGCCATTGCGTCAGCGTTGACCTATGGCATCGCGGTATTAGCTATTTCTTGTCCGTGTGCTTTGGGACTTGCGGTCCCAATGGTGTTAATAGTTGCAGGCGGTGTCTCAGCGAGGAAAGGTGTTATCATCAGAAAATCGAGCATCTTGGAAAACGGCTGTCAGATTACGGATGTTGTATTTGATAAAACTGGGACTCTTACAAAAGATGACTTGGAGGTTTGTAAGAAAATGATTTTTTCGAGCAACATAGTATCAGAAACTGATGCTCTCTCGCTTGTAAAAGCATTGACCAAAGACAATGAGCATCCTATTTCAGCTGCTGTGTCTGCTTACTTGAACTTTAATTTGAAGCTTTTCGAAGTGAAAGAAACTCAATCTTTTCCAGGTTCTGGCATTCAATGTCGGTGGAAAGGATTTGACATAAAATTTGGCAATCCGTATTGGTTGAAGGTTGACAAACAAGCTGAAGTTGCTGGATTTTTAGAAGAGGGCTTTAGTCTTGTTTGTCTTAGCGTGGAGTGCGAGCTTGTCGCTATTTTTTGTTTGAAAAGTAATATTCGTGATGATGCAACCACTGTCGTGGAGGAGCTTCAACGAAAAAATATAACTTGTCATATTTTAACTGGTGATAATCCACAAGTTGCTGAAGACGTTGCAAGAGCGGCTGGGATTCTGTCCAGTAATGTTCGTGCTCGATGTTCTCCTTCTGGAAAACAGATTTACGTAAAGAATCTTATTAAAAACAATAGAAAAGTTCTCTTTTGCGGTGATGGGACTAATGATGCAATTGCTATTGCGCAATCACATGTTGGAATTCAAATCGGTTCTGCTTCCGATGTTACCAGAGCTACTGCTGATGTTATTTTATTGGGAGGATTGGATGGCATTCTCGAATTTCTTTCTATTTCTGAACGGTCGATCCACAGAATAATTTTCAATTTTGTTTGGTCTTTTGTCTATAATATCTTCGCAATTTTGCTTGCTTCTGGAGCATTTGTGAAATTCCACATTGCTCCTGCATATGCCGGTATAGGTGAAGTTGTTAGTGTCGCTCCAGTCATCTTCGCAGCACTCAGTCTCTGGACAGGGTCGAAGAAGCAGAAGGTATGAACCTGTTATTTTTTTTGCAATTGTTATTCACTTTGTATTCTTAATTTAAAAATAGTAAAGTACATATTCATAGTCACGTGATGTTTCGCGTGATATGTTAATTGAAAAGTATGTTCAAGCAATCATAAGCTTTAAAAGGTAATAATTTGCAACCTTATGTTTTTTTGTTCCGCACATGCTTCAACCGTATTCAAGGGGGGCATGAGAGCTTTCTCTCCGAGATATATAAGTAGCTTGAACGCTAGCTATTTTAAAGATATCAGATAAAGGCGCAAGTTAGATACCGAAGGTGATATCAAGATGACGGATGCTGCTAGTTTATCAGTGTCACAGATAGAAGAATTGATTCAAAAAAAGATAGATGCTTCTAGTATTCAGTTGTTACGCCAAATAATTGAAGATGTGGGCGAAATAAAATGCACACTTGACAAACTAGAAAGCAAGTTTGATGACTTTGCTACAGATAATTCTGATAATATGAAGACTGAGATCGACAGCACAACGGTCGAAAGCACCCCATCCGATACATTAAGTCCAGTTGCTACTACACAGGGATCATCTATACCTGGTGGAAGTAAAATCTTTGTACCAGAGAAGAGTTTCAGGAATTTAGAGGCCGAGTACAATCTTGCAATAAGGCTAAACGCTACCAGAAGGAGTTTTGGATTCAAAGCTGAACCAGTTCCGTTTTTAAAAAGTGGTGAAAAAGCCGATTATCTAAAGGAAGTTTTACCACCAATTAATTCAGTCGAAGAAATTGATAGGATAAGCAAGGATCAATGCGAAAAGTATTTAGAATTGTATCATGTGTTCCATGATGAGGAGACTCTGGACAAATGGAAACATAGTTTACGGAAAGCATTGGGGATAAGTAGTTGGGGAGACTCTAGTTTTTGTTTTTCTAAATTTAAGTAGAGGATGCGAAAGAGTGCTCCTTTTTCAAACGAGAAGAATACTCAAGCTATCGGAATATACGTTGTTTTTTTTACCATTGAGGGGGTTCTGGAGAATAATTAATGCACTACGTGTTTGGCCATATGACCCCAGGCTTCATATCAAGCCGTAAAACTTTGAATGAAAGCCTCCTGATGTTCGCTACTGTGCAAATCAATTTACCCTAGTTTCTTACACACCCAAGTCATTGGTCTGAGTGTGAATAATACTATTTGACGTGAAATGAGTTACAATAGTAGATGTTAATTCTTCTCGTAACGCTTTACCGTTCAAGAAAAAAAAAGCCACTATGAACTTAGATGTCCGATTCACACAGTAAAATATATATATATATGAATCCTTGAATTTAGATATTTAGGCCATTCGAGTGTAATCTGAAGTAGACATATACGAAAGTGAAGAGCTCACAGATACAAAATTAAGGAGGCTGTCCTCTCTTTATCCTTTAAATATGTATCTTAATTCTCAATAAAAAATAAAGGACTTACAAGCCGAGCCAGTCAAAGCCTGAAAAATTCATTGACACAAAATATCCAGCTTTGGAGAAGATTGCAAAAGATAAATAAAACCAAAGAAATTGACGAATCAAATGCCTGACTTTTGAAGATTGTTGGTAGAGTTTTGGAGAAATCTACATATAATTTCTGAAACATTTAAGTGATTGGCATCCCCGACATGCTGGAGTCTTTGTATTTAGAGCCTGTTACACTATATATCGTCCTTATATTTCCATAGCAAAGTAGATCACCACTATCAAAAATTATTTTTATTATGATATCAGAAAAATTACTCGTTTCAATATTCAGTATCTCGTCTTTACAATTAACTCTCATAGCGCTTAAGTTTTCAAATCGTGCTTAATTCATGTCCACAAAACGAATATAAAAGCACGAGTATATATAAAGGATTCAATCCACCGATTGAGGTAGTTTTGCATGAATAAAGAAAAATAAACACATCTTTAAACATGAGAGCATACATGAATATGGCAGAGGCCCTTAATTCACAATCGATTAATGAAATATTACCGAACTTAGAAAGATTATTTTTGACTCTCGAGACAGGCTATTTAAATATTATAGATAGCATCCGTGATCTTACCGCTAAAGTCTATGGAATGGAAACTACCATCAGTACCAAAATCGATAATATGGATTCTAACTTGGGTGTCAAGCTTGATAATTTATATGCTAAGATTGATGAGTTGGATGCAAAAGTGACAGAACTTAATGCTAAAATTAATTGAGCTCTGAGAAGGTCACATAGTCCTAAAGATTGCTATAAACAAAACGTATATTTTCATTAAGAAGGTTTGATCCAGGAAGAAATTTAATCGGAACTTGCAAGTAAAGCTAAAGATAATAATTGTTAAGCTAGAGGTAATAATTGTTTACAATCCCAGAAGGGAGAATGGTTCTCTCAAATAATATATATATATATATTTCAAAAAGCAGCTCAAAAGTTGTAAAAGATAACCTAACTTGTCTTTTTGGATGGAAAAAATGATATTCAAGTACTGATGATCATCTGCAAATCTACTCAGCGAAGAAGTATTAGTGAGTAGCCACGAGCTGTTCTGCGTTCTGATTAACGATAAGTATGGGCTATCTTCTCAGTAATATGTATTTGCGCCATTGTATAGGATTAGTTGCAAGAATGTTTCTTATTTTAATATCTTTAGACAGAAAAGGATCCCTTCTTACTCGCTTATGTATGCTTATTTGTTCCATATCTGCAATTTTATAGCAACAATTTTCAATCCAATCGAATGAGACTTCGTAGAAAAGATCAATGTAACTTCACGCATAAAACACTTTGATCAAAAAAGAATAGAGGTCCACATCGATGAATAAAAAAATGAATATACTGACAAAAAAGCCTACTCTCTTTACAACAAATATAGATTTAACTCTAGCAAAACAGGAATCAAAGTTTTCGATAACTTGTACTATGAGTCCTCATTTAATGACTTGGTTCTTCAAGCTCTAGAGAAGAGCTATTGTCCACTTCTATCAACCTGAAAGACAAATAAGAAATGTCCTGGATAAATTATAGAGTATGAGGGTGATAACCAGCATATACTTTCATATTTTGACACCATCCTTTACACCATCTCACTCAGATGAGGATGGTCTAGCATGTCAACAGTCAATTATCACATCACGTGAACAGAACAAAATGTAAGCTTGAGCATAAGCTATTTGAAAGGCAATATTTTGCAACCTATGATATTCTTTCCTTTTTTTTGTACTCAACAGTAAAATATGATTCAAGCATATCAAAATATCATAAAAAGATTTTGGGATATATATGTAGTTTGAATTCAATTATTTCGTGGAAAACTAATATAAAGATATCTCAAAAATGCAAATTTCAGATAACAAAAGCGAAATCAAGATGACGGATGCTGCTAGTTTATCAGTGTCACAGATAGAAGAATTGATTCAAAAGAAAATAGATGCCTCTAGTATTTCATTATCTCTCCGAATACTTGAGGAGATGGGCAAAGTGAAATGCACGCTTGACAAAGTCGAAAGTGAGCTTAAGAAATCTACAACAAACAATCCTGATGACGTAAAAGATGTTAATAATGAGAAAAAATCTGTCCATGATACAACATCTTTTACCTCAAGTTCACTAAAAGAGAGATCGACATTATATTTGCCTAATTTTATGGTAGAAAAGAAAAAGGAGTCTGATTTAGAGATTAAATATAACCTCGCGAGAAGACTAAATGCTACTAGAAGGTCTGCTGGAGTCAAAGCTGAACCAGTTCCGTTTTTAAAAAGTGGTGAAAAAGCCGATTATCTAAAGGAAGTTTTACCACCAATTAATTCAGTCGAAGAAATTGATAGGATAAGCAAGGATCAATGCGAAAAGTATTTAGAATTGTATCATGTATTTCATGATGAGGAGACTGTATTTGGATGGAAGGATAGCTTACGTGAAGCAGTAGGGTTAAACAGTTGGGGAGACTCTAATTTTGAATTTTCTGAATTTAAGTAAAAGATATGCTTTCTTTAAATGTGAACTACTAATGCTTTAGGTTTTAGTAGTGCTGAACCACATTCTGTGCCCTCCTATTTCGTAGTTGTCTATTTTTTGAATGAGTTGCTTTCCCCGATCATTTAATATCAGCTTTAAGCCGATGCTATATATTTAAACCAATTTTAATTAATATACGTTTTTTTTTACCATTAAGGAGGGTTTTGGGATATTAGTAGCATACCCCGGGATATATGTAAAGCCCTAAAAAACTTTGAATGAAAGTCTCCTGATGTTCGCTACTGTGCAAATCAATTTACCCTTGTCTTCTACAAGCTCAAGACAATAATATGACTTGTGAACAATACGAATTCCGTTGAAATGAGTTGCAATAGGAGAAGTTGCTTCTTCAAGTAACGTTTTCCAGCTCAAGGAAAAAGGTTAGCATGAATTGAGATGAACAAATAAATATATATATGAAACATTGAAATTTAGACAGTTTATGCTATTCGAGTGTTATCTGAAGTAAACTTATGCGAAAGTAAAGAGCCATAGATACGAAATTATGGAGATGGACCTCTCTTATCAAATCAAAGTTTTCTGGGGATATGGAAAAGACTCTTGAAAACGGATTTGGCATGAAATCAAATTTACTCTGAGTACTGAGTTACTACACTAATAAGTCTTTGTCATAAGTGGCAGAACAGAAAAGAAAAAATTCTGTTTTTTGCTATGTGCTCTTTATTTTCAATGATCAATGCATTTGAGTTTTTCGTAATGTGTAGTTCATGTTCACAAACAGAAAGCATAGAATTCTAAGCATATAAAAAGCGCTAAAGTTTCCTAATACCAGAGATTTATATTGTACAATTAAAAACTGGGAACAAATTTTAAAAGCTTAAAAGAACACCAATATGGCAAACATTTCCAACATTTCGAACTTGGCCATCGATAATATGGTGGATGCTAAGTTTAACGCAATCACACCTAAAATTGAAAAATGTTTTGAGATAGTGGATGATGGATATATTAAACTATTGAATGAATTGATTAACTTGAACATCAAAAGTGATCAGCTGAATGGAAAATTTGATGAGGTGGATGCTAAAATTGATAACTTGCAGCACAAAAGTGAAGAGATGGATGCAAAATTTGATAAGATGGATGTTAAAATTGATCATGTGCATGCTGATTTGTCCACCAAGATTGATAATCTGCATGCTGATTTGAACACCAAGATTGATAATCTGCATGCTGATTTGAACACCAAGATTGATAATCTGCATGCTGATTTGTCCACCAAGATTGATAATCTGCATGCTGATTTGAACACCGTGATGCATGAAAACTTCAACGCCCTTTATAAGTTAAATGAGCAAAGCTTTTTGGCGCTCAGAGACATATTGCAAGAAAAGAATATGCAAGACGAATACAAATTCAGCAGACTAAGAAACGTTCAAAAAAGATTTGCTGGCTTGAGAGCAGAAGCGGTACCTTTTTTGAAAACACCAATACTTACACATAACGAGAGATCAAGTTTACCTTCGATCAACTCAGTGGAAGAAATTGATAGATTAAGCAAGAAACAGTGTGAGCAATACCTAGAGTTATACCGTATTTTCTCTGTAGGAGAAGGAGCGTCTGGTATGAAATCTAAATTACGTGAGGCAGTTGGGCTAGAAAATACCCACGATATTGGGTATGCCTTTTGTGATTTCAAAGAGTATGGTATAGGCCTGAACTAATTTTTTTCTTTAAATCTTCAGACGAAAATGTGCCCCTGTGGCCTATCTCCGTTAGTTATAACTTATATTTAATTTTGCTTACCTTAAATTGCTTTATGTGAACAGGTGAGAGTCCAAATTATATAGACCAATTTTGTTTAATGAACGATGTTTTAAAGATAGTAGTATGATCTGTTTTCGTCCATTCCTTAGCTACTCTTTTGCAGAATTACGTTGCATTTCGTAGCCTTTAGCTTAACTTTATGGGCGTCTTTGTACAAGCCCACTTATTATCTGACAGTATAATATCTACTATTGTACATTACTGCTGCACAAAAACTTCTCTATCGGTAAATGTTGATATTAAGCATTATATACACTCTTTTGCAACAAATCAGATTTGATCGTATAAAAACACTGTCAAGCAATAGAATTAAATAAAATCGCTTCTAGCAACAAAAGTAACCTAATAATGATAAAAAACTTACCACAAAAATGCTACTTGAAGCTCAAGCGGATTTTTCTTCTTCCTTGTCAAACTGTGGAAGCAGCAACCTACTTTTATCCATGTTATGTACGTATATCTAGTATTGCAAAACTGTTCATTTCGACTAACTATTAGGGATTGCATTACTTCATAGTTCATACGGACTTATGGCCTTTCTATTTAACTATACTCATTCCTCAGTTGATCTTGACGTTGGTAATTTATGTATTGATGTTTATAATAATGTATCCAGTTCAGGCCGCTATCATGGTACTTTTTACGGGCCCCCTCGCAATAATTACTGCTTGGATGGCGGTTCTTCAACAGAGCGGAATAGTATCAGTATTCATCATAACTTATTTATTAATGCCTGAGATTCAAAGAGTGGCGTTTGATGCGGTTCTCAGTAGAGAATGTGCTGATGACGTTGTCCTTTTAGGAAAGTTAAGAAGAGTTGTTAAAGTTCCATTTCTTGTGAAGTGTGGAAATTTCCTCTGGAAGGTTCCAACAGTTTTGATTCTTCCATACACTATTTGCAAAGCATTGTTGATATTTGTGTTGAGTTCTATACCACTCCTCGGGCCTGTAATAGTAGTTCTAATTCAGGCACCATCTAAGGGATTGCAAGCACATGCCAGATATTTTGCGTTGAAAGGATATGACAAGAAGAAAATTAATGAAATTTACAAGGCAAATACAGGAGCCTATATGGGATTCGGTATAACTGCAAACTTGTTAGAATCAATTCCTTTATTCAGTGTATTTTTCATGTTTACAAACACTGTTGGTGCTGCGCTCTGGGTAGTAGCAATCGAGCAGGAAGAAAAGCAAAAAGCTGAAAATGAAGCTGCGAACGAAGCTGCTGCAATCGAGAATATAGAATTAATCGAGTCTTCTGAAAAGTTCATCGAGGAGAGTAAAATTCACCAAAGCATCTAGTCCTTTTGTGACGATCTCCGTTTGTTTTCTAATACAAATAAATGCTATCGATGCAACCGAATCCAGCTGCAACTCCTCCCTCATTACTCGAGTCAACTTTTGATCTAAGTAACCAACCAGCATTCTTGTTAGTCAAAATCTCACCAGTATCTTCATTATACAAAGTCGTACCGAAAATACCCAATTCTGATACAATTGGCTCGTTGTAAATTGTTTCATTTCTAATAATCTTATTTTTATGTTTAGGGGGATCGATCATCTCCATGAGAATGTACGCCCCCCATTCCCTTTCTGGGAGCTCTTTCAAAAAGCTTGGAATATCTTCTTTGTAAATATTATTCCCCCCGCCTTCTCGTTGAGGTTTCAAAACGAACTTTTCAGGGCAGTCAAATGCCAATCTTCTAGCAGCTTTACCTCGCTCAGTGTCGTCTAAAGGGTATATCGGCACAAACGTAGAAGTTATCTTCGACATTTCAGACGAATCTAAATCCGGTAAAAATTTCTGAATGTTATTCTCTTCAGTAAGAAGCTGTTGTATCTTTTTACATCCAGATAATTGCGTCAACAAAGTCGGGCATTTTATAGCTGCTGTCTTCTCTACATAGAGCCTGGCATTCCAAGCTGAATCAACCTCATACTCATACGGAGCATAACCCGCACGATAGTATACAACAGAAATTTCATCCATAGTCGATTTGATATAAAGCTTACCATCGTTAATAGTAGTATTAGGCACAACTTCAGCTAAAGTTAATCGGCGAGACCTAATTCCGTGGTTCTTCAACAATTCAAACTCAACAAGCCTCTGATCAAAGCAATTTCTCTCCCCGTCTTGCACTATAAATAAAATAATAGTGTTACATTTACTATTCTTGTCGTTATAGTAACAGTCTCCATCTGCCAATCCATCTGCTAATGCAGCTGCTGAATTAGATATGGGAATCTCACTAGAATCATAATACTGGTAAGAATAATTGCTGTCATATGCTCCAATTTGATTCAAGTGGTTATGCAACTTGCTAGCTTTGGTCGACAACCCACCGAAAGACACACTGACGGTGTTGAATTCAATTTGACTTATTGCTTCCTCTCCTCTGACTTCGTTGACCATATAGTCAGAGCGAAACAAGCCTAACGATAATGGTTGTCGGAGCTTACCACCGCTCTCTTCTACTGCTCTTTTATGAGCATCTAATAACTTTCCGGTGAAGTCTTGATCAAATTCGCTTAGATCTTCCAAAATTTTCATTAACCACAGTTTATTAGTACTTACTACTTTTGCATACAACTTGTTGAATAACTGTTGCACTTGAACCGCATCCTGAAAAGCAGCCTTTGGAATTGGCGTAGGAAATAAAGTCACAGGTGCAACATTCACTGAATACTCAACAAATCCCGGTGGGTACATCACCAACCCATTGGCCAAACTCCATTGTTGTAGCTCACTTTGAAGTTCCTCCTCTTGCCCGGCCGTTAATCTAGGAAATTCTTTTGCAGTCATATACTCGTAGTCCTCTAATATCACAAGCAACCTAATCGGAGGGCCCTACTCGATTATTGTTCCAATGTCAAAACACAATGCCCAACCACTCTGATTACATATATTGATAGCAGATTACATGTTATATCATACTGCATAGAAATACACAGTTTTGATACAACCGGCATATAGCGCGCATGTGACGTTTCGCAAAATAGGGGGATGGGCCCCAATGCATTGCAAACAGAAGAAACGTAAGAGATAGTTATTCGGGGCTTATAGAGAACAAAATTCATCGATCATCGTGGTGTGACTTTGCTGAGTACATCATATCAATGACTTGGAGAAGCAAGGCACAGCGGGAATACCAAAAAAATAAACGATCACGTGACTAAAGTGACTGCATTCTTCTTCCTTTCTGAGCTATTCTCGAGTTGGACGGTTCTGGTCGTTTTCCAAAATTTTTCAGAATGTGTTTAAGATATCTAATTCTAGTTTATCCAAAATAGCTTTAACGAAGATAATAGTAAGTGCATAGATAGAAAGACATATTCCAGAATGCTTCAATATTTTGCAGTGAGTCCGTGCTCTCAAAATTCCAATTACATTTGAATCTTGAGAAAGCATAGGCTAGAAAATAATGCTTAGAAATAGCATCGTAAGATTGTATGAATGCTTTACTTTCATTGAAACAGTTGACCTGGAAAGATTTGAAATATTTCTGATACGGAAAATACTAACAAATTTAGTGAAATACTTAGCTGCTTATTTATTGTTGGTTAACGCAGGTAACACCTCTCCATCTGCCGCAGATGTTAAATCCGTCTTGGAATCTGTTTCTATCGAAGTTGAAGAAGACAAAATCTCCAAGTTGTTGGAAGAAGTTGAAGGTAAGAACGTTGAAGAATTGATTGCTGAAGGTAACGCTAAGTTATCCTCAGTTCCATCTGGTGGTGCCGCTGCATCTTCTGGTGGTGCAGCAGCAGCATCTGGCGACGCTCCAGCTGAAGAAGCCAAGGAGGAAGAAGCTGCCGAGGAATCTGATGATGACATGGGTTTCGGTTTATTCGATTAAGGATGATAAAACCGTTTAATATTCAGTCATGTATAATAATTAGCCCTCGATCATTACAAGTACCCTATATAAGGTAGACTTACTAAATTGTCGTTTACTAATAAAGGACATACTTACGATAAAATTGTGTTTTTAAATATGTAGCTCTCTATAACTCATCGTCAGGCATCGCTTTTCTAAGGGCATTGGGGTTTCCAAATACTAAGTGCCTTGCTTTCAACATCTCTCTCTCGAAGTCCTTATCTTCTGAAGTGTCGTCTCTACGTTCGTTACGATCCGAAATCTCTTGAACTTTTGCGGCCAACCACTGCGTAAACTCTTTCGAAGGTTTAAGAGATTTATTTTCCAGATGTGTCTCACTTAGTTTGTTGAAAAACAATTTAAACTGGTCATGGGATGAAGTCTCACCGCCAACTAGAGATTTCTGTAAGAACTCTGAATAGGCATGATCCGGATCTTCAGAAGCTTCTTCAGATCTCTTTTCTTTTTCACCATGCAAGTTCAAATCTTTCAATATGTTCATAAATCTAATCTTTGATTCAGGTCCTAAGTTTGGATATGATTTGATTAGGCCATTAATACCTAATTCCGTATCAGATGAGGACTTTCCTCCTTTAAAATATTCCATATTAAAATTGTGATTTTGAGCAAGAGCTTGAAGGACGCCCAATATACGCTTTTGTATCGTGTCTGATTCCTCACTCTCTAAGGCACCGTATATATTATGAAGGAAGTCTAATGATTGATTTTCTAGTACGTTTCGGATTGCAGAAGGATTGTTTCTCAACGCCGATGCCATTATCCTGTACGCTTTCTCACGTATATAATCATCATACCCTTTACTAATTAAGACTTCAAGCGCATCAAATGCTTGCGTGTCCAGAGATAGCTTCAATCCGAATTCCATATCATGACTTAAATCTATTAAGGTTTCTAAGGCTTGGTCTAATTTGGTTTTATCACCGTCGTGTGTCTTGATCTCATTCACAGCAGCATCAAAATTGTCAATCTCTCCTTGATCAGCTTTCGACTTCTTGGGTGGTGAAGACTTTATTTTGCTCTTTATAGCAGATAATTGATCCTCTTTTATGCCTTGCTCATGTTTCTCATTATCTGCTTTCTGCTCTCCTAATATTACTTGGTTATTAACCTCATCATTTTGTTCTGAAGGATCCATTAGTTTAGCCTCCTTTTGCAAAGTCTCAAGATTCAATCTTACGTGTAGTCCAGGAGGAATATCTTGGCCAGCTTTTATGACCTGCCATTCGTTAGTAGGCTCAAATACCTTAAGATAGCAATCGCTTTGATTATTTGGGTCGCAGACGAAATCGGAACTTGTATCAACAAGTTGCGAGCTTACTATGCCAACCACAAATAGCACTGCCAAAACTACCGAAAGATAAGTCGAAGTGAATCTCATCAAATCTTTAAGGACGGTCAGAAGGAAATTCTTGAAATTTCTTTAGCTTTATAGTTTGTGATGAAAATCATAAATCACACGTCATCACTTTGCCTACATAAAGACTGCCAAAAGATTCTCGTGGAATAGTTTCGATTTACACAATATTAAGTAAGCATTATCTATAAACTCTTAATCAAGGTTTAAACATATAAATATTAACTAGAAAGTGATCTTCACAAGCTTGAAGATTTCTCTAAAGCTTGTTCAATATCTGCAATTAAGTCATCTGTTTCTTCTATACCTACAGACACTCTGACCAAATCATCATAGACACCGTTGGCTTCTCTCTCAGCCTTTGGAATACCTCCATGCGTCATGATTGCTGGGACCTCGATTAAAGATTCAATACCTCCCAAGGATTCGGCTAAGGTAAATAATTTAGTGGAAGAAGTAAAAGCTGATGCTGCCTCAGCACCGCCGTTGATTCTAAATGAGATCATACCACCTCCAAGACCATCTCTGTGCTGCTTAAGCACTACGTTGTGATTCCTGTGAGATTTTAAACCTGGATAGTTTACTTTTGAAACAGATGGGTGAGAAGCTAAGTACTCCGCTATTTGCTGAGCAGATATCGATGCTTGTCTCACTCTCAAGTGCAAAGTCTTTAAACCTCTGTGAGCCAACCAAGAGTCAAATGGTGATGGAATCGATCCAAGGGCATTCTGTAAGAATCTGTATTTTTCATGAAGCTGGTCATCATTAGTTGCCAATACTCCCATCACGACATCTGAGTGACCATTGATGTACTTGGTAACGGAATGTATGACGACATCTGCTCCATGTACAAGTGGGTTAGAGATGTAAGGTGACAAGAAAGTGTTGTCAACAACTAGCAAAATTCTCTTGCCAGATTTAGCTTCATAGTTCTTCAAAAGAGAGGCCACTTCAGCGATGTCAGTTACTGATAAAGTTGGATTTGAAGGAGTTTCCAACCACACTAAGCTTGTATTTTCCTTTATATTCAGCTCCAAATCCTCAACGAGATCCTTAACAAAGGTAGTCTCAACACCATGCGTGTTGGCCACCTTTGTAAAATAACGGTGAGTGCCTCCGTAGACATCTCCAACTGAAATAACATGGGAGTTAATAGGTAAGGACTGAAGAATCAAAGCTGTTGTTGCAGAACCAGAGCCCAACGCAATAGCATGCTTGGCTTTCTCTAATACTGCTACTGCAGTCTCAAAATTGTCTCTATTAGGATTTGAAGACCTTGAATATTCGTGAGCCCCGATGGGACGCGATGGGGCAGACTGCGCAAACGTAGTAGACAAGGAGATTGGTTCTATAACTGCGCCGGTGTTCTCATCGTAAGCTGCACCAGCGTGGATGGCGTTTGTTCCAAACCCATACCTGGTCAGCGATTCTCTTGCTTTAATTGTCATTATTTTTCTTAAGCTGATTAATTCAAGATTTAACTCTTAAAAATTTTTGGATTATTCAAAACTTGGCTCTAAGCACAAATAAGTTGAATTATCGTTTTATAATGGGTGTATTTGTCTCGAAGGTTGGACTTCAGTTAAATAATCAACAAAGAATGCTCAACTTATAACTTAAAATGTGTATTTATATGTTCCAAAGTCGTAATGCCGTTTGCGATGAGACAAGTGAAAACGCCACACTTTTCGTCTCTTTTTAGCACTTTCACGAAATATTGATATACAGAAGAAAGATTACAAAGCAACTATGACAAAGCAAGTAATACGTGACATCGTGTATTTAAGGATCTATGATACAATGAAGACAAAGGTCGGCTTGAAACTTGAAGCAGTCAAGTACAAAGCCATTGAAGATGAAAAGTATTCCGTTGCGTCTTAAACTTCATATTGAAATGATAACTGGTCAATTGCTTGGCCGAGGAACAGTTATCGGAAAGAAATAACTGTGTAAACATCAATTTTGTAGTTCATCAAGAAAATTTGGGTTGTTAGCCAACTTCGCTTTGAATTTTTCCCACCAATTGTCAAATGCCTTCATAGGTACCTTCCCAGAGGCATCTATAAAGCTGCCCAAGTAATTATAGGCATGTCCCACAATTTTATTTGCCAAAGCAGCAATGTCGTTAGGAGCTTTAGGCTGTACAGACGGCTTCATTCCAGGGACTAAAGCCAGAGACTGACCTCCCTTTTTCTGTTTCTCTTCAGCTAGCTGTTGCTCTGCAACCACTGTAGTTTCAATTGATATGCCAATGTTAATTGTCACATCTGCGCCTACAGCACCCCCGGAACCTTCATCCACATTCATATCGATATCATCTACCTGACCCAGGTGCATAGTGCTGGTTGCGTTGTTCTTCAATTTGAATATTGCTGATGGCTTTAAAGGATTCAAACCTCCTAGCAACTTAAACTCTTGGGAGCTAGGCAATTGGAAAAAGACAAGGGCTGTATAATTGGGGTCCACGAAGCCTGAATTCGGAAGCAAGAATATTGCAATATGTGAAATATTACCAGCATTTGGTATACTGATAACGTATTTGGTTGTGTCAACCTGTTCAGCAATTTGCATCGGTCTCCCAGAACAAACTGCTCCAAACATTCTTTATCATATGCTAGTTATATGGTGGTTCCTCTATGTGGCCTCAATTGTGCTATACCTAAATAAATAGTATCAGTTTATTTAAAACCTGCCAGACTTTCGTCAAATTACCAAGTAACGGAGTAGCGATTTACCTCATCTCGCACCGTCCATACCGACTACAGAAAATTCTCGTTTTATTTCGAACCTTCCACTTCTTTCTTTTATCCAAGAAAGTACACTGCAATCAATAAAGGCTTGTTGTTGTGGAGTATTATTAGTATGGGTGATAAAGAAGATAGCTTTTCAGTTTCTTAATTGAACTTTGTTTCAATTAGTCTATAAACAGTTGATAAGTTACCGATACAATCATCCTAAAATAAAGACGTCGAACATATTTTCCATCTTTGAGCATATTTGAAAGGATTCCTTTCGTCTAGTGCAATAGATGAATATGGGAAAGATACTTCGTGACAATTTAATCTACTTAAAGTTCTATTACTATCCATGTAGTGGCGCAACCTCCTGTAATAAATTTTATTGGCGATGGCCCACTATATATTACATTTAGATGGTCAAAAACGATGCGGTCTTCAATTTGTTTACCACAGTTGCCGTGTTCTCCCCATCCCCATACCAACACTTTGTTGTCCTCCGTAAGTATTAAACCATGTTCACTGCCAGTTTCAAATTGAGTAATTTTGTCAGAGGCATGCCCTGGATACTTCTGCCCGTGGCTGTTATTACCAAACGAGTCTATGTGGATCATGCTTTGAGATCTCTTCAAAATATGGTACGATGACCACATTGCTCTAAGAGAAAAGCAATCAGATATCTCTATCGTTTTGGGATTTTTGCCATAAATTCTCAATTCTTGCAGATTCAAGAAAGCTGTAGATTCTCTACCTAGGGCAAACTCATTGTAAGATGAGAAGTCAAAATGTAATGGTTGTGGACTCCACATAATGGATTTGGCCCGATGCCCAAGGTCGCCTCTTGAATCTAACTGAGAACCAAGTTGGCCCTTGCGACAACTTCCCCAGCCATACAAATCGTTATTTCGAAGTCTCACAATTGTATGATGCACAGATGACTTGAGCTCGAGTATTTCTTCAGGAAAACTAAAGTCAATCTTCGTTATTTCTGCCTTTCTCGTGAACTCTCCAAGTCCTAATTCTCCTTTTAAACCCAATCCACTGACGAATACCTCCCTTGAATTGTTGACCATGACCGTAAACTCCCATCCACATGACACATGTGTCCAACCCTCTCCAGATATCTTGGTAAATTTATTAATATGTGCCTGTTTGCTCGGGTGACCACACTGTCCTTGACTGTTATCTCCACAACTATATAAGTGTCCATTCTTAAAGAGAATTACTGTATGATTACCTCCACATGCAATTAAAACAGGTTCATCTGGAGCTTGTTTCGATACACCATTATTGGTCACAAAATTAGCAGTCTGCAAAATGTCATGATCTTCATCATCGTCCAAACCTAACTGATAATTGCCATTTGAACCACATGAATATATACTGTATACCATTAATTTAGAGAAGATGCTTGGCTAACATGTATCTCAATAACCCAGAGCACTATAAGAAAGAATCAGGATACAACTCAGTGCAGTTGTTCTTCTTTCTCTTTAAAAGCCCGTTTTCTTTTCCTTTTATTGCTTAGTTGATACGTCGCAGATTTTTATACCCATGCTATGCTACATAAAAGGGAGCTACCGAATACTAATTTTTCAACTTAAATACTGTAATGAACTTTCCTTAGTATTACCCAAAGGTCATTTTAAACATCTGTATTCATTAATCTTCTATTTCACAAGGATCCTTGCCTCTATTATTTACCTCAACTGGTGTGTAATGGGCCCCTACTTCTTTTCTTTGCCTTGTAAAATACAGATTCAATACATATATGAGCTTCAGTATCCAAAACGGACAGAACAAAACTGAAATTAATAAGTCATTGAAAAGCTTCAGAATCCAGAGAGACTCCATTAAGCTACAATTTTTGCAACTTCTAATATTCAATCTAGCACAGCAAATTTGCCCAAAAAAAGAGGAAAAAATAGAGTGTTGCGTTCTTTGTCACCTTGGACTCTTTAGCAGCTATATATGGAGATCCATTTCTGGTTTTGTCGTTTTTTTTTGATGTTGTATCACAATTGTGGACGCGTTAAAATTTCGCATCTACAGAGCAGAAATTTTCTTAATAAATCGTTATCGTCGATAAAACTAAGATCACTATATCAAACATATACTACGTCGGAGTTTGACGATGAGTTGGTATCAAAATGGATCAAATTCTTCAAAGATTCAGATAGAAGATACTCCTCGCAAAGAAACTGCTTTTATCGAAGTTCCAAGCTCATCTCCGATCAATGTTCAATCATCACCAAGTGAAAACAATAAAGCGTTTTCAGTTCCTAGCAGAGCTCAAATGAACCAACAAGCGGAGGATAAGAAGAGAGAACTAGAAAGAAAAAGACAAGCAATCAGAGATCATAAGGATTTTAATGTTGTCAGAAAGCGCTTCTTTTATCTTGATGAGAGCGATATCTTTAAAGGATTTGTTAAAGGTAAGGGTAATTTGAGAGACATCACAAGATGGCTTAGCGAAAATTACAACAGAGAAGCGATATTGTACAAAATGGAAGCTCAAAGAAAGATGGAACTGGACAGGATTGAATTAGAGAGACAGAAGCAAGAAAGCCAGAGACTCGAAAGAGAGTTTCAACAAAAGCAAGAGCAGCTCTTGCAGAATAGAAATGAAAATAATCATCAGCAATATGCTACAAACAATAACCATAATGAATATTATGATGAGGATGCTTCCCCGATAAAGGTGAGGACCAAGGCTACTGCTAGAAAGGTTGTTTCTCCAGATCCATCACCAGAGAGAAAATCAACCAAAGTTGAAATTAACAAATCAAAGCAATCAATCCTCGATAAATATAAGTATAAGCCAAAGATGCAGCTGAGATTGGATCCGGTGCTTAGTGAGTCTGAAATTCGAAAGAAGCGAAAACTTGTGCGTGCTTCGAACTTAGCTGATAACAGCGGAAGTGCCTTTCCACATGCATCAGCTTTAGCAGAAAACTTCAGTTTTCAAGATGGTCTAAATAAAATGTCAATTAATAAGAAGCCACAAAAGAAAGAGTCGTCAATAGTTGATGATGATGATTTAGAAAGATTAGAAGAGAAAATAAGACAGAATAGAAGAGCAGCAAAGGCAAACAAAGGCAAGACCGTTGTGAATGTCAGCGACGAAGACCTTGAAGAGGATGTTATGAGTGACGATCTTTCGGAGGAAGAAGAGGAAACCTTCGGATCTGGCCTCACTTCAATTGATTCTCAAATAATAGAATTCTTGAATAATGCTTCATCTCAAGATCTAATTGAGATCAGTAATGTTCCACCCAAATTTGTTGATTCAATAATTAAAAAGAGGCCTTTTAGCACCATTTATGAGATTTCTGAAAGCACTTTCGAAGATGAGAAAAATAATGGCGACTCCAATAAGAAGAAAAAAGGTGGTCAAAGGAAAACTCTAGGTATGAAAATTATCGAGAATACGGAAAATAGCTTGAAAGGATATAAAGCCGTTGAATCCTTGATTAATAAGTGTGCAGATTACGGCTCTATCATTTCAAAGCAAATGGAAAGCTGGGGCGTCAGTCCTACAGGCGAAGGAGAGCTAGAAGTCGTAGAGCTTGATCCAACTGAAATGGAATGCGAGGAGAAAAAGCTGGCTGAAGAAGAAGAAGAAGACGACGACGTCGTAGTTGTTTCAAAACGAAAGGGACTTAGATACATAAGAAATGCGCCAAAACTTCTATCTGACGACGTTGAATTGAAAAATTATCAATTGGTCGGCGTCAACTGGCTAAATTTATTGTACCAAAATAAATTGTCATGCATCTTAGCCGATGAGATGGGTTTAGGAAAAACTTGTCAAATTATCGCTTTCATGGCGTATTTAAAAGAAGCTCAGCCGAAGAATGGTCCCCACTTGGTAATTGTTCCCGCTTCCACAATTGAAAATTGGTTAAGAGAGTTCAACAAATTTTGCCCTGATTTGATTGTCCAAGCATATTACGGCTCTCAGCCTGAAAGAGAAGAGCTTCGTTACGAACTTGAAGATCTGGAATTTGACGTATTGGTTACTACATATAATTTGGCAACAGGCGCTTCTCAGGATTTCAAATTCTTGAGAAATCAGAATTTCAACATGATTGTATATGATGAAGGTCATATGCTTAAAAACTCCACTTCTGAAAGATACAACAAGCTTATGAGGTTAAAAGCAAAATTTAGGTTACTTTTAACGGGAACACCTTTACAGAACAATTTGAAGGAGCTTGTCTCATTGTTAGCATTTATGCTTCCTAATTTATTCAACGACAAACGTGAAGACTTGCAAGGACTCTTCAACCAAAAGGTGTCTACTGTTAATGAAGAAGACGAAAAATTTAATCCGTTATTATCTTTGCAAGCTATCACCAAGGCGAAGACAATGATGACGCCTTTCGTCTTGAGACGTAAAAAGTTACAGGTTTTGAAGCACTTGCCTCAAAAATTCCACGAAATTCACCGATCCAAATTGACTCCGTTGCAGCAAAGTATCTACGATGATAATTTAAATCAGGGAAAAAGAACAAGAGTAGAGAGGGAAAGAAGAAAAAAGTTAGTTGGAAAGGAAGCCGAAAAGGCAAGAAAAGTTCACATTCCAACTACATCAAACGTTATGATGGCGTTGAGAAAGGCGGCCTTACATCCCTTATTATTCAGAACAAAATACGAAGAAAAGACATTGGAGAAAATGGCCACAGCGATAATGAACGAACCTGAGTACGTCGAGGCCAACAGAACCTACATATTAGAAGATATGAGAGTTATGTCAGATTATGAATTACATAACTTAAGTCAAAAATTCCCAAAAACCATGTCAAAGTATTTGCTTAAGGATGAAGACTTTTTGAATAGTGGAAAGGTTAAACAATTAGTAGAATTGGTACTGCAAATCATAGATAAGAAAGAAAAAGTATTAATTTTCTCACTTTTTACACAGGCTCTAGATATCTTGGAAAGAGTCTTATCAATATCCAATATAAAGTTCCTTAGGCTTGACGGACTGACCTCTGTTGATACAAGGCAGGATCTTATTGATAAGTTCTACGATGATTCGACGATTCCGGTATTCCTTCTTTCCACCAAAGCTGGTGGCTTTGGTATTAACCTCGTTGCAGCAAGCAATGTTATAATATTCGACCAGTCATTTAATCCCCATGATGATAAGCAGGCAGAGGATAGAGCTCATCGTGTTGGCCAGACAAAGGAAGTTATGGTGCACAAGCTCATCGCAGAGAACACTATCGAAGAAAATATGCTTCAACTTGCAGAGAATAAGTTACAATTAGATCACTCTATAAGCGGAAATGATTTGAGCGACTCTAAGTTAGAGGAAAAGGCTACTTCTTTGTTTGAAAAGATTTTATTTGCTGATAGTTAGCGTCGAGCGGATATTTATATAGATTAAATAGATAAAGTCCGAATTTTCTACCATATATCGGAAGTCGATTTAACCCGATAGTTTTTTATATACTTTCTTTTTAGAAGAGCACAAGTTTTAAACAAAACAAACGAATATGTACTTATTAAGAAGCTCAGCATCGAGGTGCCTAAAGAGGACTTCTTTAAAGAGCCGATTTGTGGAGTTGAGCAGGCGAAATTTGTTCATCCAGACCGCTGAGACTCCTAATGAGCAAGCACTAAAATTCTTGCCATCAATGCAGATCCTAGGAGAGAACGAGACCAAAGAGTTTTTGAGTGGTAGAGAGGCAGCTTGTAGTCCCCTAGCACTAAAGCTATTTTCCATAGATGGTGTCAAATCGATTATGCTTGGATCAAATTTTATTACAATAGAAAAGAGCAATAGTGACCTTAGTTGGGCTCTTTTAAAACCAGAGATTTTCTCTATACTTACAGAGTGCTTGAATTCTGGAATCCCCGTGTTGACAAATAGAGATGAGTTGACAGATGATATGGAAATTAACGAAGATGATGACGAAGTAGTTGCTATGATCAAAGAACTCATATTTACCAGAATAAGGCCAGCTATTCAAGATGATGGAGGGGACATCGAATTTGTTGACTTCAAGGAAGACGGTGGTATTGTATTTTTGAGACTAAAGGGAGCTTGTAGGTCTTGTGATTCAAGTTCAGTCACCTTGAAAAACGGAATTGAAAGCATGTTGAAACATTATATTGAAGAAGTACAGGCCGTTGAGCCTGTAGATGACAGCGAGGAAGAGGAAGCGAGAGTCACTAGTGCTTCCATTTCACCCAACGTGAAAAGGGATCCTCCAGTATTGTAAATAGGTTGATTAGAAGAAGGAATGTTAAGTTTTTTGTTTACTGTAACTGTGGGCCGCTGCCCTTATGGTATTATCGTAACTCGAATAATAACTTGAATAAATTAGGCGAAAAACATCGATATAATTTACATTTAAAAGTTGACAAAAAAAAATTAGTTTGATAGTATTTTCATTATATACATTAACGATCGTTTTTTTGGCGATAATTATCCTCTTCTCCCCTGTTGTCAATACAGTTATTAGGATAATAATAGGGGTTATAATAACTAACATAGTCAACAGGCATTGGAACTGAATACATAGGCGTAGGAATGGACGGCACAAATGGTGGTGCATAGTAATAGAATTGACCCATGTCAACAGATCTGCTAGTGTGAGCTTTTGTGTGCATGGACTTCTGTATTGCAAACGAAGACTCGATTTTTAAAGATTGATTATTGAAGCAAATTTGCTTGTTGTTAGTCAATAAGATGGCCCTTACCGCCATTCTAAATTTTTTGAAAAAGATGAAGCCAATCTTACCAAAATTGGTCGTCGAGGTCTTTGAGTAGAAATCTGGCTTGATGATCTTTGCAGAGTTAATTTTTCCAAATTGCGACCAAAAAGACTCCCATAAATCATCATCGTTTCTGAATAAGACACACAAGTTATTCACATATAAGTTTGTCTCTTGATAGTTTATGTATTTCAAAAATCTCGCCAAAATCAAATTGTAATATGGTAAGTTAAGATAACCCAAAGAAATGCTCGGCGCCAACGTTATGCACATCTGGTTTGTGCTAGATTTATACAAGTAGTGGTTGAACTTATGTTGATTGATGGAAATTCTAATTGTGTTCTCATCAAACACATCATCATCCCGGTCATCTTCAGCTTTGTTAGGGTAGTATTCGAAAGACATATTTTTCTCATCAAAGTCCATGAATTGTTCAAACGTTATGTTTGATAAACAGTAAAGACATTTCAAAACTTGATTATTCAAATTATCGCCATGAACAAAATTGATATAACCAAAAGGTTCAAATTTGATATTGTCTTCATCTGATCTCATCTTTACGGGAAAATATATGAGATCAATATCATTGAAGGAAGACAACTTTTCCAAAAACCTTTCAAATACCTCTATCGTTATTTTATGAGAACCGAAGAACTTGTCCAAATTCTCAAGGACAATTGAATCGTATACATTGTTATTATTACCCTCATGCATATCCATGGGATCACCCCCAAGTGACTGAGGAGGCAGATGCTCATCATTAGAGCTCCACAAGGTCCTTTCCTTCCTATTTATGTACTTGTTGAGGTACAATGGAGTGTAAGGATTAGTATTGAACGGATTTGGCACGGGCTTCAAGCTGCGAATCAAATAGTCACAATCCATGTGAATATCAAATTTTAAAATAGCAAAGGACTCATCGCCCTTGCTCTTAAGAATATTTATTTCATTCAACGACTTGTATTTAGAAGCCCCATTAAAATACTCGAAAAGTTTATCGTGGTTGATTAAGTCACTGGTAAGATATTTAACAAAAAGGTTCCCCGGATGTGAAATAAAATTAGAATAATCTGCATTAAAAGGAATCTTTTCTTCTATGAGTCGAGTGAGTAGTTTCTCGCTGGCCTGCCTGTTGGTACAGTTCACTCGAATATTGGCCTTGTACCGCGTACTTATCAGCCAAGATTCCTCCTCTTTAAGGGTTTCAATGACATTCGTATCAGTGGATTTCACAATAATCACTAATGGAAAGTAGTCTATCGACACGTTGTCAAAGATACACTCATTTAAATTGGTAATCAAGCTGGATGGCAGCGTATATTTCTGCTCATTTCTTTCTTGAAGCCTTTCATTCATATCTATATTTCAAGCGGCGCCAGACACTATTGACACGCAACACAATTCACACAATTGAAATAAATAAACAAACTGGATTATTCGACTAAATATCTATTAGCAGAAATTTCTTGTAAGTTGCAAGAAAGGAAACTAAACTCCTGTGCATTGAAGAGGGGAGTCTCGGGTTCCATCGGACACAAGCATCTCTCTATATATAAACGGCAAATGTATCACCTACGTATATCATACGCACAACCTACACATAAACTTCCCTAGTTCGGTACATCGCCGAAAACAACAATAGGAGCATATGCAATTGGAAAACACTAGAAAGTACTTCTGCATAAAAGTGTCAGGGATTCAAGGCAAAATTCGGGATCATTCTCTAGACTTCGATATGAGACTTTAACTTTTTTTTTTGTTGTTCGAATTCTTAAGACTTCCACAAGTAGAACTGTTATGAAGTGTATCAATGAAACCGTGACCATAGGGCACGGAAACGAATATGAGGTACTGATGACTATCTCAAATAGGCCATGGACTATTTATGTCAATCGTTCAGGGAATAAAACCATGGGTAGCTACGTGTTCAGTATAAACGATCCATCGGGAGATGGTGTTTTTTCTACAACGTTGTATAGTGGAGGTGACGAAGACATGGTAAGGTCTATTTGCCAAATCTTGGTGAAGAAGTTTAAACATCCCGTCTACTTGAATATTAGCGGATCCGTAAATAGTACAGAGAATCTCGATTTTATCAGGACGTTGAGTAATATGATACGAAGTATATAAAACGAATTAATGCATGATCATATATGGTTGTGGTACGTAATTTGTATGTTCTTATCTCATCCATGTATGATGATAATAGAGATAATCAAGGCTTTAAAGTGATTAGATTGTTTAATGCATGAGAAGCAGTAAGTGTGACGATAGGAGAAAATCTGGAACTACAAGAACGGGATTTAAAATCGTATTACCGCTATGAATGTTTGAATAAGGGTCCCCGCGACTTAATGTTGTTAGAAGGTTCTGGAATTGTAAGGCGGCTTAACGGAAGTGGCCAGAACCATATAATCTTCTTAAGGCATATTAGCAAGTGAGCGTCCTGGCGACTACTTTGATGCTGTTCATCAGAGGCGAGCCAAGGCTGGCTTAGGTCTGGGCCAGTGCGCGCCTTTCCCAATATGCTAATGTAGCGTCAATTGAAAGTGCAATTGTCGAATTAGAGGGATAATAGAACGTTTATGACAGGACGTGCATGCAGGTACAGGTCAGAATACCAATTACAGAACTAAATGCACTCCTGAGGAAATAATAGTTACACCAGTTTTGAATTGCGCGCAAAACAAGTTCTAAGTACATATCACGTGATCATAAAATGAAGTTTTTTATACGAGAATAAGGACCATAGCCGTAAAGATCGACACTGTAACATTATGGACTTTTTCACTTACGTGAATAGGAGGAAAGAGGAGAATTTTACCTTCCAAATGGCAATGGTTTATTATTTTCAAGGGATGGAAGGTTTAGAATAATTATAGTCTTCTCATCTTTCAGCAATGTTCAGTACCTCGAAAGATCTTGCTGTAGAAATATGCATGGTTTAAATACTTCATATTGTTCATATTGTTACAATAAGGTTTATTTTTTTTTTTTTGGGTGAAGGAGAAGAGGATACAATAAACCGTAGATCTATCAATGTACTATTTGGTGGAGTATAACAACTTACGTATAAAGTAGTGGGCAATTACAGCAACAGACTTTGGAATAAGTTTGATATTTTGATAAGTTGAAGGAAACAAATGTTGTAGTTTTGTTTAGAATCATATACCACTTCTAGTACGACACGTATGCCCTGGAGAATTTATGTTATGAAACTGAAAGTGACACTCTCTGCATACGCTTAAATTAATTAATGCTTATATTTAGCCGTAGCAATGGATGTTTACCTCTAAAGCAAGCCAATTCTTTGGTGTTCAAGTTCTTTGTTGCAACAAAATGATTTTTTTTTTTGTATCATTACAAGTCACTTTCAAAGAGAGATTATATTAGAGCCAACTATAAATTGTCTAGTTTTGAAATAAAGGTTCTCATCATAGTAACAAAAGTTCTTTTTAAGATTACTATCAACTAAGAACAGTAGAAACCTACCCATGTTAATATAATTAAGCTAACGCACAGTATATGCAGACTAAAAGGACGGTCGTGTTCATACAAATATATTTCTCAAAGTGCTCACACGTGATAAGAATACGATAGTATTTTTTTAGCGATGAGATATGATTAGAAGAGAAAAAAGTGCCTGTTAAGATCAAGCAAACGAGATATTAAATAGCTATGGAAGTGGACAGGCCGAAAACAGCACAAAGTTCACGAAAAGGGAAGAGGGCATGGCGTAAGAATGTTGACATTGAAGATGTGGAGGTTGGATTATACGATTCTAGGGAAAGGAAGAGGCTTCTTGGGGACGAGGAGGACTTCGTTGTTGATGCAAGCGGTGATGACAGTCTAAGAAGGGAAGCTAAAGTTCTGAAAGCAAGGGATATTCTCACCAATAAGTCAAAGACGAAGCCGTTGCTTGTGGAAAGAAACAATAGAAAAGTACAGGGAGTTAAGATGAGTGAAGTCCATCGTTTGATGAAACTTTCCGGTAGGGTGCAAGGAGAAACTACAACAGGGGCGAGGATTGAAAAGGATGGTATTATTCGAGCAATATCAGGAGATATTTGGGGCGAAGATCTGGAAACACCATCTAATGAACCCGAGATTTTGAAAAAATTCAGTACTAAAGGAATCACTAAGGCCAAGCGTGCTCCTTCGACCATTCAAGAGAAACCTATCAAGATTGACGAGATAGTTAAACTTATAGATGCCGGAAAATCATACAATCCGTCTTTAAAGGCATGGAAGAAGCTTATTAATAAAGAATTCAAGTCTGAGAGTGCTCGAGAAGAGAAAAGACAAGAATTGGAAGAATTTCAAAGCAAAATAAGACTAGCCATGTCAATGCTTGAAGAGGATTCAGATGAATCATCTGCAGGTGAAGAAAGTGAAGAAGTCGAAGAAAATATCGAAACTGATGATTTACTGCTATCAGTCAATAAACCAACAGTAAGGCGTAAGAAGACCAAGGCAATCAGGAATAAGGAATTAAGGTATAAGCAAAGGTTAGAATTAGAGAATCAATATAAAGAACTTAAGATGCAAATTCATGAGCTTTCAAAATTAGACGAAATAGATAAGCAGATTTCCGGGGAAAAGATACATGGCAATCCAAAGAGAAAAAGCAAAAAACAAAGAAAATTATTTAAATACGATCTAGTTCAAGCTCCTCTCGATGTTCAACTTTCTGACGAATTAACCAACAATTTAAGAAGTGTCAAGACGGAGGGTAACTTATTTTATGATCAAATGAAGAATCTTCAGACATCAGGTATGATAGAGGCAAGAGTTCCAGTATCAAAGAAGCGCAAATATTCTCCAAAGGTCACAGAGAAATGGACATACAAGGATTTCAAGTGACGATCCTACATTATGGTATCTACTTTGCAAAATTTTTGCCTTTATTTCATTCTTTATTGTAGCATAAATTTATCATATGTTGAATGCAAAATATACAGTAATACTATTAAGAGAAATCCCAATTACCAGTAACGTAACCTCTGTATAATCTTTCTCTGAATGAGAAGTATTGGTCTCTGTACGGTGTCCAGTATCTTTGTAATTTAACTTCTGCTGTCTTGAAGTGATCTGGCGCTATAGGCTCCGACGACTGTCCTCTTTTAGTTCCCGTCAACAAGAAATCTCTTTGCATCATCTTTTCATCCCACAGATCCAAGTTGTATCTATCTTTCTTCCAACCATTATCCCAGTATCTAATATAGCCAACGCCATGGCCCGCCAAACCATAAAACGCTGTCATTATGGCATATGGAATCAATCCTTCGAATGGCAACGGCATATTGTTCTATTCTCTTCTCTATGAATACTTCTTAAAGACCTTGATTAACTACCGTAAAGTTTTATACTTCGTATTTCATTGGTTCAAAATTAAAATTCGAGATGTGTGTTTGTGTAACATTCAAATCACGTGCATATTTCTATGATATAATATCAACAAAATGAATCAACTATACATTGAAAGATTAAGAGTTTTCGCCTCAAAATTGTCATATTTATATTGGTATCAGTCTATTTATTAATCTAGCTACTCAGACCAGACTTTTCTAACAAATTTATCCATTCTGAGGTTGATTTTCAGCTGGGATACCACCCATGGATGATTTAGCATCTGCCTTGGACTAGGACGTTCTTCACTGTTCTTCTTCAAGCAATAGGATATAAAGTTTTTGAATGGCTCGCTCCAGATAATCCCCTGCTCTGGCTCGTCATTAAGAATTGGCTCATATTCTAGGATTAATGATAATAGTTCAATTGGTCCTAAAATCATATCACTCTCAGATGAGAATGGGAACTTACAAGTAGCCACTTCTAAGAGAGTCAATCCCAACGACCATATGTCAGAGCTTACAGTATAGGGCTTGCCCATAATTCTTTCCGGTGCCATGTAATATTGCGTACCAACAAACGTAGTTGCTAACGAATTCACTACCTCACCACTTACACCAAAATCACACAATTTAATATTACCGTCTGAATCAAGCAAAATATTAGATGGCTTTATATCTCGATGAATAATTTTCTGTTGATGTAAATAATTTAAACCTTTTAAAACCGACACCGCTACCTTACCCAAGACCTTTTCGTTAATTCTGTTCGTAGGATCAATTTCAATTATCCTTTTGTATATTGCATCCAACGACCGTCCACCCATATATTCCATTGCAATCCCTATCATCAGCTGCTCTTCAATCATAAATGTGCCATAGTATTTCACAATGTTCGGCGAGTGACATGACCTATTATATTGTAACTCTCGCAATATCTGTTTATGGATATCAGGATTCGGATCAACACTTATTAATTTTAATGCAAATACTTTAGAGCCCTTTTCTAACTTGCATTTAGAAACGCTGCCGCCATTACCTTCACCAAGTTTACTTATCTCTATTATTTTCTTATTCTTGGCCAATTCATTCCACTCATTTGCACATAGTTCTTCTAAGTCTTTGTCCTCTATAGATTCTAGATCTGAATGATGAAAAGGCAGAGTATTCACATGCATTTTTTCGTTCATACCCTCAATTATTTCACTAACAGGACTCTTGCAGTCCACCAACAGAAAATCAATTGGTGGTGGCTTACGTTTGGGTCCACTGCTGTTAGAGCCCACTTTTGGAGATGGTGAATTAGATGAGAGATTTGACTCTGGAGTCGGTATCTTGAGCTTGGGTAGCTTGGGATTCCCTCTTTTACTATTCGGTATATTAAAAAGCTGACCCAGATTCGACATCTTTTCAAGTTTTTTCACCTTAACTTTTTACCTTTTCAGCGTTATATTAATCGCTTTTTTATCTTCAATTATCGCCTATCGTAATGGTAAGATTTCGCTTGAAAGCTTTTATAGTTCTTAATAAACGATGTTTTCAATCAATCTGTCTCGATTCCAAACGATACAATATTCTTTTAAATCAATTTCAAAACTTAAAACAACAATAATATTATAAACCTGCTCGTCCAGACGAATTGGTGTATATTAGTGTACTGTTCTCTTATATAACACGAAAAACTTTTACTTGAATCAAATGATGGTGTGATAACTACGATTTTCACTTCTTTTGTTCTTTCAAATTTTCTCAGCCTTACGATCGCACATTTACAGAAAAGGAAGGTTACAGTGAAATTTTACATTTTAATGAAATTTCAAATTATAAGATCTATTACAAGAAAAGTATACAAAAATCACTTCAGTGCTTTAGCTTTCTTTTTCGGCACCTTTTTGGGCTTCACCTCTTTGATTAGTTTATCTTTCTTAGTATCAATCTTGTCAGAATCCTGATCAATTTCATCATCGTCATCCCTCAACGTATCATCTTCAATAACATCGTCAAAATCAACTTTTTGCTTCTTCGAGGTACCTGAGCCCACAGTGCTTCCAGCTCTGTAGATAGCTACAGGATGAGTGGCGGCATTATATTTTCTAGTGAAGGCAGTCTTGATCTTTGCCGGAACTTTCTTAAGAGTGGTTTCACTCTTTAAGGGACCGATTCCGAAATCAATGATATTATCAAAATCTTCTTTAGTGAGATAATAATCATCCATTAAACGAATGACTTCATCAATGCCTTTTTCATGGTCATGAATCAAATACTGAGACAACTTTACAATTAACAAAGGAATGTATCCCATTCGTAACTCTGGTTTATCCGACGATGTTCTAAGCCTCATATGATACTGCAACTCTTGCAAATAACGCTCGTATTTGAGAGCTTTTGAATTTTGACCCAACCAACTAGCGAAGTTAATTCTTTGCGTAACTGTTCCCGCAACTTCGGATGAAGGCTTGACTGATGACATTACAGCATGGAATGGTAGTAGACTCCATTGTTGCTCACTAGACCTAATCAATGAATTTATTTGATCCGATTGAGAAATATCATCTGCAGCATTTGCAACACGTTTTAAATGATCCAAAGGAGAATTGCAGTTAACAGGTCGCGTGGCTATATAATTCTCTTGAATCATTAATGGTGTGAAATCAATATCATTGAAGTACAAATCAATCTTGTCATTTAATGAATGATGAGCGTTCGCATTATATAACTGTCCATTAAGTAAACGCGCCGTGATATCAAATGGTTTCAAAACAGTTTGCTTATTCCAACTTTTAGTTATATCTTTCGCTTGAGCATGTCCTATCGTCTTCTGAGTCATCGAAACGGTAGACAACAAGTTTATCATTTGTCTGATGTCGTTATGAGTTGCTTGTATCAACTGACTAATTACAGTAGGATCCAATTTGATCTTCTCTCTTAATGCTATTGTCATTAAGCGTGACTTCACTTCATTTTCCGATGGCCGTCTAAATGGCAAATCGAACGTATTTCTATCAAAGGTTCTCATTTTAGGTAACGATTTATCATTACATATCAAAATCATTGGCATATGTGTTATTTTACAAAATGATGATAATGCACCAGCTCCTCCATGATCACCACTTGACATACCGTCTACTTCGTCCATAATGAGACAAAATTTCTTGTCATTTTCATGACCATGATGCTCATCACCTCTGTGTTTGAAAAAGCCAACAACAGATGTATTGTTCAATACTGATTTGATATCTCTATTAAGCAAAGATTTTGATCTAACATCAGAAGCGTTTTTTTCCAACACATCAAACCCTAGATTCCGAGCCACAAGGTGTGCAGCACTTGTTTTACCAATACCTGGTGGCCCGCTGATTAAGCATGCTCTATATATGCCTGAGCCATCTGGACCAGGGTTTTTGAATCCTTGTTTTGCGTTATCGAACCAATTTTCAAGCCACCTTTGAAGCTTTTGAACCTGACCTTTATTTCCACATAACTGCGTTATACTATTTGGTGCATACCTCACTGTCCACAACTTCTCATCATTAGGAATAACTCGTTCTTTCTGCAGCGAACCAGGAGAGCTATTACTTGATTTACTTTCGTTAGCCTTTTGTTTTTTCAACTCCTCTTCTTTCTCTTTCTTTGCTTCAGCCTTTGCGTCTTCCATTATTTTTCTTTCCTCTTCTTCTCTTTTTGTTTTAGCCTTAAGAGCAGCTTCACCGTCGCCACCTTCAGATGGCATTCTTCTTAACAACTCGAGAAATCCGTCTTCATTGACAGCTTTTACTTTGAGAGATTGGATCTTTTTTACCTTTGAAGGTCCCGCGTCTTCCCCGATTACTACTAAAGAAGTTTTTCCAGAAATCGATTTAGTCACTTTCGCCCCATATTTTTTAGCCACATTCTCTGAAGTATCCCTATCCATATTGGGAAGAACCCCAGTAAAGACAATTGTTAATCCTGATAAACAATTAGGGGCAGCTTCTGGAATTTCAACATCATTATTCGTAGGTTGCGGGGCCTGAGCCTTCGATTGGAAGTAATTAAACTTCCCTTCCGTTTCACCTACTTCTGGCAAATCGGCATCAGGAATATCTGCCAAAATTTCATCCGCTGAGGCTCCTTTTACCTGCGATTGAGTTTTCTTGTCTTTTGAAGCCATTGTCGGGGATGGCTCCTTTGGACCTTTCCTATGAGCACTCGAAGCTTTCTCTGAAACTTTTCTCTTTTTAACTGCAGAATTAGAGTGATTGTCCGCTGTATCAACGTCTATCGGCTCGTCATGATTGTTACTTTCAGAATCTGAATCAAGATCAACATACTCAACCTTCCCTCTCTTAGTCTTTGTAGGTGAGCTCTTAGTACTTACCAGACTACCAGTATCCCTTTTTGCTCTTTTAGAGGGGTTTTCTGCTTCGGAATCATCGACATCTTGGTGTTTCTGTTTGGATCCAACTGCCCTCTTTGTCGTGCTAGTTTTTGCCTTAATAAAGTTAGCGAGTCTTATCTCAATCGGAATTTTAAAGTTAACTTACAGTCGACTTCTTTGAGGAGTTTGGATCACCAAAGAATTGTCTTATATCAACCATCTTTGGATAATCTATTTATTAAAGTTTGTTTTGGATTATCACCATCACTCAATTATTATTAGATCGTGGTTTTGAGTCGCGCTATAATTTTCAGCTTGAGAAATGAACTAAACTGGGACGAACTTACATCGTGGGAATATTTATTAACTATAGTAGTATGAATTCAGCAGATGTCAAAAGTAGAGACCTATTCAGCTTGTTTTATTCAGCACTTGTCTTTAAGTTTTGATAACAAGTGCCAGTTCACTTTCCACTGGATTCCTTTTCCAAAAAGTCTGTCCATAAAGATACAAAACTCTGTCTTGAAGGTTGGCCTCCTTCAGAAACGTTTTTAGATTGACGGGAGTTAGAAAGACCAGCCATTATCTGCTTCGATTCATCCCATTCTAGTAATGCGCTTATGAGTTGTAGTGCCTCGAATTTCTTGGAATCGCCTCGAGGCAACTGTAAAAAGTTGATAAGGACATTGGAGATGAGCTCCCTATCTATAGTATTGTTGGAGCTTGACAGCTGTTGTTTCATCATAGATAATGCTTTGGTTAAGTGCTCGTTTAAGATAATAGCCTCATGCCTAAGTTTACCAATTAGCAATTGTTTGTTATTCAACTCAGTTTTCAATTCTACAATTTGGCCAACTTCAGATTCCAAGGATTTTATTCGGGACATTTTTTCATCCAATGAGGTGTTCAAAGTCTTGTTCTCATATGCTAAATGTTCAGTTTTTCTGTTCAATTCCAATGACTGAGAATCCATGTTGGCTTTTAAATCAGAGATTTGTGAATCTTTCTTTGCAATCGTATCTTGCAATAATTTAACAGTGGAATTCAAAGAATCCACTTCTTTCTCCTTTCCAGTTAAAGAATCAGTCATTTCGTCAATTTTCAGAGATAACGATTTTTGCTCCATAGTCAATTCGCTCTTCATTAGACCAAACTCGTTTATCTCATGTTTGAGTTCGTTGATCTTCTTGGATAGACTTGAGTTTGTATTTTCTAATGCATACTTCTCGTCTTGAAGAGTATCCTCTTTCTGTTGAAGTTCTCTTCTGACGACAGTTAAAGAATTACTTAATCTATCACATTCGCTATTCAAATCATAGCTTTCTTGCTCAAGCTTCTTCATCACAGATTGTAGCCTCTCATTTTCTTTAGTTGCCTCCTCTAACTTTCCTTCAAGATCAGACTTTTCTTGTGTTAAGCGCGTCAACTCTTCCTTTGTATTCTCCAAGTCGACTTGTGATTCTTTCATTTTTGCAAATACTGACTTCATAGACGATAGCCTACTTAATAAAGAGTCATATGATGACTTAGTATTGTCCCTTTCTTCTCTGACTGCTTCTAATTGTTGTTTCAAGTTCTTGAGTTCATCTTGTGCGCTGTCACCGTTCGCCATGCCGTTTGATTCAGATCCATTTTGACTCTTATGTATCAGCTTTTGTTCGCTTGCTACCTCTTCTTTGCTACGTTGTAACTCGATCTTTAACTTTGATATCTCAGATCTCAACTTTTTCTCTATCTCGTTCGATTCTGAAGAGTTGGCGTTATTCTCAGCCTCTGGGACAGGTAACTCAATTTCATCATTCAAAGTTTCTTGAACAAAACCCTCGGTATTATCGTCTTGGTTTGATATGGCTGTATCTATCAAGCTGTCATCCATGCTTATGAGAGCTCGAGAACTTCGTCTTAGTCGCTTTATTTATGGATGCCTTTCAGAACCATAAAAGAAGAACTAAGTATTGGAAATTGAGCCTGCACATACAGTTTTTTTTCCATTGAGCCCCTAAGGTGAACAAGATACGGGGACAAGAAATTCAAATTTGTACATATATTACTCTAAGAGCTAGAGAAGGTTCCAATGTAACGAGCTGGCGAAAACGACACTCAATACATTATAATGTGTTATTAAAAATGTTATATATGAACCAGAGATAACTTCATTCATAAACAGAGGTGGGCAACTGATTGACGCTTTAATAACATGTCAAAAACACCACCCTATCTTACTCTATCCTCTCTTTCATTTTTATTCAGTTATCTATTGAATTTAGATGTTAGATGGATAAAGCATGATTCTGACCGAAGCTCCAAAAGTTTTTGGAGGTAAGTTCTTCTTGAAGCTAGCTCTGACAACACCGTTGCTTCCATGGGTTCTGACGACCTTTCCCCAGATGACTCTGATTTTAGAACCTCTGACTTCCTTGGAAGCTCTGTAAACGTAAGCAATTCTTTTACCTAAGTAGAATTTAGCATCCTTGGGAGTACCAACGTTCTCAATCTGGATCAAAGAGACCTTTGGGTTGATTACGTTCTTTGAACGTTGATATGACAAGTGTTTACCCTTAACGTACACTATAATTTGTTAGTAAATTTTCCATATATGAAATATTGCAGGTCTAGAAATTTGAAAAGATCATCCACAAGGCAATAGGTTACTCATTCAAAAGACAAAATAGAAGGATTTACATATGCAATACCCATTATAGACGAGAAGAATCTTGTGATTTCCTACTCTGTAATATTTCTGACCCTGATACCAGTGCCTACTTTCCATTCCGCTTTCTTTGCTTCTTCCACTAAGCTTTTTCTCTAATCGAAGAGTTCTTTTATTAAGCGTTGTTATTCAGTAGGGAATCCAAAATCTCTTCTCATAGTCCCATAAGTTTGGCCAGCACTTGATAAAATATCAGTCTCCTTCCGATAAAGCCAAGCTAGAGCGAACGGGACATACTATGCTTCTAAATTATGGAACTTAAATCTCTTTACTCAGTGTCCACATGTGACTCCTTCATCTTTTGATTCTTTTTCTCATCTAATCAACCTTGATACGACTTCTTCTCAGTTATATCTCCGACCAATCCTTCTTCATTAAAGTACATACATCTGTGTGATTCAGCCATTGTTATTTAATCTGTTCAAGATAATTTCAACTATCTATCAAACAATCTAAAAAGTGAAAACTTTTCTAACTTAGAGTTTAGCAGTTGAAAATTCCTAGAGTGAGTAACCACGAAAAAATCAACGAAAAAAAAAACTGGTTTGTGTCATAATCTACTTCACTAAGGGTGTGGCGGATGGTATAGCATCGTGTATACTCAAAAATATTCACGTGCCTACATTACATAATAAGGGCTCGACGCCCTATTACTCACTATGAACATACATTTGTAAAGGATATGATCTAAAGAATCAAATTGTTATTTCACTTTCAGCCTTCCATTTATCAAAGTTGACCCTCCAGTGGTTGGCATCACCAGAGTCATATTTTGACTTCTTGACAGAGCCAGAGGGAGCATTGTGAATAGACAAACTTGCCAAGTTGGTAAGGTTTATAAAAGGGTCGTGAATGTCAGACAGCAGGTAATCCACTTCGTCGAACCAGCGATTTTCCCACTTGATACCGGCATCATCCTCTTTCTTTCTAAGTTCACGCTGCTCGTTTTCGATAAGCGACTTTTCCTGCGCAATCAAGTTGTAGTCAACCTTTTTAATAGCTTCTGCGACCTTTTGCCACGCTCTCCTAGATTCAATAGGGTGTTGCTTCTCAATTGGTTTAACTTGCAACTCACAATGCTGTGCTGAAGCATCATAGAATAGCTCATCTTCCTTAGAACTAGGTGATTTAGAGCCTGGAGCTATATAAGAACTTTTGGACCACTGACCACTGATACTAGCGATGGCATTTTCTTTGTGAGCAGAGTCTAACTTACTTTTATAAATCCTAGCCTTGAAAGAATTCTTCTTTCCCGAAAAGTATCCTCTCCCAGAGAAATCAACCACTGCAATGTATCCACTTGACGATTGGATATAAGATGTACCCTCTAATTCGACAAATGGTGATGCAGTTATTAGTCCTTCGATGTGAAGAGGAGGCAATGTTATCAAGTATGATTCATTCAAGCCTTTGTATTCTAATATGGCATGTCCATACTGCTTAACATTGATGAAAGCCGTTGACATAGTTGCTTTAATTCGATTATAGCCTTGCAATACTGTATCATTCTTCTCATTGTATATAGCATAAGCTGTAACAGGAGGATGATGGCTAACCTGTTCCGACAATAACACAGTTTCTCCCACCTTTCCATCACTTGAAGGATCATCCCACTTGCCTACAAATACCTCTCCTAAAAACGGATTCAAAGGCTTCTTCTCAGTTCCCATACTTTCACTTCTAGAACAATATTGAGACCTCAATGTTGATATAAACCATTTAGTTACGGCAATCATTCTTTTTGCTGCCATCGCATCCCTCTCTGAATTGTCGGCACCTTCGGACAGTGTAATCAAGCTAGGTTCAATCAACAATTGTGGATATTCTGCCCAATATTTTGAATATTCTGACAATGACGTAGGTGATAAAATAAACGGAGGTGCGGTTAATGTCGATAAGTCCCCATTAAAAGACGTGATAGACTTGAGAAACGCCGACCATGATCCAGATTGGCTTGCATTAGACATGTTTTCTGGTTCTCTAGCTGCTCTTTCCTACAGCTTGTTATTAAAATACCCGGGCTGAAGTGACACTAGAGAATAGCTAAAATGCCTTGATGGAATTCTTGACATATCCGAAATTGTATTGTGCACTCTTCTCAAAGTTGGCTGTGAAAAATAACATCATATAACAAGCAATAGAATACGTGTCTCCCGGGATAGAGATAGCTAGAGGCGATATCTATATCACTTAAACCTTCTGATACAATTCTCAGTCGTTTTACATACATTAATGTGTACTTATCTACTTTGGAGCTGTTATTACAGTATCCAGTTTGGTATGTTATAATTGTTTGAGCACTTATGTATATGCAACAGTGAGTTCTCTTACGGTTCAAATATATACTACAACTTAATATAGATATTATTCTTGTCTAAAATGACAGCCAAAGCAGAAAAAACAATAGAATAGCATGTCAAGACGCCAAATGCTGCAGTGTTACCACATTCTAATGTGTTTATAGTCATATTAACAAGGCCAGTGAGTAGATTTGAGACCAAAAATATCATGAGACCATTTTTATTGATGGCGTCCAATAACTGTGACGTTGCCTCACGAACAGAAACATGAGTTTCGATCATATCAAAGCCCAACAAAAAGATTGCGTTATAAGAAACAACCCAAATCACGTACTGAAAGTTTGCGAGCCTTCTCGAGACATTGCTAAACAAGGGAACATATCTTGCAAGCAAAAAAATACCTTGGTATAAAATACTTGTTGAAATTAATCCCCTTCTAGTATTTGTTCCGAATAACCCGTTCTTAATACCAGTTTCCACAGTATCGCTCGTCAAAGCAAAGGATCCAAAAGATTGACCAAATAAGAATATACTCAAGTATCCAAAAAATGAAAAAATTCCTTCCTTATTCATGGTAATAATATTCGCAAACCTATTATCAGTCTTCAAGATATACTCTAGTAAAGGTGTTTCATTTAAAGCTAGTTCATATCCTAACGCGATCGCAAATGCAACAATTTCTCGGGGAATTGTATTTAAAATTGGATCCAATATGCCAACGAATACAGGTAATAGACCGAGAGTGATGAAAAAATTCCAGTGCGTTCCATATTCAGTAACATGTTCCTGATAGTCCAATGATTTGACACTAGCTAGTCTTATTAGCCCAAGGACTAATACTGGAATAGCCTTTACTGTATTGTTCTTAATTAAACCCAAGTAATTAGACCACGTAAATTTGTATTTCGAGTACAGTAAACGTTTCAAGACAGACCTCGAATTAACTAATCCCATTGAAAATACAAAGGAGCCAACGCCAAGGTCCATCATCGAAGTACCCCAGGTTTCTACTTTGGCAAATCGCCTAGGAAATATGGGAAAGTCAACGGCTAGAATACACAAATTAGTGATTATGAGCATGTAAGATCTATATGCTGTAATGAAAGGCTTTTTCGGCAATTTTTGAGAGAAAGGGTCAGATCCGCTTCCCTTATCCTTGCTATGATTTGCCTTACGCTTTGCCAAACCGCGTGTCTTCAGAATCTTCTTTCCATTACCAATGAGCACGGCAACTAGTGCTGGCGTAATTACCATCAAATGCAACATTCCAATATGCCCACTATATGAAGTTATAGAGCAGCACAATGTTATGACATTAAGAAGAAAGTCTAGGGGGAATGAAAGCTCATTAGAGTTTTGATTGTTTATCAAGACATATGACAAGTATGACGTTAATGCAATTGATGTAGCTTGGTATATTTCTGTAATTGACCCCCCAGTCAACCCCGAAACAAACTGCTCTTTCTGCTCCTTCAACGCTGACATTGTTCTGACCCTCAAGCACTACTAATCGACCTCTTAAATAATATTTATATCTAACGAAGATAAAATAGTAATAATAGTACAAAAACCTCAATAGGTAATTTTTTCTTTATTCTATGTGAAATCTTCCAGTTCCCTTAGTTAGACAGTGAATTGAAAATTGAAAAGCAAGGCATATTTAGCTACATGACGGAGGCGAAAAAAGAGCTTTCGGAATCTCCACTAGCTCCACCTGTTAATAGTTTTGAAACCAATGAAGATGAATATGAAAGCAAAGAAAACGTTCACGACCTTGAACAATCACCTAGCATGCAAAGCGACTCTGGGACCAACGAACTGGAACTCTATTCCTGCCCACCACATACTCCAAAGTCACCAACTTTGTCCTCGTCAGACTCCATGATGGAAATAACGCCGTTCGGTTCAAATAGCAATGATACTGATGATTTTGTCATATACTCAGATTCTGATGGTGCGTCGCTGCACTCGTTGAGAGCTGAAAGAACAAATAGTTCTGCCGAGGGAGAATCTACAAAGTTAAAGAAAGATAGAAGGACACCTAGACGCTCGAGGTCGAGGTCGAGGTCTTCAGCGAGAGGAGACGACGACACACCCAGTCCGAAGCCTAAAAAGCGTATTAAGAGAAAGACGAAATCAGAGGCCGGTAGTGAGAGGTCACATAAGTCTTCAGCTAAGCATTCAGACCATTACATGGGTAGTGGGTATACTCTGGCACCTTCGACCGGTAAGATATTTCGTAATTTATTAATTTTAGAGGAAAGTTTACGTCTGCAAGTAATACAACAGAGGGCATTAAGAAGAAAATATTTGACTTTCTTAGCTGTCCTTTGCTCTCTAATTGCTTCGATTTCGCATCACTTATATTTCCTTGACGCGCTGCAACCTGCCAATGGGCCACTCCGAGTAATACTTCAATTTGTATTATTAGCATTATTAGTAACTTTGATGTTATACCATCTATCGGGTGAATACAAAAAGACAATTGTCTTACCAAGAAAGTTCTTATCATCTACTAATAAAGGATTACGGCAACTTAATATCAGATTAGTTAAGATAAAAACACCTGTGACAGATACAATAATTGATTTGATGAGAGAAATGGTTGTCTTTACATCTACTATGTGTTTAAATTGCCTACATAAAGTATATCCATCTACTCGTCATAATCGAGAATCAAGATTAGAAGTATTCCTTGTTTCATGCCAGCTGCAATGTCAACCTCGAACTGGTTTGACTGACGTTAAGCTCGTTTTGAATGCTAGAGTCTTCAACACAGATGTCAGAGAAGGTTGGGAACTTTACAGAAGCGAATTTTGGATTAACGAGGGCGTTAGACGAAGGAGTAATATGATGGTATTCTGTAAAGGCAACTACAGCGGTGAAAAGCTTGATCGATCTAAATTGTTGAAAAAAGATCGTCAGGAAAGAAAAGAAAGGAGGAAGTCTACAGTGACAAATTCCCCAAGGCTTAACCAGCAAAATTTAGAGAAACTAAATGGTAGTCTTGACAGTATAAATCCAACTCAATCTGGAATGGATGGATTGTGATGTCGTTATCAAAAGAATCCTAAATAACGTTATTCACTTCTCTTGTAAATTATTTATAAATAATTCAATAATTTTTATATCAGGAAACATTCATAGTATTATTAAAGCAGTCATAACTCATTGCCATATTCAATAACGTGGTCATATGATTTTGATTTCTTCGAAGTCTATGGAAATCTGTATTGGACTGCATATACTCGCGATATCAAAAGTTTATTTCATTACTAAGTGAAGTAGATTTTGTAATTAATTGTATTATTTAACCATAGATAATCATAGATACAATGTTGCAGTTGAATCCTGTAATACACCCGGATACTAATAATAAAAGGTTCAAGTTTGAACCATTTTTAAGACAAGAATATAATTTCGGGTTAGATCCTGATCGTCCAGTTTGCCAGTTCTATAATCCACAGAATCCCACAAACTCATGCCCCAATGGTAATAATTGTCCAAATAAACATGTCTCATCAATGTATTCTAATAAAATAGTGTGTAAGCACTGGTTGAGGGGCCTTTGTAAGAAAAATGACCACTGTGAGTTTTTGCATGAATACAATTTAAGAAAGATGCCAGAGTGCTTATTCTATTCCAAAAACGGTTTCTGTACTCAAACGCCAGAATGCTTATATTTGCATGTTGACCCTCAACTGAAGATACCCGAGTGCCAAAATTACGTGAAAGGGTTTTGTCCAGAGGGACCAAAATGTGCCAATAGACATGTACGCAAAATGCTATGTCCCTTATATTTAACTGGATTTTGTCCTCAGGGGTCAGAGTGTGACTTCTCACATCCGAAATTCGACGGAATATCTGACAGAATGAGAATAAAATCTGATGAAGAGCTAGAGGCTGCCTCAAAACAAAATATTACAGAAACAATTGATAAAATTGAGCCAAGAGCGATTGGTTATGAAAAATCTGCATAAATCTGATGTCTTTTACAGGGGGCCTGATTAATAAATAGTGTTATGTATTTTTAAATCTATAATGCAAAGTAAACTATAAATTGTAGCTTAAAGCGTGTGAAGGATTAACATCATTCTTGACACCATCCTAAATTCGGTGGCTCCTGATTTGTCTTCTTTCCTCAGGAGTCAAAACCCAGTTTATTCCAGAGTATTCGTTATCCTGGTCATTATCTTCTGTCGGAGGTGTATCATTTTGAGTACTCATATCATATTCATCGTCGTCCATTCCAACCAACAATACTATTTGAGTAACTCTGATAAATTTTTCACGCAACTCATAATTGTCTTCGCAGACTTCATTAATTAATTGAGACAAATCTTTTTCTAACTTTATTGACCCAAGCTCGTTAACTTTAAACTTCTTCAAGGCAAATCTCAACTTCTTCTCAATTAAATTAGCAATATTAACGACCAATAACCTCATCCATTTACTAAACAAAGCCTTGTGAAATGTTTGCTTGTATGGTCCAATTAATGCTCTCCAGGAGTTATGGAACCTTAAGACGGAACTTGAATCGTTAAGCATACTTGAAGAATACAATATGTAATTTGACTCGTTTGAATCAGGCAAAAACTCATTTATAAGGATAAGTAGCTTGTTTTTGAATGATTGATTGTATAAGTTAATCAAACTGTCGTTAGTAATTTTGTTAGTAATAGAAACGAATGGCGTCAAAAAATCATCCTTCAATATAGTATCTATTATTTCATTGTCTTTTCCAAATGGAAACACTGATTTCAAGTATCCTTGTCCGCTCTTTGTGACATTTCCAAATACTTTAGTGAAATATTCTTGACTCATTGCGACAGTGTTGATATATATCACAAAATTTGTAAGTTTTAGACTATTGACAGTGCCTCCAGTGTTATTAGCAGCTACTGATGTGGCACCACTGCCTACGACATTGCCGAATGCACTTGATGCTCCTTTCAAAAATCCCATTCCAGAGCTTGCCAACTCAGGTACCGGTGTCCCACTTCTTGAAGCACCTGGGCTCACTGAAGCGCTTAATACTCCATTAGATACCGGTGTCTGAACCCAACCTAATGTCTGATTATACCGGGGTTGGTTGTTATTTAAATTTTTAATTAAAAAACCATTTATGAGATCATTTTGTATCACGTCGAAAGTAAACCTAATAAACCGTTTCACAGTAGAAGGTATGGATGTATCAATTACGTTTCTCAATGTATTATTTAAAATTAAAGTTGTATCCTCTATAACAGACGAACAAGGAGCTTGGTCTGGTGAATTGATAGTGTTCGAATAGCTTAAATATGAATTTAGGGATGGAAGTTCCTCAATGGTAATGGACTTTTCAATAGACCGTCTAAAATAGAAACAATACATGGATTCAAAAGCTGGAAGATACTTTTCATGTATCTTTCTAGTGAAATTTGATTCAAGGATTAAGTTAGGTAGTTTAAGCTCACTACTATCCTCCTTATAGTATTGTAAAGTAATGAACTTTGAGTATAGAGACCAATGATGTAAGATTGATGCTAATTCATTTACCAAATCGCCGACTTCCACAAGAGATATATTATCTTCGACATCAATATATTGGTTATTTTCATCATTGTAGTCATTTTGCCTTCTAGATAGTATTGGGAAAGAATAGAGATCAATTTCCTGTAGTATTTTGTCAATCTTACGAACGTCGTAGAAAGTGTCGCTAATCAAGCCGATTTGGGAATCTACCTCATGTTGTATTCTGGTGACAACGTAGGCAATAGCATTCTCATAAGTCAATCCATAGTATTTCTTGATTAATGGACCATGTTGAGATAACATAATCGATATATTTTCAAAAAGTTCAATTGCAATTGTCGAATATAACCCTGGGTTTGATTGCGCTTCGCCTGTGATAGAGCTAATCAAATTCCTTGATGTTTCCCTAATAATTTCCCCAATAAATTCCGAATAACAATTAAGTCCTGCCTTCTCTTGATTAATCAAGGGGAATAATTGAAAATATTTGGTTATCTCAGGCACATTCCTCTCCTTCGAAGCTTCTCTGAATCTCTTCTGAAATTCAGAAGTAAGTTGAGAAATCCATTTATCGAGAGTGATACTAGGAAACTCCGGCAAGTCCGTGGAAGGAATGACTACAGATGCAAATCTCCCATTGATAAGGTCTTCTGAGAGATTGCTTTTGATGTTATGAATGCATTCAGCTGCGACTACCCAATCACTATGTTCGATTGCATAGTTCGCCTGATTAAGGTTATTTCTCAAAAGCTGAATGTCTTTGACAAACTGTAGAGTACTATCCACATTTCCTATCTCGCGGTCCAACGATTTGATCTTATAGGTAAGTGAATACCCTAGTCCATCTGCGGACGATAATAAAGATGAAAGGTCGTCTGAATGATTCACTGTGCTGGATAAACGTGCTCTTTTCAAATCTATGTTTGAGATCTCTTGATGATGTCTGTTCTTCTTTTTAATCATGAATTGGTTTAAAGCCTTGTCGACATTCTCTATTTCACCATTGATACGTTCGCTGAGATCATGTAAATCTTTTGTGCTTTGCGCCTGTCGAAAGGACTCTAACAACGACGATATTGTTGAATCCGAGGATTTGAGATCCAAAAGAGAAACTCTAGCAGATATATCTTCATTGTGCTTGGAGTCAAGCATTTTAAAGGACTACCAAGCGATTGGTGATGTGATCTATTCGATTTAATAGCCAAAAGAAATGTGTGGACGAGTTATGCTAGTCGAAGAAAAATGGTGTGCATATATCATATATATAATCAGATTACGATGAAGTAAATTAAACAACATATATATATGGCATTTCTCAAGCTAGAGCACCCATAGGGTCATAGAATGGCAAAGTCGTAAATTCTTTACCTTTGAAAACTTCATAGGCTACTTTTGATACGTATTTTTTCTCAGAAACAATTTGTAACACGTATTCATCAAACCATCTATCAGTCATGAGGAAGTAACCCTTTTTACCCACTTCATCACCCCATGAGTTTTCTATCTTCCATCTGATCGGAAGACCAGATTTTGGATCAAGGTGTACTCCCGTGATCACCATTGCATGAGTCATTTGAGAAGAGCCTGTCTTTAAACGATCAGCTTTAGCTATACCTAAGTCGGTTGAAAAACCCAATCTATAGTCAAAAGCATCTACGTCTAAAACACCCGTATCTCTAACGCTGAATTTACCCACATCAGAACCAAAGAAAACAGGTTCGTTATCTTTTAACATTTTGATAACTACGTCCTTAATTTCAGATATTTCAGTGTTCACATATTCGATAGGTCTTCCACCAAAGATGTTGTTCAAGCGGTCAACTGTATAAAGCTTATTGTACTCGTGCCTTGGATCATGAATCAAAGAGAAGCGTGTTGATACATCATATTTGGCATGCGTCTTATAAAAGTCTTTTGGAGTGGTCTCGAAATACTTGTAATTACCATCCTTATCTTTGAATTCCCATACGAATGGTTCATCAGGTTTAGGAGGACTGCCTAAAGCTAAAGCAATAATGCTGTATACCTTTTGGTTCATTGAATTCTTTACCGCATTAAGTTTACTTTTATCGATTCCTTTTGCAATCAAATCTCTTAACACTAAAGCGTACTCCCTCAACTTCTCGGTAACAACATAATTCAATGCTGAAGTTGCGATAGCTTGAGAATTATCTGGGAAGAACTCATTGGGAACAATACCATACTTTTCAATAACGTTAACAATCATGTCCCATTGACCGCCATCGCCGACAGGGCTAGACAAAAGATAGCTCACTAATCTTGAATCTAAGTCTTCATCGGCAGTATCAATAATGTTTTCTAAAAAGAAGTTGGCTTTTTCTAATTTATCATAGAAAAATAAATAAGTTTGGGACAATTGGAACTCGTCTTCTTTCAAGTTGTAATTTTTTATAACGTGCGTCCTCAAGACATTAGATGTCGCAAATATCCAGCATCTTCCTGACAGCTTCTGATTGTTCAAAAAGGCTGGAGATCCAATTGATTTTACTTCGACATTAAAGAAATACTGCTGTTTAACCTTGGCGGCGCGATTAGATTCTGAGATAACATTGGTGATTGAGTTCTTTCCGAACGCATTTTGAGCAAGCTTATTCTTGGGATCTGCTTGTAATTCAGATTCCCACTTGGAAAGCTTATCAACGGAAATTGAGCTATCGCCTTCCTCTCCTGTAATATCTAAATCTCCAATATTATTTAACATATCTTCGCAAATAGGAACTTTCTCGATCAATTGAGGTTCTTCAGAAAGAACACTTTCCAAGTCTAGCTTACTGTTTCTTGATGCTGACGAACCCATATCTGCTTAAAGGATAAACTGCTAAGTAGGAAGATTAAAAAGCTTTTATATATAATACTGTCTTTATAAGAGGAACCCCCTTAAATTTAGTTTTGGGTGCGACATATAAAAGTGCCGCTTATCAGTGTGGCTAGAACAATAGTGGTTAAATAACCACAAAATATTTCCCACAATAGTAGGTGACGTATATAATATTAGACATTGTTCATCTGTTCCAAATGTATATGGATCAATAATATAGATTCACAATTACTTCTTATTTTGTTTGAATTTTGTGGATCTCTCTCTTATTCTTGGCTTTTTAACACGATCCTTTTTATACTTCTTGGAGATCCCAGGTATCAGTGTTCCCTTGTGTGCTCTTTCACCTTCTATGATCTGCCTACCAAGAGATTTTCTATCGGCTTTTCCTAAGATCTTAGAAGCACGGCCAATTTTAGTTTTTTGTTGATCCGTTAATCTTCCAGCTTTGAATTTTGATTTATTTGACGCAAATTTCTTCTTGATATTATCAATATGATTTGGTGATAACAGGGAAGGTTGTGTATGAGACTTTGCCCTAGAGATACGTAACTTGCGTTTGTTGGAATCCGAAAGTGGCTTATCGTTCAAAAGTAATGCTTTATTTACTGAGAGTGTATCTTTGAACTGCACTAATGCAAATCCTTTCCCCAAGTTCGTTGCAGAATCTCTGACAACTCGCACAGATTCAACGTCATTGTCCGTTTTAGAATTGAAGTATTTCCATAAAGTCTCTTCCTTTTCTTGGAAGTCTAAGTTTCCCACAAATATAGTTCTTCTGTTGTCTTTTGGAGCCGGGTGTCCCACGTGATCTACTCTTATATGGCAGTCTTCAAACATAGTTGCGTTCAAAGATACTGCCTTCAAAGATGATTCTTTTTCTTCAAAAACGACATATGCATTCAAGGATTCTCTTGAATCATGAAGCTTCTTTTTCGCAAATGCAATTTTCCTGGGGAGAACTTCATCGAAAGAGATCGATCTGAATCTGATGGATTCAACTTTTCCGAATTGCGTGAATAACTTTTTAAACTTTTTGGTAATCTTCTTAGAAGTGGCAACCAGCGATACAACATTACCGACGAAAACAGTTCTCTCGGCTTTCTTTAATTCATCTTCTTTCAAGTCGATTCTAGAAGCTGGTGTGGCTGTTTTAGACTTCGTAGTGCTTTTCTCAACTTCTTTATCTTCGTCTTTCTCAGAACCCTCTACCTCATTTGAATCTACTTCCCTTTCTTTCTTTTCCTCTTCTTCCTTCTCTTGGTCGCCATTCTTCAAGAGCTTGGCAAAGTATTTTGCTTCCAAGTTTTCGTCCACATCTGACTTTTTCTTTCTCCGCTTGTCTCTACTATGACTTTGTTCATCAGCCACAATTGGATTTTTCAGGTCCTTAACATCTTTATCGTCACTGTCTATATTCTCTTTGCTTTCAAAAATATGTTGTTGCTTTTCAGGCTCCTCTAGAATAGTTCTAGTTCTTTTTAACAGTTCCTTAGGCACAGCACTCGCAGATTTCTTAAACAACTCATCCACAGACTTATCTATATGCTTCTCTTCTTTCGAACTACCAAAGAGCGAGGAAAGGATTGACATCTTAGGAGACTCGCTAAATAGTTACTATAATTCGTTCGTTCCGTAGAAAATTATTTTAGTCCATCACTTCATATAAAAAAAAATTTGGTGATGAAGTCCTGTGTATGAGAATGTATATCCCTTCTGTTTTTCCAATCATAGAAGTATCGAAGTTTACAATTATACTTTTCAAATATAAAAGAAAGAATTGCCTTTAATCGACTGTTCAGAAGTCAAGGCGAGGTAATAAGGAATTAAAAGATTACATTTGTATTTTGAACTGTTCGATGCAAGTATCTGGTACTGCGGGTACCAGTGGTACTGTGACCCCAGCACAAACGAACAAAGAATCACCGTTGACAGACATAGGGACATCCCCACCTCAATTTGAACTACCTGTACAAAATAGGGAATTGAAGATGGAGACTCCGAATGAACTCTCAGACGATGGAAGTACATTGTCGCAGAAACAGGTCGCGTCTCTGCCTTCAACTACTGAGCCCGTTGAGTCGAGCGAAAACAACGCAAATACTGGCAGTTTAAACGATAACAAGCTCACTGAAAAGACTTCTAAGGGTATTTATGATGATCATCATGATGATTTGGGGAATAATAGTATCGAAAAAACAAAGGATGGAAATATCTCGGTCGAAAATTTATCTAATACTTCCGAAGACGTCCATAATCATGAAGGGTCTCAAGAAAAAGAATTCTATGAAAGCTCTGAGTTAAGTGATCTTGCTGATGATGATTCTGAGGCTGAAACAGATAGAATGGGCTTTCTAGACGAAGACGGGCATTCTGACAAAGGACTGGATTTGCAAGCCTTATCCAATTTAACTGAAATTGCTAGGTTAAAAGAGATAGATTCAGAAGACGATGAAGATTATGAACATCAGGAAAGCGAGAAAAATGAGAGTGGTGATCTGGCTAAACCAGAGCCAGAGCCGACAGACAATGAATTAGAAATAAATCCTAAAGATAATGAAGTGGCCAAAAACGAGATTGAAAATGATATTAATTTGATTAAAGAAGAGCTTGAAAGGCCATTAGCAGCAAAAAGAACAGCTGAGCCAAATACGGACGTTAAGAGACATAAACTGGATGATGAGGTCGACAAAAATGACAGGGCTTCTGGAGTTGGAGAAGAAGAGGATGACGAAAAAGAGGACGAAGAGGAAGAAGAGAATGAAAACAATAAATCAGGTCTTGAGCACACTTCCACCGAAGATGTTGATTTGACTGAACAAAGAAAATTGGCAGTTGAAGAATTAATTTCTATCGAAGGAGCATTTGCTCAGCTCAGAGATAAATTATATAAAGACAAACTTACATTACTAGAACATGAATTACAGTTGTGTCTTGAAGGCTCGCACCCAGAATTATCGAAAATATATCATAAAGTCAACGAGTTCTACCAGACAAGCATAGAGTTAGCGAACTCTAATTTGAACTACAATTTGAAATGCATAGATCGTGAGACCGTTGCAACACGGACTGCAATACACCAAGATTTCATGACAAGATTAATGGATTCTAAAAATGAAATGATCTCCAGCACGACGTCTCTGTGGTATAAGATTAATAAGGAGCGCAACCAGTTAGACCAGCTTGTTCCAGAATACAACTTTACGGCTATACCGCACGTGCCTAGCTATGCAGTTACCAGTCGGAGTGGCTTCAATCCTAATGGTATTAGCGTTGAAGGGAATGCCGAAAGTTATCCTAACGGCGTTATTGAAGATGCTGTACCTCTCTCAAAGAAAGCCATCAAATACAACACCTTAGTTGAATTGGTTCAGAATCGCAATAATACAAATCATGAATTAGGGATTCTTAATGGGTTGATTCAATTCGATGGCTTTCCTGCGGCAGTAGGATCATCTCTTCTACGCTCTGATAATGGTCCAAGTTATGAATTGTTATTGAAAAGAGCTGCGGATGATGAGATAAAAGAAGACCTTCAGGCAATGGGTATATTAAGTTGACTTAATGTCTTAGCCTTTCTATAGTTCTTTTATTGTATAGATTTCATGTAAACGTACTTTTTCAGTTTCTCTAGTTAATTTTGGTGGTATTGCGCACTACTCACTCATATCGAACTTATTTTGTTGACGCCAGCTGGTTGTTATTTAAAATACACTATAAGCAATTGATTTGAAATGGTTGAAGTTTCATTGACGGTTGGAAAGTTAGATGCTTCATTAGCACTCTTATTAACAACAGACCACCATTTAATAGAATTTCCCACTATTTTATTACCCAATGGTGTTAAAGCAGGATCGATTGTGAAGATCAAATGTGATCAAGACTTGGAAACTGAAGAGGAAGAATCTAAACATTTTCAAATGGTTCAAGATGAGATATTGAACACTTTTGGCAAGAATCTTCCCAAGGATCCTGTCTTGAAGATAAGGAATGTAACTCAAACGTCATGTGTATTGGAATGGGACACATTAGACTTGGGTACGGCTAACTTGAAGAACCTTTTGTTATTCAAAGACGGTAAAAAGCTAGGAACAATTCCACAGCCATTAACTAATAGAACCACCAAGTTATCTGGGTTGCCTATAAATAAGACCTTTCACTTCCAACTACGCCTAAATACTACCGCAGGGGTATATCAATCTAGTTCAGTTGAAGTCACTACGCATAAAATGACAGACTTATCAGGTATTACGGTCTGCTTGGGAGATATAAGCCCAAACGATCAGTTTACAGTAGAAGATATTGAGGATTCGTTACAGAATATGGGAGCTCATTACCCAGCTCAGAAGGAGATTAAAGTTGATACTACTCATTTCATCTGCACGAGGGAAAATACGCAAAATTCGGAATTTATCAAAGCAAGTGACATGAATATTCCAATAATTAGACCTGAATGGCTCAAGGCTTGTGAAAGAGAAAGAAGGATTGTTGGGGTTAGAGACTTTTATGTCAAAGATTGTGTCTTACCTGACATATTTGCCAAGAATTACTGGAAGAAATCGCATGGTGAATCTAAAGAAGCAAACCCCATTAGTGAACAGTCAGTTGATGTTGCTAAGCAGCTTGCTGAAGATAAAGAAGAGCCAAAAGATTTACCTGTACCTGAGGTTAATGTTGATACACCAAGTGCTTCTAACGGCAAGGCAAATGAAAAAGATGGCTTGGATGAAATCAATATTGGAAATGATATCAGCCACGAAGCGAAGCCTGAAACTGAGGCACACGTAGGAGGGACCTCAGAAGAGCCCAGAGTCTCAAGCTCTCAAATTGACGACACTCTGGTTGCTAAATCTCAGAAAGAAGAGATTCAAGAAGAGCTCTCTCAGAGCTTACCAAAAGAAGATAAGGATGATCAATCTAAGATTGAAGAGCCTATTAATGAAATAGAATCGCAGAAGGATGACACAGCTAAGGTTGAAGCTTCGATAAATGAAGAGAGCACTGACAAAGCAAAAAAACCCACTAAGGAAGAAGAGCCTACTAAGGAAGAAGAACCTACTAAGGAAGAAGAACCTATTAAGGAAGAAGAACCTATTAAGGAAGAAGAACCTACTAAGGAAGAAGAATCCACCAAAGAAGAGGAACCTGTTAAGGAAGAAGAGCCTAGTAAGGTGGAACGAGCATCCAAGGAAGAGATACTTGATGAAGTACCACTCAAGGAAGAAGAACTTAAAGAAGAACCTAAAAGTACTGAACCTGAGCCAGTGTTGAATGATGATTTGAAAGAAGAAAATGAATTTGATGAAGAGGAAACGTCCGACCACCAAGAACAAAATGACAAAGATGTAGTAGAATCTGGGTCCTCGCCTGTCTCTAAGAACAGTAAAAAGAAGAAGAATAAGAAGAAGCGGTCAAAAGCTTAAGTACTTGCTTGTCCTACGGCAAAAAAACTATGGTTACTGTATATTTAAGATACAAGAACTTCAAGTTCTCAAATAGAATAAGATATTTTGCTACCTATGTAAAACTGTGTAATAATTCATAAGCGCTTGATTAACACTGGGTACACTGTAACTTATTCGCCAAAAAGCCTCCTGACTTTCTTTAAAATTGAGTCGTTTTCAGGATCGTAAGGGTGGTCCTTAGATGGAATCTCTAATATAGCTGGAAATGCATTGGAATAATTATCAATTCTATATCTTATCAAATTAGCGATGTGCTGGTTGATTAATAAAATAGCAATATCATCTCTTGTAGATGTGAATCGTTCAAATGTTTCCTCAACTTCTTCAACTGATGTCTTTCCTGGTATAACATTCAAAAAATTAGTTTCCTTGCCAGGTTCGTTTGATGCTTGACCCACGCCTGCCAACAATAATCCGGTAACTGAATCTTCATCGCCAATTACCGCTATCAAAGTCCTCTTTTTCATTGAATCATTTCCTGAACTCATTGTTATCACGATGTTTGAATATTTGAATTATTTGGCCAATCTAGTAATATTTAACCTGAATGATAAACTTATTAATTTTGGTGAACGCACTGAAAAATTATCCAGAGCTTTTCTAGACCTTCAGTACTAAAGATATGGCTATGGAACAGTTTAGGATGTACGTTGGCTTATTGCCAAGGATCAATGTAATTCGGGCTTCCAAGAGGCAGATACATTGCAGTTCAGCTTTGTTTGCAGGGCATTCAAAGTGGGCTAATATTAGACATGATAAAGCTAAGAATGATGCGAAGAAATCAAAAGAAGCATACACTATAGCCACGAGGATCGTCTCTAGTGTTAAAACAGGAGGAGTTGAAGGTAATGCTCAATTAGAAACATTAATCGAAAAGGCTAAGAAGTTAAATGTCACCAAAAAAATCATTGAAAATGCTATAAAGAGAGGAACAGGTGAAATATCGAATGATGGCCTCAAGCTGCAAGAGGTGATGTATGAGTTTATGGGCCCCGGAGGTGTTGCCTTTATTGTCACAGCAGATACTGACAATAGAAATAGAACTATTGGGACAGTTAAGCATGCCTTGTCCCAGTTCAATGCTGCATTGAGTCCTTGTCTGTATTTGTTTCAAAAGAAAGGTGTGATATTGGTAGAGCCTTTGAAAGAACTGCAGTCATTAGATGAAATACTTGAGGATGCTATAGAAGTGGGAGCAGAAGATGTTGATGAATACGAAGACGTTGGACAAGAGTACAATGCAGATAAGCTATTCCGAATGATCACTGACGTAGCGGAAGTAAACAAAGTGTCAAATAATCTCAATGCGAAAGGCTATAAATTGAGAGAATCTATCACCCTGTTTATTGCTGATCCAGAGAATGAGGTCGCCTTTCCGGATGGACAAGAGAAAGGTTTGAAAAAATGCTTAGAAATGTTGGACGAAATTCCAGAAGTCTCTAATTACTACTCCAATCTCAAAGACTAAAATTGTAAATAATTCTTGGATACAATTGTTGAGTCTCTGAATACTCATCTTGTAAGTAGAAATATCAAAATTTAAAAGAAAAAAAGAAAAATGTAGAGCAAAACATACCGTGGCCCATGAGAGTTTAGTCTCAGTATCCGTTCGGCGTACACTTGGAAGCTACAGTTCTTAAATCATGCCATAAACAAAATTTATTTGAAGATAATGACTAGAAACGATCACACTAGAAACGATCACTTTCACCTTCCTCCTTTTATTATTACCGTTCGTTAGTCTCTTCCTCCATACTCAAATGTATTTCAAAACGAACTATGAAAGCAGGAATTTTCAATTGATTTACTTCTTTTCCTTCTTTTCTGCTTCTTCCAAGACGTTGCTCAATTCTGACAAGTCAGGATTACGCCACAACCTCAATTGTCTGTCATGAGCAAAATGTCTGTAGGTGAAAAAGAAACCTGAAGCAATAGCTACACCAACAGCTGCGAACAAAGGATACATTTCCACTGGCGCTTTGACTCCAGGGGACTTATTCTTTGTTGCATTTAATAAAATTTGTGAAGCTCTCATTTTGCTAGACTCAAAATATGGATAATATCGTAGGTTTTAATTGCAAGCTTTTTAATTAGTGATATCGATGTGTTAGATTCGGTTTGTATTCAGCTTCTGAATTCTTTGAACCTTATTTTATCCTAGCTTTACTTGCTTATTGATATTAGATTTCGTTTATCAGAATTTTTTTGACCAAATTTGCACGTCCTGCCTTTTACTGTGTGGCCATCTATAATTAATGTGGTTGGCCGAATAAGTTCCAACATGTAGGAATGGGACTAAACATTAAAATTTGAGCAAATTATGCCAAAATCAAAGGTCAGAGAAGACAAAGAAGAGCCTTGAAGATTAGAGCTTGATACTTGAATATTAGTCCTGGCAATATATAGTTATACATAAGTGTTCATGGAAAAATGCTATAGTTGTGCATCTAATGCAAAATGCCTATTGCGGAAGAAGGTATAAATATTACCAATTTGCAATTGAGCTTTTAAGAGTGTCATAACAGAGCCAACTGACGGCCATAGAGGGTACTATTTTGTATAAATTCGCCGAAAGGCCCTTATATGCACCAAAGAAGCCTTCAGAAGAAAAAATAGATACCAATGCCTGTGTTACAGAGGTATACTTGAATCCTAGTTCACCTCCAGCCATATTAGCAACCTGAAATCTTTTACGGAGTAAATCTAGAGGATATATGAGGACACCGCCAACAAAACTAGCAAATGCTCCCGCAGATAATTTCCATATTGGATTTGAAAAATCTCGTGGAGATTCATCCATGTATTCTCTAAGTTTCTCATATAAGGTGAAGTTGATAGCAACATACGGTGCGACACCTAATGTTGTTGGCACTATGCCACGATACAACGCAAGAAATCCACCTTCTGTTTTGTAAACAGTTTGTAAAGTTTCGAAAATTCCAGGAGGTTTCTTTAGCTTGGCCCGGTCAAGCTTCGATAATGAGGCAGTTTGAACCGTAATTCTTGCTCGCACCAAATCCAACGGATATGTTACAGCAACTGATACGATGCCACCAACTGACCCTGAAATAAGTCTCTCGTATACAAATAACTCTTTATCTTTACCGTGCTTTCTAGCTATAAATAATTGTTTGCATTTTTCAAACACAGCATACTGAACTGCACTATACGGGAAAATTCTAATGCAATTTAATAAATTACCCCGAAATAATCCCACCCATCCTTCGTCTTTGAAGATTTTAAAAATTGTGTTAAACATCCCATTATACGCATGTCCTGTTCCGGCTCCTTGTAATTGCAAAAGAATCTTAGCACGCTCAAAAGGAGACACAACAGTACGAGAAATGGCTCCTGCGATGCCTCCAGATATAAGCGACGCATTTCCATCAATTTTAACAAACGTCTTGAATTCTTGAAATATTTTATTCCCCACAGGTGCTTCCAGTTTCGATCTTCGCTTCAGATCTGATTCGAGCGTGTGTTTGGTTTCCTCCATTTTAAAATGAGAGCTGAGCTACTTGAAAGTACTTAAGTTCTACTTTTTAGAACTTGACCTATGGAGTAGCTCTTTCAAAGGTTGAATAATCAAATATGATTTCTAGTTAATTTCTTTTATTGTTTATTGATATATCTAAGAGCCGAAATTTTATTTTTCCCCGTGAAAAATTCACGAATCCATATTCTTATTGTGGCCCCATCAGCGTCGCTTAACTCCATTTTTGAAAGTGAATAACATGAAAGCTTCTCGAATATCAAAAGTTCTTGAGTTAATCCACTTTAAAACCTTCTTTCCTTTACTTCTATCTGATACTCATAGCTTTATAGTATTTTCCTAGAACACATAGTACAGCCCGTCCGGTTCTCGGGTTGATACCAGAAGTCCTAGATCTGTATATTTTCATAATTTATGCCTGTAGTTCTAAGATGAACGCCTGTTACTTCCGATGTTTAACTATTTACGGATAATATATTCTTGATCTACTGAGCGTCTTTATAATCATAGCTGACGACCAACGCATCTTAGTCCTACAAGGGATTAAAGAACCTTCAAATAGTCCCCGTAATCTGTTCAAAAATTGACTTCTATTATAGTCCTAGAATGAGTCATGGGCTTCGAATTCATAATATAAAATAATTTTAATGAGTGATTCATTGATTTATTGACCGATTCCTAAAATGCTGCGAAAAAGATTTCTATAAATTGGGAGTGAATTTATTTTAATCACCATTTATTAATCCATAACGAAAAAGCAAAAAATGGCCTATTTATATCCAGATAAAACCTTCTGAATTGCGTCAACTAATATGTCAGCATGTTTCTCTTCAAAGATCAAAGTTGGTCTAAGTCTAACTGACGCATCTCCACACCCACCCATGTTCACACCAGCAGCCTTAATATCAGCCAAAAATTTATTTCTAGCATCGGCAGAACTAAAAGTCCAAGCAATAAATGTACCTCTTCCTTTTCCTCTCAAATTTTGGAAGTAAGCAGGAAATTTAGACTGTAAGTTCTCTAACTTATTAAACAAGTATTCACCAACTTTCAAAGTTTTAGCAGGCAAGTCGTATTTAACAACTTCTCTTGCAATTGCTCCAGACAAGAGCATTCTTGCAGGATCACCACCCCAAGTGTTAAATTGACGATATGCTTTGTTGGGAATAATTTCTGGGTCATGGAAAAAGTAGCCCGAAGACTGAAACTTTTTGGAGAATGTGACCAAGTCAGGTGGAGGAGACAAGTTGAAATGTTCATGTGCCCAGAATTTACCTGTGGCACCGACACCAGTTTGAACTTCATCAATGATCAAGAGAGCACCGTACTTGATAGTGAGGTCTCTTAAACCTTGAAAAAACTCGGCAGAGCCATGATTATCACCTCCCTCAGATTGAATGGGTTCAACTAATAAAGCTGCAATTGGGGAATTCCATGTCTTAAAAATGTTTTCTACTATTTCTAAGCATCTTTTATCCTCTTCCTCATTTTCCTTTTCATGTTTGTCCAAAGGATACTTGTATTCTGGAAACTCAGCCTTTGGCCACTTAAAAGAAGGCAAGTCCAATTTATGGATTGGCTTAGCAGCGGTGACGGAAGCAGTTGCTAACAACCGACCGTGGAAAGCTCTTTTAAATGACAAAACTGCTAAGTCCGGCGAACCAGGACTAGAGTTTTCCATTACTGAGGCACTCTCTTCGGGTGTAAAGTCAACATTGTATCCTCTTTTCTTCGACATGTAATACATAAAAGCAGCTTTGAATGCCAACTCATTGGCATCAGAGCCAGATAACCCTGGGAAAACCTTATCCTGACCCTTTGGAGCAACCTTCAATATTTCCTTTACAATGTTCTCGGTATCCTCACCAGGAAAGTTCAAGGTTGCTGGTCTATCAACAATAGCCTTTATCATTTCATCTGATTTCGCAGCTTCAATCAAAGCAGGATTATTATAGCCTAATGGAATGGAAGCAATCTGTGCGTAGACATCCAAATATTGATTTCCATCAACATCTGTAATGTAGTTACCAACAGATTTCCCATAGTTAGCAACAAAGTATGCTGCTCTCCCATCGTATACTTTATCTAAGGATTTGATTGCTTCCTTGGATTTTGGTCCTGGAAACTCTTTTGTCTTCAATGACGGAGCACTAGGCTCTGAAAAATACTTCTCCGACACTGACATATCTTTTAAAACGTTAATAATTTAAATGAGTTAAAGGGAATGAAGTCTCACCTTTAAGTACTTAGGGCCCTCGAGGAGTCAACTCATATCGGCTTCCAAATCGGGTATCCGCTAATTTCTGAAATGCTACAAATATGCCGCCAACCATTTCCGAAGACAGCATTTAACGCACATTTTAAGGCTCTGGGTTCCCTACACTTCTACTCCGGAGTGTGTATAGTGATATAACTATCACGAGCTTACGACGTGACAAGCTACAAGCTATGTTCTCTTTAAAGGTCTCCTGCGACCAAATTATTGAGGAGCTCCGTAAAAATAAAAGTCATCGAGGATCACTTTTAGGCTCTCGAAAATATTAAATTGGTTCTTTCTGCTCTTCATGACTGGTTCCATTAATATTCAGTGGTCGTTCCGCTGTCAAGGTTTTTTTTTGTTTACTTTTTTTTTTCTCTTATAATTATTTTTGTTAACTCTTATCAACTCTAGATTCTCCTCCTCAATAATTGACTATTTAAAGAGTCAGTAAATACTATTCTCTACGGTATTGATAATGTCAGCTCGCTGAATATTGTTCCTGACCTTCTGCCAAAAGTCATCATGCCTGTATATAGTCCTTTTTCAAAGTTTATATTTCATTACATCTCGTCACAAAGATAAACAACAACATTCGACTCTAACTTCACAGTGTTGGACTAGACCAAGTTCTGAGACTTCGGTATGGCTCCTTCTGATAAGGAAGACTTGAATGAAAGTAAGACCAGGCTGTCTTCCGGAGAGGAAGGGAAGCGTGGCGATGATGATGTTGATTTGAATATATATGAGATTGATAAAATGCTTTCTGAGTCAATCAACGACAACCACGGAAATAGAGAAGAACAAGAGAATATTCAACAAAAACGTCAAGTAGAATCAGAAGCAGAGGATACTTTGAAGCGCCATAAGAGGGCGGAGAGCGAAAATGAAAGCGAAGATACAGCAATTCATGAAAGTTCTAAAGTTAATAACAAAGTAGGCCCTATCGATGGGAAGCAAGACGAAAACGATGTAAGTACTAGCTCACCTAATAGGCTTCGAAATCTAGAGCTAGAGTTCGAAAGAGCCATTGAAGGACAACAGGAAGAAATAGGCACAGAACATCAAAAACAGAATGATGAAAGAACCATCTTGGAAGACAAAAGTTCTGGAAATTCGGATGAGAAAGTCGAGAAGTCACCCCAAACTGTTTATCACGGTGGTGTAGCGGTACCAGCAAACTCAGAGCTATTGAATACAAATACTGCGTTTGAAGCTTACAGTGCATTATCCAGTCAGTTTCCGCCTTTAGCCGTCCTTGCGAATGCGCATTTAGCTGCATTACCTTTACCTATAGTAGCTCCAGATTATCTTCCTCCAAGGATACAATTACTCATCAACACCTTACCGACACTTGACAATTTGGCTACGCAGTTGTTGAGAATTGTTGCGGTGGGACCCTACCAGAAGATCGTAGAGTTAGCATCCAATCCAGATAGTCCTTCTGGCGCAGCCTACAGGGATTTAACTTCCTTGTTCGAGTTCACAAAAAAATTGTATTCTGAAGAAGATCCATTCTTGTCTGTGGAGCACATAGCACCTGGAATGTGGAAGGGGGGCGAAAAGACTCCTAGCATATTAAGGAATAGAGAACAAAGTATCGAATCAACTTTGAGAAAGGTCAATTTAGCCACCTTCTTGGCTGCAGCGCTCGGAACAATAGAAGTTGGCTTTTTTCATTTAAATGAATCGTTTCTTGATGTTTTTTGTCCGATCAATAACTTGGACCCTGATAATGCTTTATCTAATATGAATTCAAATAACATGAGCTTGCAAAGCGGAGTAAACACAGCCATCGGTGATAGAGTTGGAAAGTTATTAAAGCCCCAAGCAGAATTATACTTGGAGTTGAAAACACAGGCATATATCTCAGCAATAGAAGCAGGCGATAGGTCAAAAGAAGAAATAATGGAGGATATTATACCAAGTAATTTAGACGAGATTCTTTTAGCAAGACGAGGTTCTAATTTACTTTCACCCACTGAACAAGATTTCATTGAGCGTTGTTTATCAAGAAAGGAAACTCTTTTGAGTTATTCTGATGACAAAAACCTCACCGAAGAATATGAATGGTTCTCATTCTTGAAAGATTTATTTGATTATATATCGAAAAATATGGGTTTCGTGATATGGGGCAAAAGAGGTAGGAACGTTAGGGAGAGAACCAAAGGTAATACTAAAGATTCTAGTGTTCTTGATAATGAAGAGATCATACGATCAGCGTCGTCAATACCGGCTCCCGAACAAAGTGTACTTCGGTTGAGCCCGACTGCTGACTTGAGATCCCAAGAAATTAGTGAGATCACCAGCTCGCTATTACCATCAGAAATCCAGGAACAGCAATTGCATCTTAGAATTAATCCTGGATCTAATCTTAGGAACTTACAAAGAAGACCATGGACAAGAGACGAAGAAAAAGCCTTGCGTCACGCTTTGGAGTTAAAGGGACCAATGTGGTCTACTATATTAGAACTTTTTGGAAATGGAGGTAAAATTTCTGAAGCTCTTAAAAATAGAACACAAGTACAACTCAAAGATAAAGCAAGAAACTGGAAAATGTTCTTTTTAAAGAGTGGCTTGCCAGTTCCTAATTATCTTCAAAAGGTAACGGGAGATCTCGAACGTGATGATAGGCTGAAAGCAAATAAACGAGCCAATAGGAGCAAAAAAGCTGCTTTATCAGCAAGTTCGTCTCCATCGGCAGCCCAAGTTGAAGGCTCAGGAGAAAATCCTATGAAGAAGTGAGTTTTTTCACAAAATGCTTCTTGGTATGCCGAATTGGACTATATCAAAAACTTTTAATCAAATGAAGGGTTCTTTAAATAAAAAGATCCGCATGTAAAGTGTTTTGAATTGCATTTAAACAATAATGTCGCTGTTCAAAATCTATTGTGACTATCGGTCCTGTCACCTTTTTCGAGTAATGATCGGTTCTCATATTGGAATGAAATGTGTTAATCAATTTTGTGTCACAAAAATTGGCACCCATTTTATTGCATGGGCTACTCGTTTTAAACATGAAGGACAATATTTCGATAATAATTGAGCAAAGAAGAAAAGAAAGCGAGTAGAAAAGCAGGGCGAACATGATTTCAACAGGCAACAATCTGCTTGAAAACATAGATGAAAGAATCCACCTGGCAAAACGGGAAGCTAGAGAACTCTTTAAAGAAGTGGAGTTTGTGCGTAATAAAACTCAGGACTCAAACTTGCTCAGTTTATCTCATAGAATTAGCAATATTCCTAGAAACTATACCAAATTGCATCTATATAATACTTTAAAGGGACATAGAAATAAAATAGCGAAAATCAGGTGGCACATGGATTCCACAAGATTATTATCTGCTAGCCAGGACGGATTCATGATCATTTGGGATGCTGTGAGTGGACTTAAGAAACAAGCGGTGAATTTAGAGAATCAGTGGGTGCTCACATGTGACTATTCTCCTAGCGGTAGGTTGGTGGCTTCCGCGGGTCTCGATAACGCCTGCACGATATATAAAGTCAAGTCAGACAGCAGTGGCATAATAAATGATCAAAATGCCTATGAGATGTACGGAAATATTCAACAATCTGTCCAGTCAATCTTTAAGGGCCATAGGGCCTATGTGTCGGATTGTAAATTTGTAAATGATGCTTCAATCTTGACTTCAAGTGGGGATCTGACATGTGCATTATGGGACATAACCAAGGGTAAAAAGGCAAGGGACTTCATTGACCATATAAGCGATGTCCTTTGCCTATCAGAGTTTCCGACGTACATCAAAACAGATAGTCCTTTATTTTTATCAGGATCTTCAGATGGTTACGTTAAAGCCTGGGACGTGAGAACGCAATCACCTACTCAAAGTTTCTTCATTTCCAATTCTGATGTGAATTGCACCAAAGTATTTGCAGATGGGTATTCATTTATTGTTGGGTCTGACGATGGAATGCTAAGGTGGTTCGATTTGAGATCTGATTGCGATATTGCAGTTTACTCGCTACAGTCACAATTTCACAATTCAGATTCATCCTCTAAAACATACCGCAATGATTACAGCCCGACAGACCAAGTCAGTTCTAATTCACTTAGTGCCTCTTCGACTTTGGATAGTCCAGGGGTGTTATCAGTTGATTTTAGTAGAAGCGGTCGATTGATATACGCTTGTTACTCTGAGTTTGGATGTTTGATTTGGGACTCTTTGAAGAATGAAATTATTGGGTCAGTTGGAAATGAACACTTAAATAAAATCAATCAAGTTGCCGTGAGCCCCGATGGAATAGGATTGGCGACAGCCTCGTGGGATGCAACTATTAAAGTCTGGGCAGCTTAATGTTTGAGCATTAACCGAGACTCATAAATGAGCATAATGAAACCTGTAAAGTAGTATACTATGTATTTTTTTTAAATTATTTCTTCTTATTTTATTCTTTCAAAAGGGAATAGCATACTTTTTATTATGTATATTACAATATGTTTGAATTTGGTTCTCTTTAACTTTTCAGACGTTTTATTAATACAAAATAAGCTGTTAAGATATAAAAATTATCTAGGAGAGTGGATTTTTGTTTGATCAAACTTCCTCTGTGCGCTTTTTAACGTAATCCCACAAACTCTTCAATAAAGAATCAGGTAAGGTATAAAGATCCATCGTAAACTCGCCATTATCCACATCATTTTTGATATTCATGTCATTAGTTCTATTATCGGTTACCATTTGTACAATGACAATTAAATCATCTTCATTCAATTTTGTCAACCCGTTGGCTAATTTTTCTAAATCCACATTACCTTTAAATGCATTACCATTTGATGTCTTGGACTTCTTAGCCTTATTATTCAAGTCAGAGTCGGTTTTACGCTTAACGCTTAAGTCATCAACGTTGTTAGGTAAAGGACCACTTTCTAACAAGAGCTTATTCAATGCTTGGTTTTTATTTGTAGGAATCGAAATAACATGATCAGTAGTGTATTTTTCCTGTGAAAAGTTCAAATCATGACTGAGCTTCCTCTCTCCCAGTTTACCGCTTATTCCTAACAAATGCACTGCTATCGGTATATCAAATTCTCCCCATCCCTGCTCTTGAACTCTAAATGGTTGCTGTTTAAGTGTCCTAATAGGATTCACGAAAGTTGGATGTAATGAATATGTTACTCTATCGAGAATATTGGCAGGAATTTCATTTCCTGACTGATCCAACATGGTTATTTCGATCGACCATTCTCTGATGGGAAAGTTTTCCACCGGTGGTAAATCTTTCAAAATATGTTGTTCAGTGGTAATTCTAATTGTTCTTTTCACCTAAACATTGCTAGTTAGTATTTATCCTATTCAAGCTGGTAATATAATCTAAATTTTTCAGATTTCTTATCAAGATACATACTTCAGACATATTTAGATAAATTCCTCAACCCTCCGGTATATTTATACAAATGTTTCTTTGATATGAATGGCTTCAAAGAGTAGGGACGGAAAACACTTCAAAAACAAAATTACACAAAAGTGAATTATATAATAACGAGCAAAACATATGAAACAGATGAACTACAGAGATAATACCACAAACGACAACGATTTGTGCTTAGTCCATTGGCTTCCAAAGGGAACATCTTTAAAATATTTCTCCGTGAAGTTTGAAAACACGAGAAGGTGAAATAGTTGACAATGATGTATGTCAATTGATTAACACCACTTTTATGATTATATTTTATCTATTTACAAGTGCATATCATAAAAAGAGGTTTACTTAGTAAATACTTGTTTGTAAATCTTTGGTACTAGGGGCTTTACCAATTCGGGTGATGATCTCCATTTCTGGGCAAGTTCAGACAGAATTAATTTAAATAATTTTCCCATAGGTACATTGCCCTCTGTAGCTTTTATTTTGGTTAAATAGTCTTTAAGAGAAGCCTCCAATTCTTCTGAAGAAGCTACTGGTAAATCTTTCAAGTAACCGTTGATGATTTCAATCTCTAATTTTTCAACAGCGGCCAAGTCTTCCCTGTTTTGACCCTCATATTCTTCCACTGCTCGCTTTCTTTGCTTATTCATCTTGCTAAGTGTTTGAAATAGAACGAACTCGTTTTGGGAAGCTCCATCTATCTCCGTGTCCTTTACTCTGGACATTATCATTTTTATTCCATTTTTCTTTACCGTATCTTTGTCCAACATTGATCTCTTCAAGTCCTGTTTGATCTTGGCCATCACTTGCTGATACGCTACTGAAGACTGGAATCTCTTTGACGCTTTGAATAGTGGGTTTGCAAACATTTTTGGACTAACCTTTCATAGATATGCAATCAATCACCTTATCTTCTGGTCCAGACTTCGAAAATTTTTGTGTAGAGTGCGCTGTTACCGATATTTGGCCCTTTATTATGGCTTTATGGCCGAGATTGGCAAGTGATTTTGACAGTATATAGCATTAAATTCAATACAGCCACACCTTCCTAGCAATAGTAAAATAGAGTTATATGGTATAATCTCGGTGGTTCCAGTGTTAGCAGGTTGAGTAAAGTGCCACTGACCATCAAAATCACACATTGGGGAGGTTTAAAATTTAGCGGCACACTGCTTCAATCGACAGCAATCGACAGCAGGCTGTGATAAAAAGAATAAAAGTAGGCTTGAAGGGTTAGGATTTGTATATGTACAAGGCTGAATAGCAAAGTACAGCTGATACATTCGATACACTAAAGGAAGGTTCAGAGATATTGAGTATATAAATCTGACATATCATATAAGAACTAAGTGGAGTCGTCAATTGAAACAATTAGAATTTGATACTATAGTAATGAGCTTATTTGAGCGTATAATCCATGGCAGCGACGTGAGAATTGCTAATAAGGCTCTGTCAACTAATTCGTTGACTAATGCACAAGCCATAGTTCCTAGATCTCAGAGCGCCCGTGAAAGTGACTTGACGACTACTTTATCTAATAAGATCTATTCAATTGATCTGGAGATGAATTTATCAAACGGATCTCAATACTCAACATCTGAATCATCCAAAGCAGAGCCAAGCTGGTTGGATGAGTTTAATTCCAAGCTCGAAAAAATGGAAGGTAAATGTCATATATACAAGATCAAAAAACCTTCTCAACTTGCAGATCTTTTGGATTACCACTCAGACCCTGAATTGAATAAACTTCCAACGAATATGTTTCCTTATTTGCATGGCTTAAATACGTTAAAGCAAAGATATTTTTTTAAACGCGATGTGGATATATCTAAAGATACATTTGTTTCTTATAGGGATCTATATTCAAGTGATATAAAGGATCCAGTACAAGCACCCAAAACAAATTATTTTAGCTTAATGGTTGTTAAGGTTGATACAGATTCAGGTGAAGAGCTTTTGAATTCCATTTATTTGGGAGATTTGTTACAGTCGGCTCCTGCTAGATTTGACGACTCAGTGAAGGATATCGATGATCTTTACGACCATTATGAAAAATTCAGTAGCATCAACGATCTAGACATGGATGCTGACCAACCTATTGATATCCGTAACTATAAAAGCCAAATTAAGTTAATGGCGCCATTGTCACACTTTGTGGTTTATAGTTCTACTAATGATTTCCAATTTTGTTCACAAGCTGCAACGCTTTTGAATCTGCTTATGGATGAAGAGAAGAATATATACATGGTTGATTTTAATATGGATCAAATGGGTCAAATTTATATAGAACATGATGACGCAGAAGCTTATCCAATTGATCTGGTTCGAGATATGCCATTCAGTTGCAAATTATTGAAATGGGAGCAGAATCTAATATGGAAATTAAATTCCTTGAAATGGTGCTACAAAAATGTCTGCCTCGGCACAATTGCTGATTATAATTTCCTTCATAAGAACAAAAATGATTTTAAGCTCTTTTTCAATTGTCATGAGGATGCAGCATTTCCCAGCTTACATGTTTTGCAGCAATTATTGTATGATGCAAAAAAAAATGGAATAAAAAAACCGATATACTTAGACTTTCCTTCTTCTGGATCAATTGACATCAACAAAATAACATATGAACAGATATTAAGCTTTTTGAATACTCTTTGTTTTTTAAATTTTGTTACAAATAGCATGAACGAGAAAGTCTTCTTATTTTCTTACGACGGCTTTACAGGTATAAGCTTATTCGTGATTGCACTCGGGATGTTTTTAAATAACGAATTAGTCGAAAAGGCCATAATTAGCTTGTTAGGAGACCATCCATCAGGTCTTGGGAAAAACGTTCGGTTATATTATTTTAGAGGAGATTTAATACTTTTGAAAAGACTTGAAGGTTTTATGAAATTTGCTAAGGATAAAAGCTCGAAAAATAGCGCAACATTTATTAAGTCGATAGAATATACCCGGGACATACTTCCATTTGAAGAAAAGATTAGGTCGGAAGGTAAACCTCTGTATGACTGGTTTGATTTCGATTCAGATTGTAACTTTCCTTCGAAGGTATTTGGCAATTTGTATTTGGGATCTTTGAGTCATGCTTCTTCTTCAACTATTCTCAATACGTTGAATATTAGTAAGATTATCGCTATTGGTGAGCGACCAAATTGGTTCGAAAAATTGAAAGTGTCTTTCGATTTCGAGTCACGTCCAAAATTTAGAGTCATTGAGCCGATATTCATTTTTAACGATGGAACCAGTAAAGTTTATGAGATACACTTGCCTAGAGGAACAAAAGTTCATAATTTACAATCCTTGAAAACAATTATCTACATATATCATTTAAACGATGACGGAAGGGACTCAATGCTACCACTCTTGACAAGTTGTCCCGAACACATTCAACTGAAATTTTTAGTTGACCCCAGATCGAAACAGTTTAAGACTATGGTACACTGTAGAATTGGGGTTTCTCGGTCCGCATCCTTGATAATTGCGGCGGTAATGAAATATTACAAATTGAATCTTCTTCAAGCTTATCTTTTTGTCAGAGTCAAAAGGTTCAATGTGATCATTCAACCCAATTTACGACTTTTTTACGAACTTTACTTATACGAAGAGTATTTAAAATTGAGGAGGGTATACAATTGGTCGTTCATGTGCAATGAAATACATAAGTTGAACGATCATTATATCGAAAGGAGCTAGTTTCACTCTCATCTTTTAATTCAATCTTTTTCAACTCATTATAATTCAAAGTCAAGAATGGGTTCCTGAGCCCATAGCATTTAGATTTTTTAATTCATAAAATAAACGAAAACCATAATTTATTCTCTAAGTTCGCTGGTATGAAATTAAGATAATTAAAGAGATTCCTGATGAAATACTGGCCAGACGATGAAAAAAAAAAGCAAAGGATGAGCGAATCGCCTTCTGTTAGATATATAATTATCTTACCATGATGATGTACAGGAAAAGAAGCTGTCAGAGTCGCATTTCATCAGGCGAAGTTGAAATAATTTGAAGAAAGCACTCTATAGTGTAATTTCCCGCCTGATCATAGTTAGATAGGGAGTGAAAGTAGGCACGTTCAATACGCAATACATTTCGTACAACGATGTATTCATGTTCCTATGTCTTTACTAAAATTCATGATTGTGTCGAAGGTGAGACGATATTAGCACTCGCTCATATCTCAATAATCCTAACTAATTAGCATATTTATTTGAGAATAAAACATCATACGAAATTGGCAAGAGAATTCACAAATCCAACGGTAAAGATCGCAGCCCTTGCAATGCTTAGCTTATTCCAAGTACTAATGTGGGATTGAAGTCCGGTAGTTTTTATCTCTTCAACGTTATTGATTTTTGCAATTTCTTTGAGCTTCTTCACAGTTGGAAGTATGAAGAGAGCAGTAAAGGGAATAACGGCAATTGATGCTATTCCACTTATCATACACGCATTTCGAAATTCCCTAGTGACATTGTCGAACAAAACTTCATAAAAGTAGATTCCAAAGCTAACTAATGCACTGAATCCCATTATCTTGGAACAATCATCGTACAATTTGACCCATTGCTTTGCCTGGGCTGTGTCTGAATGATAATTTTGAAGTATTGAGGGAATAAAAACTCCTGATATTATAACGTTACCGCCAACAAATATGGATTGAGAAAATAAAGCTATTTTGATGATAACTGGTACAGCCATTTTAATGAAGAGGTGTCTCACAGGATAATTGATAAGATCACAAATTCTTGAAATTATTTAGTTTCTGATGGGAGACTCTTAAATATACATTTTCTGGGGTCATCATGTCATATTATACAGGTCTCAAGATAGCAACATAAAGTAAAGCGAGATCCTCGTAGTGAAGATTCGCAATCTCCAAACATGTTTAAACAACTACACTTCTAAGATATTTAGGGCTTAGTCAGAAGTTGCTATGATTCGAAGCCCTCAAGAAGTAAAATTTTTTCTTGCTAAAGTTCATTAATACCCTAATTTACTTAAGGCAATGAAAACAAATGATCTCTAATATTAAGCAATATTACTGAACCCAAATTACATAGTGAGTACAATTACAGGGTGGTCATATAAGTATAATGTTAGGTTAAAATTTTAAGAGTTATTATTAGCTCTTTTCTAATTTAAATACAACCAGGATCACAATCAACTAACTTTCTAGTATATAAATATAATTCTTCTAATTTTTTAGTAAAGCGTTTCCTTCTGTTCGCGAAGGTTCACATACGGAGTTGAGCAGCTTTCCAAAAGTAATTAATTCGCTCTTTTGACTCAAAGCACAAGATTCGCAACCTTCGGGGATATCATGGTGCAAAAGGAGAAGACTAGATTAGCACCCCCATTCGAAGGGATTTTTCATATCCTCAGTTCTTACATAATTTAATCGTGTAAGGCGTCTGATACCATAGTTATTATGGCATGTCTAGAATTTATTTGCATTCGTAGGCTTACTGTCATCATGACTTTTTAGGGCAAATTAAGCAAGTGTTAATTCCTCAAAATTCAACTCATTAGCAGCTAAAAATGTGCTCAAATCTTTTATTTCGTATTTGTACTGAAAAACAAGTTCAAACAAAGACTCATCTTCAGAGTCTCTCCAGCGACCGTAATAAGATAAATTATATTTCTTGAACCAATAGCAATAATCTGTCCAAGTATTGCCTTGATAGCTTGTTTTTCCTGTGACGATAATACGTAATGAACAATAATAAAATAATATTTTGCATGCGAAATATTCCTTCTTCTCCTTTGCAAGAATGTAAAATTCGTCATGAATCTGGAAGATCCATCCCCATATCAGAGAGGAGCTTTCCAGCACAATTAAATTGTACAATAGGTTGTTAAGTTTCGTCGTAGCATCGGCATATATAAAGGAGTCATGAGGAGAAATTTCACCCTCCTCCTCTAGCTTGAGCCTATAAGCAGTAAGGTGGTCTGTCAAAGTAATTCTATTGCACAAATTGGACACATTCGAAGTCGAATTCATATCCTCTTCAAATAGTATACCAAAACTAGTCTGCTGGAATTTCAGTATTGTAAGACTTAGCATATGTTTCATTCCCATGCAAACTGAAAGTAGATTTGATTGGGATGGGTCATTAGATACTAAAGAAAGGAACATTGTCTGATGGTGCAGCAACAAATTGAAAATAATTAAGCTTGAAATATACATTTCAATAGCTTGAAAACCAGAACTTGGTACATCACCATTTTTGATGTTATTCACATTATGAATTGTCTTTTTAACACAGTCTAGAAAATATTGAACCGTTAGTGTGTGAAGCTTTTTACTCTGATGAAAACCTCTGATCTGATCAGGCTCAAATACACGATGATGTATAGTCAAAAACTTGGAAGCTGCAGGCGCTAGAGTTGCACTTTTACCTTTGAACTGGTCATAGAAATCAAGGTTTTCTAGATGCATCGTACTTATTGCATATATGCAATCACGAACTAATTCAGAATGGAAACCTAATCTCTGGGAGTCAAAAAACCATGCATTCATCTTTGGATTCAGATGAGGTACAAAATCTGATTCACAAAGCTGTTGGTAGTAGCAAATCAATTGATACTGAAAAGAAGATATACCTATCAGACTGTGTATTGAATTAATTGACTTTTGAGACTGAGATATTACAGTTGAGTAGTATTTAGAGATCGGTCTTTCCATTGTTTCAGCCTTTCCTTGGTGTTTTTTGCCTTTTATCTTGGGGTACACACATTCCCGGTTTCTATGAACACAATATTCGCATGCTGGTCGAGCCTCATCACACTTAAATTTGTTAGCATTGTCAATGTCTTTTCCTTTATCAATAAGGAGTAACTCATTTAACTTACCTTAATCTTAAGTTTGCGGCAATTGAGGCATCTTACCGTTGCAGTTTTAGATCTCTTTTTGAAAAGACTTACTACACTTTGTAAATTAGGGCTGGCATCTGCCATAATTGAATCTGGAGAAAAGCAATCAATCTTTGTGAACAAGAGAATAGCCTTTCTTAGAATAGGACAACGCTTACGAAACTAATCTATCGATTTGCATATAAGCACACTCAAAGACTACTGAATCCATCAAGACGCTTATGTAAGCGTCCTATCCGTGGCTCTTGGGGTAACGAATTTGATAAAGCCGCTTATACGAAACCATGACAAAAGAATATAAATATTGAAGGAATGGCTAGTTCATTTCAATCCAGAAGAGAGCTATAGTGCTCGATTAATACAAAATGGGATTCAAATCTGTGAACGAGGGAATTGCTGCAAGTGTCTTTTTAGGTGCTTACACTTTATATAGTATTGTTGCAATAGCAGTCGTGCTTAAAAAAGGATTCTGGACTACATACACGCACTTACTTTTTTATGGTATAATAAGGGTCGGAGCTCAAATCTGTGGTGTTGCATTCAGTAAATTAGGCCTAGAGCACTATGGATGGCTAGTGGGCTATTTGGTTCTTGGTGTTGAGGGTTATTTTATACTTGTTCTTTCCTCATTTTATTTGTTGATAAACGTCTATCAAGAAAAGACTGGTCAGAAGGACAATAAGTTCAATAAGTCAATTTTCAATAAATCGGACGGCACGAGCATTAAGCTTTTGGGATCAGAAGTAACATTTAAAGGAATAATGTTCCAATATATGATTGTTGCAAATGTACTTCTCGCGGTCGGTGGATCAATCTTATGTTCTTTGAAAGCAGACGAGTACGAGACCAAAAAAGGCACATTGAATGCATCGAAAGCATTAAGGGGGGCTGGACAGATTATATTCTTGATTGTCACACTCATGGTGGTAGCCTTGACTGTTTGCGCCCGATTTTGGGAGAAAATTCGTCATTCTACAATAACGTTCATTCTAGTTGCAGCTCCATTTTTGTTGATTCGAGCTATCTATGGCACTCTAACATGTTTCGTCAACAAAATGAATTATTTTCAACTATCAAATTATACAGAGGATGGATTATCGACCTATTTTGTTGCTACGGAGTATTGCTTAGCTACGACAATGGAATTTGTATCTGCTTCTCTCTTAATCTCTACTTTTCTTATAAGCAGATATGAATCAAGGAGAGGAGACTTCTCAACGAGTTCATTAGATGATAAAGAAGGGCTTGAAGTGGTGACGCCATTTTCTAAGTCTAAAAATTCTAGTGAAAAATGCTGACTTACAAATATTTACCGAAACGTATAAGTCGCCCTGACCATTCTTGATATTTTTAAATTTATTTTCGATTCGCCGTTATGCTATACAAATGGCAAGAAGTCGGAATACTCAGATGTGCCCTTCCACTTGTTTTTGATTACATTAAATGAGCTTTCTAGAGATCTAGCACCCATTTTTATCATTCCTTTAAAGAATATTTCAATTTTCAACCGATCGATAACATCGATGCAACAAAGCCCACAAGTTAATAGGGGCCAATGTACCATTAATAATCTTCTGTCCAGACATAGGGTGCTACCAGGATTCTTTTCAAAATACTCATCCACTTTAAATTCTTCAGTTATGTAGATTGAACGAAAGAATAAACAGCAGTCAAGAATGTCTTTTACTAGACCTTGAACCAATTTATCGTCTATACTCAAGTTGAGAAAATTCTCTTCACATAGCATCTTGAGATAGAGTGCCTTAATATGTGCCTTATCCGAAACGTCAAACCAAGAAAATATGAAGTCATCAGCATAGCCATATGTGGAAACTGGCAAAAGCATACCCGTTGCATTATTTGGATGATAAGGATTATTTCTTTTTATTAATCCATCTCTGGAGGCCAAATAAGTTTCGCTAGCTTTCCCGACTTCACTAATTAACATAGCAAGATCATTGTGTGCTACCTTTCCTCTGTCATTTTTCTTAATTTTTATAGTAACTTGTGCAAACACAGAGAATAGATTGAGGGTTTCTGCTGAACATCCAAAAAATACGTTATATCCATTAGCCATTATTAAGCCTAAGTGCACACTTAACTCTCCATTTTCCGAATTACCACAAGCTTTAATTATCTTAGCAAATTCCTCCTGTAAGGTGATTGATCCACCAACAGGATTTACCCCAACTGCCAATAACTCAAAAGTTGCAAACCAAATAGTGGAGAGCAAAATCGCAGCACTTGTTTTCTTGTAAATATCGACATATTTAGCAAAGAGAACTTGAGCAGCTTTCAAATGAGATCTCCAATTGCCATTGACGAAAGCCACAGAATCTGTAACCAAGAGTAGTGTTGTCAATATTAATGGTTCAATGTATTCTGGTATATGAGACTTAACTTTAAATATTCGAGAAAAATCTTCACAACATAGTTTGAAGTAATACTTTTGGTAATACTTGTCCGTCGGATCGCCATGACAAAAGCTTTCATATCGTGCAGTCATTGAAATGATGGCGAATGCTAAGAAGGGAAATTTCAAAGCCCGGCCCAATAATATTGAGCTACAAACATTTTCGGACTCTGAGGAAAATGGCATTATCCATAACGAATATTTATCCTGGAATAGTCTCAAGTAATTCTTGTGATCAGCGATCTTATCGTGGGATGCAATGAGATGCTGTATTCTGGCATCATTTGCTTCAATAATTTCGGATTCGGGATGTCCAACATCAAAAAAAATATCTCTAGGGCTCAATGCTTCATTTAATAATTCAAGGTCATTGATAAAAGTCATGTTGTCACTTAATCCATGTGTCAACAATGATACTTCATCCAACAACAATTGGTCTACCTCGCTCAAAACGTCTGCCAGAAAGTTCTGAGCGGTCGACTTATACATTGAGTCAATGTCCTCCTGTGATTCAATCAATTTCTGTTTATTTTCATCAAAATTAAGCGTCATGTAAGGGTTCTTAGGACCGACCTTCATATCTTTCGCAATGGCCCTTGTATTATCAACGTTTACTTTGGAAATAGTCTGAGGCAAGATTCTAGCCCTCCTTTTATCTTTTTGGTTTGTTTTCTGTTCTGTACTATATGGTACAAACATTGCATCTTCGAGTACCACAGTTCTCAGTTTGCTGAACTTAACAGGATGAAGATACAAACACTGTTTCAGATATTTCACGCAATGAGTACACTTGGGCTTTATCTCGTCACACTTTAGTCTTCTCTTCTTGCATTCCAAGCACCCTAATCTTGAATAATGTCTCTTTTTTGGCTTTATAGAAGAGGATATTGACTCGCTCTCACTCATGTCGTAGGCATGGGAAATCTTCAAATTATCCCTATCTTAGAAATTTCGATATTGCAAAAATCCAAATTACGTAATTCCTTATCGCGCGATAATCTATTACAACATATAAACGGCCTATGAAAATTGATTGTTAGATTCTTATAAATAAGGCACCGCCAAGCATTGCGGAACAACAATTCAGAGGTCCTTGTAAGGAAGCTTGAAAACTTCTGGAGGAAACACCTCATTCTCAACTACTGATTCAAATTCAACCCAACTTTTCTTTAAGTATTCAGAAATGTCTTTGCAGAAGCTTACTACTTCAAGTTGCTCAAATCTTTTTCCTTCTTTCATTTTCTTGAGTAGCTCTAGTCTCTTATCTGCTAACTGAGCTTCGATTCTTTTGAACCGATAGTCAATCCATTGAGGGTAATATTCATTATATAATGATCTAGGAGAAACCGAAGGTCTAACTGTAGTCAAAACGGTGGTATCAGGTACATGGATTGATTCAGGAATATAAGCAACAATAGAGGAAATCCGTTCGTCATTTGATAAAGGTTTTGTTGCGATATGTTTTACTACTCTTCCTTGGAGAATTGTCACATACCCCTTTTTTGGCCCATTGATATAAATGACTTCTTCATTACCATTCTTTAGACCGGTCTTACCACCACTCATGTCATCATTGGTGGACAACATTAAGACAGCAGTGAAGGAGGTTGAATCGTAATGCCAATCGAATAATGCCTTTGAATCCTCACTTAACTCTTCTAGCTCTTCATTACTCTTCTCCGTCTCTATTTTCTTTCTGCTGTCAACGAGCGAGGTATTTAACGTTGCAATTTCATAGTCGAACATTGTCTTCAAATTTATATCGGCGAATTTGTTTATAATATCTTGAGTCCTAGGGTGTTTCCACGCAGCGAGCGTGAACGGAGCAGAATCTAAATATCCGCTTATTTGAAAGTCAGTAGCCGAAATGTACCTAGAGAAAGATGGACTTTTTGCATACTTTTCTATATTTTTTCTTTGAAAAGCTTCCCATTTCATAATGTCACAGGCTTCTTCACTAAAGATGGGAACCGGATCTGTGACGGCCAAATTCGAAATTGGGGTAACTTGTGTTTTAGATATTTTTAAGTCATCAAGAGTAAATTTTTTTACTTCATCAAAGTCCGAGTCTTTGTATATTATATGTTTCGCTGGATCAAATACAACATGTGGGTCAAAACCTTCTTTCAGTTCCAACTTTATTATCAAATCAGCGACTTCATTATCAATAACATCTACTGGAACGTTGAATTCAAGATTTCCATTAATAATGGACTCAGTTAACATTCTTAGGTAATTTAATTGAATTTCAAACTTGATACTTATCCTGCTGAGAGGTCGGGAGAGTTTCAAATATTTTCATCTCTGTTTCTATATATTTCTAATTTTTCGCACCTGTTATCGCATTTGGAATATTTGATTCTTATCTATTCACTCATATATTGCGAAAAAGGAAGTTTATTTCATTTTGCAGCTTCAATACTCAAATAAATTGCCAAGAGTGATTGACTCATTAAAAAGACATAGTAATAGCAAAATAAGGAAATGGAACAATGATGCAGAGTAAAATGTAAAATGGATACATTTTAAACACTTGAGTATCTAATTGACGTTTCAGTTATATGTCTTAGCTTAGTGTGCGCAAAAGCCAACGTTATCTCAGCGACATCTAACATATCATCTCTCGAAGTACTTATGAACACAATCTATCTTGAAAGGGCCATTCTACTTATTTTAGTGCAAAATAACTCTCCAATCACAAATATTAGAACCTAATTGACTAAAGCCTGTATACAATATCCTGTTTTCTTATTTAATCTTACTTAAAATTGAATCTAAATTAATATATTAAAGCAAAAAAGGAACTTCTTTAAAACATCCAATTAATAAATTTCTCAAAAGGATTGCCAGGAGTTGGTTTAATTTCTTCCCTCTCTTCTCTCTCAGCTTCCTCCAAACCTGTAGTAATGTCAATGTCTTCAACCTTTAGCAAAAATGAGGTTTTAAACCATATTTTATGTCCAGCATATAAAAGAAAAAATATGAGAAAGGTCACATATGATGCAAAGAAACTACTTGTGTCCCAATTGATAAAAACATCATATCCGTTCGTAAGTGTACAAATCACAACAAAAATGATTGCAAACCAGGTACCGTACGGTTGAAAGGGGGTACGTAAGGGAACTCTGTGCTCCAATTCTTGAACTTTAACAGCCTTTCGCCATCTGAGGTAAGCTATTCCATTACATATCCAGCCAAAAAAGCCACCTGTGGTAACAATACTTGATAACCATGAAAAAACCACCGCCGATGAATTTGAACAATTTAAGTAGGCCAATAGGCCCATTGCAGCTCCGGCAGCGACTCCATAATAAGGAACCCCAAACCTATTGACGTTCGCAAAAAACTTTGGAGCGTTTCCTTCTTTTGCCAATCCTACTAGAGTTCTAGAGCTAGCATAGAGCCAAGAATTACCAGATGAGATTGCTGAAGTAAGAATTACTGCATTCACAATGTGATTCAAAGCTTTAATACCAGCGTTTTGGATCCCGACAACAAAAGGGGAAGCTTCAGCTCCTGATTTTCCTTTCGCAATAGCACCAACCAAATTCTTATCATTATAGGCGACAGTAACAGTAATTACAACAATGCTACAAATGTAAAATACAATAAGTCTCCAGATAAATCTACTGGAGGCTTTTGCAATATTACTGCGCGGACGCTCCACCTCTCCGCTTGAAGTAATTATGAGTTCAGGTGCTAATATAAAAGCAAATGAAGATTTAATAACCGCTGTCCAAACATCAAGGAATCTACTTGTGTTTTTGTTAGAAGAAGCTAAGTGTAAGGCAAATGATCCAGGATTATTCCAATATCGAAATCCCAATCTATCATGTGTAGGAGCTCCACCAAAAAAGATTACAATACCACATATGATCAATCCAATAATACAAGAGAGTTTAAGAACACCACAAATAAATTCAGTTTCTCCATAATATTGCACAGCTGAAAAATTCACAGCAACCATAATTACCCAAAATATGGACATCCAAACCGCAATATTCACTCTATCACCACTTACCCAGTATTCGATGACCAAACCAGCTGCAGTGTTCTCTGTGGCGACTAAAATAGCAAGACTATACCAGTAAATCCATCCAGTAGCAAAGCCAAGGCTTCTATCGACATATCTAGTAATCCAGCCTGCTGGATGAACTCCTTTTAGTGGAATCCAGCAAACCATTTCAGATAAAAAATTCATGATAAAGTATACAACGATGCTTACTATCAAATAACTTACCAAAAGGGGAGCGGGACCACATAATACAAGAGGTGCTCCAGAACCAACAAATAAGCCTGTGCCAATTGAGCCACATAATGCAATAAATTGTAGGTGCCTTGAGCTCAATCCCCTCTTCACTTCTCCATGATGGTAATCAAGTATGGAGTTTACCTTTTCGAGGTCATTCGGTACAGGTATGGTAGTTGTCTCAACAGTCGACTTCTCTTTGGAAAAGGACATCTTATACTCTCCACTTTGATCTGTGTGTTCCATGTACCGCCTTCAATTTGTAGTTAATTTCTTCACTTAATCTTGTAATAATTTAAATACTCATACTATCTTTCTTTACATTTATAAGACAGTCAAAGAAAGATATGAGTGGGGCCCATTGTGCCTAAGATTAGACCTCTAAAGATTAGATAAGAGACCATGATTTAGAAATTTATTCAAGAGATATGAATTTTAAACTAGTATGAGATGATTCGCATCGATATATCGGGCAGGAGAAATCACATCGAATGTATTATTTTTCCATTTTCGTGTTACGCTTACTTTATCATCCAAAATAGGCAACAATATATGCACATTTTGGACTACCGAATTTCTCGATAAATGCTAACTTCGAAAAGTTCTCAAGATGGCTGCGAATACAACCTTATAAACGACTCCACCAAGGATGAATAAGAAAAAGACCTTCATATCAAGAGAGCAAAGTTAGTGATTTTTTTTCCATTGAACAGGCAACTTACTGAAATCAAAAATTTCATAAAGATCTATCAAAATTGCGATTGAAAAGAAGAATGAACTAGTGGAATGCTTAACCTCGCCCATGTCTTTATGGGCCTCTGTGTAGTTCTGTGAAATGTTTCTTACTCTACTCAGAGATGCCAATCGATTTTGTAAGAGTGCGGAGTTGTTGTTTCAGTAATCGGTACCGATTCAGGTCAACAATAAGACCTGGTTCCAGGAGCCTTTTAACTTGTCCGCGATTGATTCGAATGTTTTTCGGAGAATTGCAGAATTAAAATCGAAGATTGAAGGAATACGAAACGATATAAAATGATTACCCATTTAGCATAGATAAGGATATAACTAATCCGTAAAATGATGAAATGATACTCTACTAAATTGAGCTACTTTAAATCATATTGCAACTATGGACTGTGGCCAAAGTACATTAACTTTCCTCCAATAGAAATTCTGATTACCGAGAACGATAATAATTTGAGAAATAGTACTGAACTTGATATTTCCTGATAAGATAATGCGAATGTGGACCCTCAAATGACATCATATTTTTTCGGACTTAATTCACCGGAACATGAGAGATAAGTATTAGTGCAATATAAAAATTAACATCCCTTATATTTTATAGTCAATATCTTAATTGCAATGTCTACAACTGAGGACAAAAATATTAAAGTAGACGCAGAGGAGTTTTGGAGAAAAGCTGATGCTTCGCTTTTGAACTATGGAACTCCCTTTGTAAGAGAAATAATTGTCAAAGCGGAAGGAGCTTACATTTATACCAGCGAAGGTAGAAAGATACTTGATTTTACATCGGGCCAAATGTCATGTTTAATTGGACACGGAAATGAAGAGATCGCTGAGACAATTGAAAAATATGCTAGAAGATTAGATCATATATATTCAGGTATGATCTGCGAACCAGTTGTTGACCTTGCATATAAATTAACTTCACTTCTACCAAATGGGCTTGATAGGGCAATATTCTTAAGTACTGGAGCCGAAGCCAATGAATGTGCCATTAAATTAGCTAAGACTTTCACTGGAAAGTTTGAAGTTGTTGCATTGTCCTTATCATGGCATGGAATGACTGGCACTGCAAGCTCGTGTACTTATCAAGCTGGAAGGACTGGTCATGGCCCAACGACTCCTGGATCATTGGTTATACCTGCACCAAATGAATACAGATCAATTTTTCATTATCAGGATGGCTCGTATGATTGGAAGACCGAGTTGGAATACGGATGGTCGTTGGTTGATGCTTCGTCAGTTGGATCCTTAGCAGCTGTAATACTTGAGCCCGTTTTATCTTCTGGCGGTATGTTAGTTTTACCAGAAGGTTATTTAAAAGAAATGAAACATCACTGTGAAAAGAGAGGAATGTTGCTAATTGTTGATGAAGCGCAAACTGCTATTGGCAGATCAGGATCAATGTTTGCATTTGAAGAATCGGGTATAGTTCCAGATTTTTTATGCCTTAGTAAGACTATTGGTAATGGAATCCCCTTGTCTTCCGTGATCACATCTGACAAAATTGCTGAAGATACTTCTAAAAAGGGGTTTTTATTCTACACAACGCATGTCAATGATCCTATCCCAGCTGCAGTTGGCCTGAAAGTTTTGGATATAGTTATGAAGAATAAATATGTCAATAATGCAAGACATAGAGGAAATCAACTAAGAAAGGGCCTTAAGGAATTAAGCAAATTCTATAAAGCAATCGGAGATGTTAGGGGAATAGGTTTGATGGTAGGTCTTGAAATTGTCAAAGAAAATACCAAAGAAAGTGATAACGAGCTGGCTGCGAAATTAGCGGCAACTATGATGTCCTTAGGGTTATCTGCTAACTTATTATCTGTCAAATCCTTCGGTGGTATTTTTAGAATGGCACCTCCAATTTCGATTACAGAACAAGAAATTGAAATGGCTTTGAAAATAATTGCATCATCATTTGCTGTGATCTACGATTAAACATTTTTCTTTAATCGAAGTTGAGATTTTGTCGTTATTGTTCACGCAGTTCATCAATTTTGAGATATTAGCAAAGTAATCCGAATTGGCAACAATAGATGCCAGAACTTATAATTCAAAGCATTAGTTAACTGAACAATGGAAAGCAGTGTTCTAGGAATAATTCAAACTCATTTATCATTTCTCTTAATTTTTTTGCATCTTGTATTTTCAAAATTATTTATAACTCAACAATTTGCAGTGTTCTGTACCAGAATATATCCAATATTGAAATAGGCAGTGTTTGGAGCAAGACTAGCAAAACATACGTCGAGTATTATTTAGATGCTATGTAACTCATTGATATAAAACCGATCTGTATCTTAAATCGAAGGGAAAAAGTATAATGTTACTCGAGATCCCGATAGACATTGCATCTGGCAGACATAAAGGTACTTAAACTTAAGTGCCACTTTGACCAATATCTCTATATATCTACAACTGTCCCTCTATAACACAAGTACGATTCAAACTTTGGAGGGATTTTGAAAGGAAGTTGATTGAGAATAATTTCAAGAGCTATTCTTTATGTCTTTTCAGGTGATAGCCTAATGTGCCATTACCTTGAGTAGCTCTAATAACGTGACTCGCTACTCATGTAGCATTAACGCTCCTTTTGAGGTCTGGAGTTTTCAAACGTTGGCCGGTTTTGTGTTTGACTTGAATCCAATCTATCGTATACCTCACTAGTTTCTCCGAGGTTCGGTCTATGTTGTCAACAGCGGTTCTATTGCTGCCGTTAATTACCCAAAGCACGCGACACGGACCATCGCCTTGTGCAATCGTTGCCCTTCATAGGCTAAATAGGGCACCCCTGCAACGGTGGGATTTTATCTTTGAGTCATCTCATCGCTGTATGAATAGGCGAAAAATTTTTGCGAGGGCCGTTTTAGGGCCGTAAAAGGAGCCAAGCTGTAATTGGATAGAGATTGTGATTCAAGATCTCATTGGATCAATTACGCACTTCTATCGCATCAAAAAATTCGGACTGTTCCTTAAAGATTTCGAATCAGCCATCTGGGGTAGGACTAGTAGCGCAAATATCCGCAAAAGAGATATAATTGTGCGTGATTTCTCTCTTTCAAGATTTGAAAATTCTAAACTCTTTTATTTGATTCGATTCAATAGAATTTAGACACAGTAGATTAAACATGGTATTACCACACGAACCAGAATTTCATCAAGCACACAACGAGTTGTTATCAGCTTTGGAAGACTCCACCTTATTCAAGGAAGAACCAAAGTACAAGAAAATAATTCCTGTTGTATCTGTCCCAGAAAGAGCAATTCAGTTCAGAGTAGCATGGGAAAACGACAAAGGTGAACTTGAAGTTAATAATGGTTACAGAGTTCAATTTAACAGTGCTTTGGGACCTTACAAGGGTGGCTTGAGATTTCATCCTTCTGTGAATTTGTCCATCTTGAAATTTTTAGGATTTGAACAAATTTTCAAGAATGCCTTAACAGGGTTATCAATGGGTGGTGGTAAAGGTGGAAGCGACTTCAACCCAAAGGGTAGATCTGATGCAGAAATTAGAAGATTTTGTGTCGCTTTCATGAGACAATTAGCTAGATACATAGGCCAGGATACTGATGTCCCTGCCGGTGATATTGGTGTTGGTGGTAGAGAAGTTGGGTTCATGTTCGGTGCTTACAAGCAAATGCAAAATAACTGGTCTGGTATTTTGACTGGAAAGGGATTGACTTGGGGTGGATCATTAATTCGTCCTGAAGCCACTGGTTATGGAGTTGTCTATTATGTCGAGAAGATGATTGAAAAAGCTACCAATGGTAAGGAAACATTCAAGGGTAAGAGAGTTGCTATTTCAGGTTCTGGTAATGTTGCTCAATACGCTGCATTAAAGGTTATTGAATTGGGCGGAATTGTGGTTTCCTTGTCTGATTCCACCGGTGCCATCATTTCCAAGAACGGTATCACCGAGGAACAAATTCAAGCTATTGCCAAGGCTAAGTTGAACTTCAAGACTTTGGAACACATCGTCAAGGATTCCGCAAAGGCATTCTCCGGTGAGAATAGTGTTGAATACTTAGCTGGTGTCCGCCCATGGGCCAAGGTTGGTCAAGTTGATGTTGCATTACCATCAGCAACCCAGAATGAGGTTTCTGGTGAAGAAGCTAAAGCTTTAGTGGAAGCAGGATGCAAATACATTGCTGAAGGTTCTAATATGGGTTCCACCAAAGAAGCCATCGAAGTTTTCGAGGCTAGCAGACCAAATGGTATTTGGTATGCACCCGGTAAAGCTGCTAACTGTGGTGGTGTTGCCGTCTCTGGTTTAGAAATGGCCCAAAACTCCCAGAGAGTTACATGGACTGCTGAAGAAGTTGATTCTAAATTGAAAAATATTATGTACACATGTTTCGATAACTGTTACGAAACTGCACAAAAATATGCTGCTGAGAAGAATGCTAGTGGTTTACCATCCTTGTTAAAGGGTGCTAACATCGCTGGTTTCATAAAGGTTGCTGATGCTATGTTTGACCAAGGTGATGTCTTCTAAGCAACAATTGCCCTGTTTATATAACTAAATTCATTATTTTGCTTCTCTTGTATGACTGTTTTGAAATTACATAAATGCGTTTTTAGTATTATTGTAAAGAAAGTCCGATATATCTCCTCAATTATTGAGCACGAAAAACTTAAAAGTAAAACAAGTGATATATAACATATATGTGGTTTAATACGTGACGCCGTAAAAGAATGTCCATTAATTACAACAATGTACATAGGGCAGATATCCCTATAACTAATTTGGATGACTCCGAGGACGACTTGGATTTTAATTATCAGGAGGATCGTAGTTCAAGAAACAATACCACGTTTATAGATGACTTAGATTTTGAAATATCATCAAACGACGAGACATTGTTTACAAGATTAGGAAAGAAAGTGAGTTCATTTTTTAAGAAAAGCTCTACTGGTTACAAATACAACTCCTTGGACCACTCTATAAGCAGTGACAGCTTTGATTTAGAGCGAGAAAATGAACCACAATCACTAAGAAATTACGGGATACCGCGACTACAAAAGAGGCTACGGGTCATGGCAGGTCTTCTTGTTGCTCTAATACTGGTTATTATTGTGATATTAATTTGTTTTCCAAGTAATGTGCTATCAAATCATGCCGGTGGTCTCATTAATAAAACCACATTATCAAATTCAACCCACGATTTCCACCCGACAACTTTAGTTATATCCTTGGATGGGTTTCATCCTCACTATATTTCAGCAGAATTGACACCAACATTACACCAAATGATGGTACATGGCTATGGGGCTCCTTATATGATACCAAGCTTTCCATCTAGCACTTTTCCGAATCATTGGACTCTTGTAACTGGCTTATATCCTTCCGAACATGGAATTGTTGGAAACACTTTTTATGATCCAGAACTTAGAAAGCAGTTTATAAATACAAATCCTACGGTCGGAGGACTTGACCCTGATTTCTGGAGAGGCGGTGAACCTATATGGAAAACGGCCTACGATCAAAATATCACGTCCGCTGTACATATGTGGCCGGGGAGCGAAGTCCCTGGGATTGGAATCGGTGGTGGCCCATTAGAAGTAGATAAGTTCAATGGATCTGAAGTGTTATCATCAAAGGTAGATAGAGTGATGACTTGGCTTGATAGAGCCGATATAGATTTACGGCCAGAATTAATATTAACTTATGTTCCCACCATTGATGAATTTGGGCATAAATATGGTATTGGTGGTAAGAATATTTCAAATGCTTTGACGTATGTTGATGACTTCATTAACTTATTGAAGCTAGAACTCAGAAAGAGAAATTTGACTAATATTGTGAATATGATCATCGTAAGTGACCATGGAATGGCGCCCACTTCAAACGATCGACTCCTTTATTTGGACGATTTGATTGATTTGAATAAAATTGAGCATATTGACGGTTGGCCCTTATTTGGATTGCGTCCTAAAAAAGGATATCTCGAAGACGAAATACTTCAAGAAATGCAATCCAGGTTCGAAAAGATGGACGCAAAGATTAGGGAAAACTATGATATTTACAGAGTACAAGATATACCGAAGGAATGGGAATTTGGGGGATCGCAAAGTGACCATAAGTTTAACTATAGATTAGCACCCCTTTGGATTATTCCCAGAGTTGGTTATTCAATTACAACATACGAGCAAATGAAGGAGAATGGAAATGACTACAAACCGAAAGGTGTACATGGATACAACAATACAGAATTGCTAATGAGGGCATTATTCTTGGGTTCTGGTCCATATTTCGATAATATACTAAAGAAAGGTCTGAAGATTAAGCCGTTTCAAAACACGGAAGTCTATAATTTTATTTGTGACACATTGAGCATCACACCATCTCCGAATAATGGTACATTTGATAAAAAGAGACCTTTGATATCGACAAACAATTATCTTCCAAAATCATGGAGAGACGATTTAGGATACCCCAACTTACCTTTCGAGGTGGATCATATCGTAAAGGATTCCACTTATGATCAATTGTGGAGGAAAGAACCGCCACAGCCTAAACCAATGGCCATACCGACCAACGAAAATCCTTACCTGTCCATGATAGAAGTAGAATCAACATTAGTATCGATGCAAACCCAAAAACTTCCTAAACCGACAGATTTTGTTGAAGCGGAGCCCTCTCCGAGCTCTGGTGATGCTTCAGAAGAAGGAAAGTTAAAGGAAGGCAGCAAAGGAAAAGAGAAAATCAAAGGAGGCATCAATGGAATCATTGGCGACATATTTGATGATCTCAAAGATATTGGAGAAGATGTAGAAAAACTTGTCGATGATGCAACAGATAAAGTTGAAGAGTTCTTCGATGATAACAGTTCTCATCTTAAGTTATAGATGCATTCATATTCCTTTTTATATATAAAAATACGACGGGATATATAGATGCTTGTATTGAAATGATTTTTTTTTTTTCTAATCCATCTTATTATCACTTGGAAAATACTGCAAAGTGGGAAAACCTTCCAGAATCTCTGATTCTAAATTTATAGGGTCTCTCAATCCATTCAGAATAGGAGAAATGCTGTGAGTTCTTTTAGAGGGAGAAAAGCTCATAAAGTTTGAACCTTCGATCGAACTGGTAGAGGAAGTAGGTGTATTGGGAAATCCAAATTTTGGTGTATTAAAATCATCAGAGCAGTCCTGACATAGCTTGATTATTAAATCTTTTGAAAGCTCCATGAATATCTTTGACCTTATAACCTCTGACCATCTTAATTTTATTAATCCCAACACTTTCGCAATCAATATAGATTCATTAGATACTACTAAACGCTTCCAAAGCTGTAATAGCGTAGCTGTCGACATCTCATCTTGAGCAGTGGTAACGTGATTGTTCAAAAATTTGAGTAGCTGAACGAGTACTCTCTGTCGCAAATCTGGAAGATCGTATAAATTAGAAAGAATCAAAAGGCCAGAATAATCGACAACCGAGACTTCTTGACCGGCAAACTCCTCGAAATATATTGATCCAGTATATAGATAATAGACAAGACCCATAACCCATAAGAAGGGTTCAGGTATCATCATTACACTACTAAGTGTTTCATTCATTCCACTCTCTATTGCTCTCCTGAAATGCGGCCAACGAGATAGCAAGATCGATTTATGGACTTTTATTTTACGTACTGTAGTTTCATCATTATAGCTTATGCCACTTGCTCTTCCATCCCATTCTTCTTTTAGTTGCTCATCAACGAAAGTAGCAATTTCGAAATCAGAATAGTCGCCTCTTAAGAGCATATGTTTGAAGTCGTTAACGAATGATGATGATACATCACAAAATTCTGGCACTGATGCTGATCCTTTCATTGGTACGCCGATTTCTGCCAAATTTAGCTCGAATAAAGAAGAGAGATGTGTATTTCCGGAATCATCATCCATCTCGTGGGACCTACCACCATCACTCGTTTCATCCCAATCAGATGTGTTTGATTGGTCTTTTAAGCTATGTCCTAGCAAAAACAAACTACGAGACTCTGTGACAAACGATTCTTTCCAGATATAGTTACTAATTTCAAGATTATAATTCTTCTTGAAATAAAAATTAAGATCTCTCAGACTAAACAAATTAGTAGTCTGAAATCTATCAACATCATAGCTTGAAATCTCGATGTCCTTAGATCTGGTCATCCACAGAGGTAATCTCACCTCGAGCTTTATAGACGAATTCGGTTCTGAGTTTAAATATGTTAATTCATAATCGGTTGGTGAAATATCAAAAGTATTTTCACTAGCTTCCCTATCTTTTGGAGATGAGCTTTGACTTGAAAGATTTTCACTTCTTCGAGATATACTGACTTCACCAATGCTCCCGTCTTCGAAATTGTAAAATACTACTTTATCTTTAACGTGATTCATGTCTTTATCCAACCCACCGAATGAGAATAATTTAGTATCATGAATAGCGATGAAGTGATCAAAACGAGCAACAAACTCGATGGGTTGGAACCAGCTTGCAGACTTCAAATCATAACAATAAAGATCATTAAGAGGACATGAATTCACCAAACCCCCGAAGATATAAACCTTTGTGCCATCAGGTGATAGACAACATGCATGTCTCGATCTTCCTGAAGGTGCACCTATCTTGGAAGTCTGTGAAGGCTCAGACCAATTACGATCAAAGATATTATAGATCAACATAAAGCTGTCTTTTCTAATCTTTGCACCATTGGATGTTTGATAGGAGTCATCCGATGTGAGCGCTTCTGGAAACTCATCATAAGGAACACCACCGATGACTAAAATATTCCCATTTCCAATATAGACGGCCAGGTGTCCTTCTCTATATAATTGAACATGCTTGTCATCAACTTCCCACCTTTTCGTCACTAGATTAAGAAGATAAACGTTGCTATCCAAATTGTCCATTTCATCAAATCCTCCATATAAAAAAACATAGTCTGTTCCCGTACATGGTACAATGGTACACTTAACATTATGAATGGGTGATTGTCCATCTAGATGATATACTTGTAACCCCCCACTTTTATTCATCTCTCCAATTCGATATAGCAAGTCAGCAATATACAAAAAATACTGAACACTTTTGTTGATGTGATAATAAAGCTGATAGTGCGTTAAAACATAAGGGAGACGCTTTTTTTTAATTAGTAGTTTTCCTAGTGCTATATATCAAGCTTATGGATAGATATAAAACGTCGTACTCATCACATTACTGATAAAGGACTCGAAAATTACACTAATCACGTGATATATCTATGTATGTTATGTTACTCAGATATATTGAATTAATTCTACCAAGTTGCAAGAGGATCCTTATCCAGAGAACTGATTAATATCTCTGAGTCCTCTGGAAGCTCATCTTGAAGTTGTTTTTTTAAAACACTCAAGAAAGCTCTTTCCGTATTTGAATGGTTACAAGCAATAATGGAAGAGCCAGATTCAGTGAGGAAGAGAGCTTGGTGGTGAGATATTTCACCGGTATAGAACAAATCTGCAGTAATTCCACCAAATACAGAGCCTCCCGAGCCAGCGCAGATTGCTATTTTCTTAATTTTTTGACTGCCGTCTTGATCTTTAGCAACGCCAACTTGAACGTACTTCAACCCAAGGCTATCTTTCACATTCTCAACGAGACGCTTCAAAGCTACAGGTTCAGACAATTCAATTATTCGTCCCATACCACAACCTTTTTCTTCGTCGTGTTCTTCGATTGGTTCTCTAGAGTCAATTTCAAATCCTTTGGCTAAACCATCAACTAAAAAGTCATTTACACCACCACGAGCACTGTCGATAGCCGTATGGGGTGAATAGACGCTAATATTATTCTGGATCAATTTAATTAACGATCTTTGCTGAGGATCGTTGTGAGTGATAGATTTTAAACCTTTGAAAATAAATGGATGGTATGCAACAATCATCGTCGACTTATTTTTAATAGCTTCATCTGCGACGCTTTGGGTAAGGTCAATTGTCAATAGGACTTTGATCTTATCTAAACCCGTAGTCAGATTCTCACTGCTAGCATCCACTAGAAGACCTGTATTATCCCACGTCTTATCAGCAAGCTTAGTTGGGTAAAATTTTTGAACTTTATTGTCAGTATCGAACACTGAAACTTCACAAATTCCTCGAAAAGCCATACATACTAGCATTAACAACTGTGTGAACTGCTTTTTTTGACATCGTATCCACTTTAATATTCTGACATAGAGATTCAAGCTAAGTGGATTCTAGTGTAAAATTCATTATAAAAATATGAAAAAAAATGCGCAAACCCGGAATCGAACCGGGGGCCCAACGATGGCAACGTTGGATTTTACCACTAAACCATTTGCGCATAAGAGAAATGCCCCCTGCCAGAATTGAACTAGCGACCTTTGCATTACAAGTGCAACGCTCTACCACTAAGCTAAGGAGGCAAATTTTCTTAATTCGATTCATTGGATAAAAGCTATAAGAACAAAGTACGAGACTCCATATTGAGCCCTCTGATTCACCACCCTTGGAAATATTTTTATATATTCGAATCCCTCATCTATCGGGTATCACATAATAAGCGAAAAATAACTCAAAATTTTCAAGCATTGGCTCTTCTACATGCCGTCTGCTCTTAAATTGGGATAATTAGATTTGGTTTGCAACCAGATACAGCTTTATTTAATTTCGAGAATGAATTATACCAGAGAGGGAACGAAGATCGATCATGACAGTCAAGTGAGAAGATGCGTGAGCCTTCGTGTTAGAACTCTTTATCTCTCTACTCTTTACTTTTTGACTTGAGTGAAGTGTTTCTAACGTGGAGAACTTATATAGCGACAAAAAAAGCGAGATTTCAAAATCAGTGATGAGCAAGTATGAATTGAGGATATAAATTTACTGCATTTTTAGACAGACGAGGGTATACCCATTAATGTGAGATGACAGAACAAGAAAGTACTTATAACAAAGCTACAGATCCAGGTATTGACCATTACGACGTATCGGTACCGAGTGGCGAGCAAAGCGAAATTGACTATAGCGAGACATCTGAATCAACTGGCTATTTTATAGAGTTTGAGAATGAAACTTTATATTTTGACTCCAAGGATTGGAGGAAGAGTAGACTTTTAAAGTTCCAGATATTAGCAACTTTCTTAGTGTTCATCATATTTGGGCTTGCAGATCAGACTGTGGGCACTCTTTTGCCAAAATTTCAAGAATACTATAAGATCAACGATATGGCGACCAGCATGATCTTCTTATCGGTTACTAGCGGTTATTTTATACTTTCTTTGGTGAGCGAGCTGTGCCATAAGAGATTAGGGATCAAGGGAACGACTGTGCTTTGCTGCACTCTTATGACTATAGCGTTTTCCGCCAATTCCTTAAAACCACCATATCCAATTATTTTAATATCATTTTTCTTATTTGGTTGTGGATGTGGCGGTTTAGATGCCACCTTGAATAGTTGGGCTGGTTATTTACGTGATTCGAATCAGATATTGGGTTTAATGCATGGATTCTACGGGATAGGATGTATGATTGCGCCTCCGATTTTCACGTCCCTCATGGAAAAGTCAAGAAGACCATGGGCATGGAATGAATGCTACACTTGCTTGATGGCTATAGGAGCAATTACTTTAGCATTGATTATTACTACTTTTAGATACGAGACCGCTAAAAAGTTTAGATATAATGCATTGGTGCTTAGTAAAAGCAGAAATGAAATTGAATTAAGCAATTTGGATGATCTCTCTGGGAATGATAATGACGACAGCGATGGAAGCTTTGGTGATTTGACAGTTCCTTTGTCTGAAACATTGAAGTCAAAGTATGTTTGGGCTCTTGCCTTTCTGTTGTTTACCTATGTTGGTGGGGAAAGTGCTTTCGGTGAATGGTTAATTTCTTATATGAAGAGAGTCAAGAAAGCGCTGTATCACCACGCATCTTATATGGCCACGTCCTACTGGACTGGAGTAACGTTAGGAAGATTTGTTTTAGGTTTTGTCACGGCATCTTACTTCTCTACTGAATTAAATGCGTCTGTAGTGTACGTTGGTTTATCATTCTTAGGATATGCAGCCTTCTGGTTCACCTCTCTATTTCATAAAGGTTTTTTGCTATTTATTATTGTCCTTTTCACCGGCTTTGTGACTGGTCCCATATTCCCATCAACTATAGTGGTCGGTTTGACAATTTTGCCTATTAAGTATCACAGTTCAGCACTCGGGTTTATTTGCTCATTTGGAGGCGGTGGAGGTGCAGCTGTCAACTTTGCAGTAGGAGCAATCGCAGAAACTGATTTTGGGATAAAAAGCTTTCCATTTATTATCATGATAACCTTTGCAGTTTTGTTTATGATGTGGTTGGGCATCTATAGAGCATGCTTTAAGACTTATAATAGAACAGCTCTATGAAAGAATACCAATTTAGATTAGCGTATGTATTTTTTAAGGGCCAATATATTACAGTTTTAGCAATTAGAATCTAAAGTCTTCCGCCTTGCAGTGTCCATTCTTCAGGAGTAAATCCCTTTTGAGTAAATGCATGAATTGCTGCAATTTCTTCCTTTAATGCACTGTTAACTAATCTGTGCCTCATCAATTTGTTCTTACCTTGGAATAGTGGTGACACAATTATTACAGCAAATGCTTGACCGCAACCACCTGACATATCTTCAACTTGAACTAAGTTCGCCTGTAATCTTTCTTCAATTATTCCCTTTAGAGATTCAGATGTCAACAGCATTACGTTAAGTTTGTCGCTTTGTCCAACTGTTGGTGACTGAGAAGGTGATACTTTTTATTAGAGCACAAATTTTGGAGAGAAACAAAAAAAAAAAAAAAAAAATTTCTTCATTAATCTGATAAAATTAGCAAAAAATGGTGATCTTATGGATGGCCGCAACCACTCAAAAATAAGAAAATTCTAATCACATTACGATTCTTCAAAAATGCCAATATATAAGTGCTCCAGCTAGCAAAATACATTCGTTTGAAACGCAGTACAAAAAATTCAATATATTAAAATACGGAATAGAATGGTCACTATTTATAGAAAATTATCAACTAAAGAAAAAAGGCACTTCAGTTGGTATTATTGATTTTTCAGGCAACCCAAGATTCACCATGGGATTCGTTGAATACTTTAGAGTGACCTCTTTCAACAGTATTGCTTCGGACATGTTGATTGAAATGATTTTCTGATCCTATCTTAGCCCTTGTTTGATTCTGGAAAAAATTTGGATACTTCTTTAAAGTCTTATCGATTATATTCATAATCTCCTTTGTAGAAATATTGTCCGTCTTCATATTTTGGAAGCCACATTTCTCAAAAAATTCTAACAAATCTGGCGGTACAATGCTGAGTTCTTCATGTAGCTCAATTAATTGGTTAACGACTTCTATTGCGAGGAAATAGGTTTCTCCAGACTGAGGTACCTGATCATTTGCTGAACTTTGTTTTGAGTACAATATATTAGGTGATATCACGGTGGCTAGATTGTGAATATCCATTTTAGAGCCCGTTTCATCATCGATCTCAGCGAATGAAGCAACCCAACTAAAGAAGTATAATAGCACTTCGACCAAATTTCTATGACTCCTTGGGAGCATGCAGTACGTGAGCTGTAAAATTCGTTTGCACTTACTAGTATCTTTTTCTCTTTGAGATGATATCCATAGCTCATGAAGCGAATAGGTCAATAAAGGAGTTGGAAGCTCCCTCAACCATTTTTTCATTAAAGCAGCCAACTGAACAGCACTTTGATTGCTAAAATCGGGAGACTTCAATGGACTCTTATTGATTTGATCTGTCATTTCTCTTAGCTTCTTGATGTTACCATTTAGTCTGAAAATACCTTCGACAGACATATCCTTTTGTCGAAGGGCATTGATGATATCATCTACAACAATCGGTATTCTAAGCTTTGAAGGACCAACACCTAGATCAGAATCCACCCCATACCTTGACGTCAAGTCTTGGATATCTATTCCAAACACAGGTGAACTTTTATAACGTTTTGGATCGTTACCTCCAAACTTGAATTTATCCCAAAAGTTAGGCAGCTTTCTGGTTTGGATTAGAGGTAACAATTCGTCTGTAGTAAGGTTTTTATCTCGTGTTTCAATTATAGCTTCAATCGCAATGTGTCTTAAAATGAAATGCTCCGATTTGGTTAATTCAGAATAATATTTAGACTTTTGAGCTGTAACGGCAGTTCCTGAGGAAGTTGTAGGATCCTGAGACTCTGAAGTAATCTGAATGTAATCTGGAATACCACCCGCAGAGACCGAAGCAGCCTTGACTGGTTGCATAGGTTTCTGTTTCTGGTACAATGAATTATGATGTTTGAATGCGTTAGGCCTTTGTTCACGAGCTTGCTCAGCGGCAACAATTCTGGGAATATCATCCAATGTCAATGATTTTTCATTTTGTAGTAAGTCTGACGTCCTATCGAGATGACTATTTGTAAGCTGCTTTATCGGCTCATCTCTAATTTTTAAGGAGTTTTTAACTCTGAACTGATCATTTTCACCCTCAGCACTATATGACATCTTTGAAGATACGCTAGCTTTTCTATTCTGCGATTCCTCTAAATTATTATCAGATAAATCTTTATCGATTGTGACATCCTCTTTTGCTTTATCAGCCTCGGGTGCCTCTAGTATGACCGATTTTCTAGCGTTCTGCTTTATTGAGCTAGATAATTTCTGACTCTGCCGCCTGGTTCTCAATCGCGTAACATCCCTTAATGTTTTTGAATAATCATCCTCTATCATGGTTGAGTCCCTCTCGTCTTCATTAATCGGTGTCATGCCTTTCTCATCATTAGCCTCGATCTTAGAAGGCAATGTAGAAGGTATATTCATGACTGATTTAGAGCGTGAAAAAGCAATCTTCAAAAGATATATCAATTGTGATAAGTTACTAACTAATTCAAACCCTTTCTGTGCGTTGGAATCATTGTCAAAACAATTTTCGCATATGATAGTCATGTCCGTAAGACTAAATGATGCATTGCTAGCTTCATTCACTGGTATTTCCTTATTGCATTTAGAGCATTTAAAGCACTTCAAGTGCCATCTCATGTTACCAAAGTTCAAACAAGATTTCTCAATACTTTTTGCACAAGCATAACATGCATCCGTAGAATTAGGTGGTATCGATAAGCCTTGATAGTCAAGATAATTTGGCGATTCGCTAACATTACCAATGATATTGCCAATTGCCTTACTGTCCGAACTTTTGCTCGATTTTCTACCATCTTTAGAATTAGTTTCTTCAACATCAATAGCACTCTTCGCGTGATTGATAACTTCGTACCTCTTGACGAGGTCTAAAAACTTCTCTGATGCGACAGTAGAGCCCTTCAATTTATTAATCTTCAAAGCATTGTTTAATCCGATTCTTATCAACAATTTCAAATAATGAGCACAGCCTGTTATAACCGATAGCAATTCGGCAGATAAGCTACCAGAAGTGGCCAACTGATTTGACTTTCTTAGGATAGCCAAGTAACTCATAACTTTCCCTGATATATTTCTGGGCTCTTTCCTCAATGGTTGAAAAAAATCATGATCAAGTGACGAAGTCAGATCATCAGGCTGTTGGACAAGACCAATAGACTGTTGGCACGCATCTTGTACATAATCAATCGCACGGAATAAAACCTCAATATGTAAAATTAACTTGCCTGTTGCCATTAACCCACTTTTCTGGTTGCCAATACAAGCGTTAAGTAGCATGTCGCTAATTCCAGACGCAGTAACCTCTTCGTATCCGGACAAAGTTAGCCAGCAACTCATGACAACATTTTCAATTTGCTGTTCAACTGCAAGTAACAACTTACCATCTATATTTGATTCTTTCAAGTTTCTTAAGCTCATAGTCGACATTGAGATTCCAAACAATTGTTGCAAACCAACAGAGTCTACCGTTATACAGACGTTCCAGAATTTATGCACCATATAGCACTCAGGATGCCACTGTTGATTCCGCCCCCCTCTGAATAATTCGACAAATTGTTTAACAATTGAAGAATGGCATCCTTCGCAGTGGGTGGCATATAGCTTTGAATAATGGTAATGGCAATATATCTCATCGTCATGTTCATAATAACTCTCGTCAGATTCGAAAACCTTTTGACAGACAGCGCATTTAAAATGTTCCAAATGATACTTGTTACCCAAAGCCGTAATATAGGGCCCTCGTAGAGCGCTGTTGCAACTGAAACAGATTAAGTCTAACTCCTTAAAGTAGTCATATTCACAAAGCGCCACTATACTCTTGCTTCCATTCAAGCTATCCGTGACTTCATATGGGAAAAATTTTGCTGAGCATTGCTTCCCACATTTTTGACAACAAAAGCAGTCAACGTGAAATGCATTGTGAAGAGCTCGAACAAACTGACCAGTGATCTCTAATCCACACTTCTTACAAATCTTTTTCCTTTTAGTATTACCTCGTGGGACGACGTCGGTATTAGGGGGTCTTTCGCTAGTCGGAGCCATAGGTGGAGGATTAGGAGGCGCTTGCCTCGAAGGCGAATTTGAAATTGGAATCGATCCAGAACTTTGAAAATTTCTTATGTCGATGTCAGTCATGGATCCGGAAGGTGAATATGCAATTGAATGTCTTTGAGATGGCTTTGGATTATATAAATTGCTACCAGTATTCTTTGAGACATGATTTGTCGAGTTCGGTGGGTTTTTAGAACTACTCAGTTTTGAAGAATCTCGCTGATATGAAGGAGAAGGGAAAGCTGGCATTGGTGGAATCAATGCAGTCCAGTTGGGGTTAGGACTCTGTGGAGGCTTTTGTTGTGGAGTGTGCGTCGGTTTCGCTTTGTTATGATAATGTGGGAAGTACGTTTGCTGTTGGTGTTTATACGACTTGCTTGGCAGTGGACTTTGACCGTAACTGCGACTTCGAAGATGTTGATATGGGAGAATATTGGAATGCTGTTTTGGAGTTGGAGACCGTGAAGGGGAGGGAGACCTTGCTCCAGTATTTGGTAACCTTCTGCCTTCGCTGCTTGCAATATTCATAGCATCCATTTTCGATTCAACGTTTTGGCCATATTTTGTGCTCTGTATAGATATGAATTCTTTCTTGTTTGGCTGAATATTCTTCTCTTGATGGCTAGTAAAATCAGTAGATTGCAGCATCATGTTTTCAAGTTCAACGAATAATTGATATTATATGAATCAAATGGAAATAGTATAAGTATGATTGTTTAAATGAGTGACTAACAAGTTGGATGTATCAGACTAGTGCTAATAATGGTACAGTTTTGCAATGAAAACAAAAAAAAAAAAAAAGGAAAAAGAATTGGAATTTACCTCTTTATGAATGTGCTACACTAGATTCATGTAGCTTCTTTACCAAGCCCTTAAACTCGATGTACTTTCGGACCAGTAGGTCGTCTGAAGTGGTATATCCAGATCTATCTGCTTATGGGATCACTCCAATTTAACCACGAAGCTCTCTAGATCCTTTAATTATGCCTTCAAATTAACGCGTATTACTATTGATCCTTCTGTAATTCTGCCGCCGATTTCTTTGCCTGTTACTTTCTTTCGACGTTTTCCTCTGAGGTAATCGTTTATGTCAACTATCGATTTATTAATATCAGAGATATAGCTCTTTTAAATTAAATCGCTCCGAAACCTTCTGACTTTCACCCACAACGACTTTTGCAATTGAATACACACAGCAGGTTCGGTAATTTAATCAAGTAAGGCTGTTAGTTTGATCTTTTTATTGTCAAAGTTAGTAATACTTTGAGTGAGGGTTTATTTTTTTTTGTTTTGAAAACGGGAGCGATTTGATTTCGCACATACAAAAAAGGCTGCACAAGAGGAAATTATCGCTCCTATTGGTGTTACACCGATATTAATGACAAAATATTAGAACAAAAGAAATAACAAATCCCTAAGAAGTAGTTTCTTACAATATCAAGCTACTCTAGCGACCTGTTATCAACTAATTGGGCTCTTGCCTACTGGGGGTTCGCTTTCTATCTCTTTGAGGGGTTATGTCGTGTATATTTGTCGACACAACAATGCGACATTCTAACCGTTAGCGAGTAATCGTGTGGATTGGCAAAAGAAAACAACCAATTTTAGCAGCTCCACGGGGGGAAAATAGATGCGATTGAACGCGCACTGTCCTCTGAGATTAACCAAAGCGAACGGCGTGGATATAGTGGCAGGCTCCCCAAGAAATGCGATAATATAGGGACATCTAGTGGGAAGTGCAGGCGAAAAGAGGGCCCTACATAGTACACAGATATGCTAGAAAAATCAATAAAACTCTTTATAAGAAACCTTTCATGTATACAATATATATCTATTAATTTATCTGCTTGAGTCCCTGGCCAGGAATTCTTCTCCAATATCGTCTATTGCTTCCGAACAATAGCTCTCTACTAAGTCTCCAAACGTCAATCAAAACTTCTTTTCTAGGGAGAAATTCGGGAAAAATTATCTTGATGAGACTGTTATCCTGGGTAGCACTGTCTTTGGGTCTTTTGAGGACACATAAATAAAATATTACTTGGCCATAACCATGAAATCCCTCGTGTATAACTAAATCAATCATACTCTTCAAGGGAACAAAATGTTCAACTTTTGTTTGAAATCTCCATGCCTTTTTGGATTCCAATTGGATTCCGATATCTCTCATAACTATCATTGTATCTTGAGGCTCTTGCCTCAAACTAACCAAAGCCATCAAGGCACCGGTTATGAAAATGATCTGTACTGCTTGGTCCCGGATGCCCCATAACTTAACCCTAGTAGTTTGATAGCATATAAGACCAACTAGACATGCTAAAATGTATATTCTGTATTGGACTAATCGTGGTGGACTCTTGTTCCTGACTATAAAATTTACAACGTTTGCTGATTGTAGTAATTTTGAATCAATAGGTGGAACTACCTCTAATTTGTAGTCCTTAGAAGATGACATTTTAAACACTCTATCACATTAATCAAGACTCTATGTATTCTAGAGCTCCTGATCCAAACTCACAGTCCTTGAATTGAGTTTACTTAGAGATACTTTGAAATATAGTCAAAAAAGGTGTTCAAATTTTATCATCACATGATGAGTCAGAATTGAAAAAAAAAAAAACTGATAGAGTAAGTACCACAAACTTATATAATTTACATCCCAGTCTAAATAGTAATAGAAACCTCGTTAGTCATTCCTTTGTTTTTTAATATCTTCAATTGTACCAATAACCATTTGGTTTTTACGCAATTCTTTAATCCTCTCATTCCTTGGTAATGGTTTAGAACCTGTTCTGAGCTCAATTTCTCTTCTTCTATTAGCTTCTGCGTCTTCTTGCATAGCCCTTTCTCTTTCCTTAACGATCAAGTCCATATGCTCTTCATGATTCACCCTTACTTGCTTCAATTCTTCATTATAAAACTCCAAAGTTTCAAATTTATTCTTGGAGTCCTTACAATATTTTTCAAAATCAGCTGGCAACTTCCTCTTTAGAGCCATTTCTATGATCTCAGGGTATCTTTTCTCTTCCAAATTGAACTTCGATTTTATTTGTTTTCTAGTCCTATAAGGAAAGAGTTGTGCAATGAAAGTGAAGTCTGTACCCCAGGTGCTCAATGCCTCATAAAATTGTTTGAGCTCTTCTGAAGTCCAACGATCAGTATGCTTTCTTTTAGAATATGTTGAGGATGTAATTGGATTTTCATACGGATTTGACTCTTCTCTAGACTTGTTGTTATTATCAGGTCTTGCATTTCTGCCCCTCACCGTGGAATCTTCGTCATAACTAATTTTTCCATCTTTCATAGTCAACTTAAGCGTTGAGCTTAGTCTTGGCTCTTCTTCAATTAGCAAGTCTTTTTCTTTTTTGACTTCCTGGTTTTCTAGAGCATTATGGCCATTCACTTCTTCCAATGCCACTCTTTTCTGACGCGCAATCCTACGATCCCGTTTTCTTTGTTCCTTTTCTTTCTTGATCTTATTTTGAGCTTCTTTCACTAAAGAGTAGTTATCGCTTAGCTCTCCAATTGGTAGGTTTGGTTTACAAAGATCTGCCATAGTTATCTCGCCAACGTCAACACCGACTTGAGCATAAAGTGCCATGTCTTCATCCCTGACCTTTTTGGGGAGTTGAGATGCACTCGTTATATTTGTATTCAAGTCCTCTGGTGCAACAGGTATTTTCCTTCCGCCTTCATAGTACTTATCAGTCCTGTTTTCATTTGCCCTTAAAATTCTAAACTTCCTTAATCTGTTTGTCTCAGGATCGACACCTACAATAAATCTTGAGTCCCCTGAAATTAGAGCCGAGGAAGCTGATTTCAAATTGTCTTCTTGTTCTTCGTCCATTTCAGCATATTGTTCTGAATTATGAATGTTCGACGAAGCAAATGATAACGAGGATTTCTTGTGTGTGCCGGGCCTAACGCCCACCAGTGATCTCCTCCGCTTAGTTGGTTTACTTATAGGGATTTCAATTCTCATCGGAATACTTTTTGGTGAATCTATAACTCCCTTGGAAGGTGTCGTTGGTGTCATAGATACTGATGTTGATCTGTGTCTGAGTGTATTGGGCGTAATACCAGAGAGGCGCCTATGAGCTTGAGATATATCATCTGAATTGTTTTTGAATATGTCAATATCTCCGTAATCATTGAACTCTTGATCGTCATCTTCTTCATAGTCTTGTTCTTCGTCTGAGCTCTCTATCGCAGCTGATATGGCCGTTTTTTCTAACGACACACTTGTTTCTACCTCTATATTTCCTTCAGGTACCTTATTTATGTTATCTAATTGAGACGATCTTACCTGGGTATTATCTATACCTTCCTGGGAACGTGCTTGATCTTGCTCATCAAGAGATGCTTTTTTATCCTGGGTAGGTTCTGGTGTTACAATCTGTTGAGTTCTCGTGTGTCCCCTTTTCCGTACGGGCCTCTTAACATTTGGAATGAAATGAGTAGATTTCTTAACTATACTACTCATACTACCAAGTGACTTTCAATTACTAGTTGTTAGACTATTTGTTATGTCTTGATAGAGAAAAAAAAAGTGCAAGGTACGAAAAATTACACAAATATATCAGAATATATCAAGACCATATATAACAGGAATTTAGCTAAGTCAGCCACAATTTCATGAAAGCCGCTCAGAAGTTCACCTGGAAATCTAAGAAGCCCGACAATTGGGTTTTAAATGTTCAGATATTTCCACAGGCGAACTCATTTGTTTCATCATCTAGTGATGGGTCGTTAAACTTTTACCTGTTAAACAAAATATCGAGCGATCCTTTGGCAACTAATGAAAATGCACACGAGGGGGCTATAAACTCTTTGGTAAAGATAGAGAATGATATGGTTGGATCTTGTGCTACAGATGGTCTCAAGGTATGGGATTTACGGTTATCTGGAGATCCAGTATATCATCTAACTCATGGACAAGCGTCAAATATGCTATCATTAGCATATTCTAATCATAGAATAGCAGCTGGCACAGAATTACATGGTACAGATGCTGAATTGCATATATGGGATTTGAGAAATCCGAAGGATGTCGTTAGAACATTTGCTGACTCACATCATGATGATATAACTTCTATCGAATTTCATCCAATTTTCTCAAATTATTTGATGTCTGGTGCTACAGATGGATATGTTAATATCTATAACTTGAAGGAACAGGATGAAGAAGATGCCTTACATCAAGTTATCAATTATGCATCTGTCCATTCTTGTACGTTCACGCAAGAAAAGAGAATAGCTGTGTTGTCACATATGGAAACTCTTGCATTTTATGAATTAAATAACACCAATTATGAAATAGCTGAAGAACCGGCACCCCATGACATTGGTGACGTTAGAGGTCTTTGGAAAGATTGCGAATACGTAGTTGATTTAAGCCTGAGTGGCTATATTACCTATGGTGCTAATTCAAAACTGAATCTTACTTTACTTCGATTCAACCCAATTGCAGAAACGTTTGATTTAGAAAATCCAATTCAGTTCCCTGAGGCACACGGAGATGAAGTTGTGAGGGACTTAAAAGTATTAGGTAATCTTTCCTTAACATGTGGAGAGGATGGAAATATAAAGCTTTGGGAGTTACCTTCGAAGGTTCAAACTTATAGTGTGTCGGGTAAAGAAGAATATATGAATACGGACGATGATACTACAAGGCATACCAGGAAAGATGTGAGTAAAGAGCATAAAAAGAAGAAAAAGAAGAAGGAGAAAAAGGATATCAGGTTTAAGCCTTATTAGTGATGAACAGGAAAACGAATTTAAATATTTCTAGATTCTTTATATATACAACAAGAGAGCCAGAATGTATAGTAAATCAATCGAGACGTCTAATAACATCATCGATAACCTCTTGAGTGGTCGAGGATCCACCCAAATCAGGTGTTTTAATCTTATCTTCAGTCAAATTCGCATCAACGGCTTCATAGATCTTAGCAGCTGCTTCAGGGTGTCCCATAAACTCCAACATTAAAGCTGTTGATCTGATGGTAGCAATTGGATTAGAAATACCC